GGGTGGGATTGGTTCGATTCCCACCGGGTCCAATAGTTTTCTTATCAAATTATATGTTTTCTAAAATATAATCTTTCTGGATAAAAAGGTGATAGGAATATCGAAATTCCGTTTGGGTCAACCACTGGACCATGGGAAAACTAATGTCACTGAAAAAGCCGAAAAGTTTAATCACGGTTCGGTTTCAGTCTGTGTATTTCTGAATATCCAAAGCCAATATAGTTCGGGAGCGCATCTTGTGAACCTTACGTTTGTCTAACCTCCTATATCACAAAAAAACGCTAAATACATAAACTAAGTTATTTTAATTATGGCCTGACGTTCCAGTTGCTTTGTTTTCTTTATTCAAATGTAAAACTCGCGTAAACTACCGACAATACTTCGTATTATTATATATTAGGTTTAAATAAGATTTTTGTTAAATTCTATATTATGTATGTATGTTTAATTGTTTTACATCCTCATAATTACCTTTACAGTACTGATTTATTTTTACAATTTTTATTTGAATTATATTTACAATAAATATGGATATGCTGAGTTTGTACAAGGATAAATAATAAAGAATACTATAGTAAAGAAGACGTAAGGTAAACAATATCGTTAATTAATTTTCATCCTAATGGATATGAGGAAACATTAACATTAAGTAAGGCTTTGAGAAGCAGAGTGGCCTGACTAAAAAAACGTGATTTATAACTTTCAAATTCTTTTTTATTAAAGTCATTTAACCTTTACCGTAATACCTTCACGTTTTATAGCATTTTCTAGAACAACACCCTTTTGTATGTTACCAACTTCTACTCACTTTCTAGAATCATAGTACTAGAACCGAAAATACTTATTATTTTTCACTGCTTTGGCATTAAGAAGTTTGAATTCCACCAAAAAGATAAATGTCGTAAAGGAAAGCCAAGTCAAATCAAAAATTATGCTTGGCTTCGCCGTAAAAAGAATGTTGATCTAAATAAGTGCCCAGTTCTATGCAAAACCAAGTATGTACTTATAGGAATAAAATAATTAGAAACAAGTAATAAAATATATTTCTTTACTTTATTGGATATGTACAATAATTGCTGTTATTAAAAAATTGTGATATCTTAGTCTAGATTCAGAAATGAAAGTAATACTCGAAGTGTATTTAATGTAAGATGGTGGTGACTTTTGACGTCACAATAAACACATTTGGTCATAAAGCAATGTTATTATTTAACTTACAAGAACTCAGACACCCTAAATAGTGAAGAATGATGACATAGCATTACGGAGAATTGAGCACGCAATTGAAATATCGCGCTCGTTATTAATGCTGCTCGTAATTAGTACTTCTCCAATACCGTCTCAGGGAGTTATACTTTGTCTAAAATAGGATGATTTATTCTTGCCACTGATGTATTTGTTTTGCAGTAGAGGGGGATCTTGGTTTAGTAACGGTAGATAGTACGCCCTTTTGGTTCTGTAGCGTTGTATGTACTCAAAGGTTCGTTTTTACTTAAATAATATAAAAATATAATTCTCGATTAAATACTGTCTATAGTTTACGCGAGCAGTACACATTTAAATAAAACACTTTAACGGTTTAAAACGCGACATTTCTTTTGAGTTTAACTAATATATCACGTTTTAAACCGTTAAAGTGTTTTATGTAAATAAGTCTCAATTTTAACCTTGGTTTTATGGTTCATTGATACGAAAAAAATGATATTTCTAAAGTTGGTGAGTTTATTGCCTGTCTGCCCCAAGATTTGTTTTATTTTATTTGTAATTGTTTGTTCTTTCTCTGCTTTATTTACAGTGCAGTACTCTGCTTAGTAAACATACGCAAAATTGAGTAATTATATGTACATAGATATTTCAGCATTTAACTCATTATTGCAAATTATTTATATAATGAGGGAAGGACATATAAGCATTATTGATAGAGGAAGAAATACCAAGCCATATAACTCTTAACAATATGCACTGTCAACCTTTTTTGGCTTTGGATATTCAGAAACCCACAGACTGAAATGAGATTAAACTACACGGCTTTTTCGTCTGTGGGAGATGGACGGAATTTTTGATATTCCTAATTCCCATTTAATATATAACGACAACAACATATACTCGTAAAATCTAATTGATCTACAAATAATTACACTCTATACCTATTGTAAATTGCTAAATTTATCATCCTAAATTGAAGCAAGTATAAATATAGTTACGATCTATACTTTATCGCCAAAACCAAACAGCGTTTAAGTACTAAATCATAAAGCAGTTATAGTAAGCAATGAAAATCAATTATCGACAGTATAAATAAACATTGACATCGCAATAACAACTTAAGGCATGGTAACGGTCCAATTCCATCAAATGAATTGGACTATGTACCACAAATATTAACCTTGTTTGAGGACACTTTCCCCATTGTTCCTTCCGTGAATGAGGCGGAAAAATACAATGATAAATTTATTATCCTATTTAGTTGTATTTAAATAAAACACTTTAACGGTTTAAAACGCGATATATTAGTTAAACTGATTTGAAAATGATTTTTAACTTCGGCCCGACGTTTCGGATGCTTTGTAGCAGCCGTGGTCACGGGGAGACACGGGGGGATATTTAGTTGTAGTTTATATTAATTTTAAGGGTTCAAAACGATAAATATTTCAGTTAACTCATTTAAATATATGGACAAGTGTTATTTAAACAAATTTGACCGTTTAAATCGCGAAATATTACTTAACAAATTGTTAAACAACTATGCAAGCGATATTTTTGATTCAGCAGCCGTGGCCATGGCATATTTAAACATTTAAAAATATATTTTATTAAAACCTACTTATGTTTATTATACAACTTGTATGTCGTTTTTATCCGACAAAAATTCTGTAGATGAGAACTCTACGTCTGATTGTCTGTGGCTAGAGTTTTTTAATATCTACATTTTTTTATGATAGAGCGGGACAGACAAGCATCCACCTGACGGTATGTGAAATACCATAGTTATATAACATTTAATAAAGATGCACTGTCGAGCTATTTTGACTTTGGATATTGCCTTTTAATTTCTATAACCAAGTGGCTATTTGAATTTAAAAGTTTTCAAGACATCGACTAAAAGGTCTGGACATTATCGTTAATCGTCTGAAGATAAGCCATTAAAAAGTTTATAAAGAGCATCTGCTGGTGACCTTAAAGTAATGTGCTTTTGAATTACTTTAGATTTTATGATTTAAATTTTATTATCGAGACTGAAATGTTTGCTTGAATTATTATTATCGTAGAAAAGCCATTAAATATAAATCTTAAATGTTATATTATCTATGTTGTTATACGTGCTGCCATTTGTAATAGCTTTGTTAATGATTTTTTTTAATGTCATTCTTCTACGAGTTGTTTTATTAGAATTATATTATCTTGAGTATTGTCTGTAGTTTACAACTCGATTAGACTATAATACACTTTCAATATTTTTATAACGCGAAGTATATTGTTAAGCATAGGGGCGAAGGTAAAACATGTTATTGATTTCGCATTTTAAACAGTTAAAAATGTTTAAATTAAATCTAATTTTGTGTTATAATACCTACAGGAATATTCGTATAATTTTTTTAATAATTAGATTTTTTTTATTAATTAGAACGAAAAATGTAATACTGTAATACTGACGAGGTTTGCGGTTCCTGATTTTAGTCATTGTCAAGACCCTCAAACCCGACCTGTAGAAGCGAAGCAGGTATAATATATAACGAAACCGTTTTGTAAAATGGACATTTTATTTTAACAACTGACTGTTGAAAGGAAATCTCATTGAAGGGAACGATACAATTTTCGTATTTGTCACAGATAACAAAAGATTCGTTGAGAATTGTGCTTTTGTTTTCTTTACAAACAAGTATCAATTTAAAAAAAACTTTTAAGTTAAACGGCTTTATATTTTGTGCACTGAAAACTACAAAAAAATAAATTATGACTTAATCATCGTGTTTTACTAGTGTCGCACTTTCATTTGATGAGGGGGTTAAGGAAAAATATGTTATCTGCCATTTTGTATCGGCGGCCATCTTGGATTTATAATGTTATTGACTTTGTTATATTGTATTGTCATCAAAATTAAATGTGTGTGCCAGATCAATCTGACAACGGGAAGGTTTTTCAATCTGAACCAAACGAACTCTTCAGCTACAGAATAAGTTTTAATCGCAGTGATTAACTCGTTAAGCGTTGCCAGCGACTCGGGAGTTAAGAACACGCGCACAGCTTCAGGTGACATTGAAATTTTAATCAAGGTGTCCATTATCCCGATGGCCAAGGTTAATTCTTTTTTTAAATTACTAGATTAAGCTCAGCCTTGTTAGAATGCTTTAGGTATTACCTGCACGCGATACAAGTCTTTTAAACACTGTTATTTATTGTAGAACAGTTTTTAATGAACGTGAATTTTCTTGCCAATTAAATATTTCAAGCTTCCCTTCCGATGTTCCAAAATTGAAGGGAATATTTCAGTTATTGTATTGCTAACGGTAGGGTTTTTTAATATTTTTAAACTTGTTTACAGTTATTTATGGCAATATATCAGATTCATCTTATTTAGGTCTGTCGTCTGTTTAAGATCCGAGACATAGCTTTTTAGGCAGGTTAAGGTTTAAATAATTATACTAAAGACTAGCTAATATAGATGAAATTTTGTCAATCAATCAATATAGCTTGACCGCCTCTGTAGACAAATGGTTAAATGTAACGCTAACGCGAGAGATGCTGGGTTCGAATCCCAGGGAAACAAAAAAATTGTTTCCCTGGGGTTCAGTCAGGGCATAAAAGTCTAATCAACTACTTGCCTGTTAAAGAATGGATCTGTGAAACAGACACAGAAATGTGTTCAACCCATGCCCCACGAGGGGGAAACGGGATTTCACACACAATCAATGTAGCTTACTAATGCAGAAAACTCCTACTGCCACATTAGATATATCGCGAAAGAGTTTTAAGATCTTAATTTAAGCGGTTAAGTTTACCTGGTCACCCATTCCGGTAATGATGGGCGTGTTCCAGTAAGCGGCCAGGCGAGCCACTGGCTCCAACGCAAACGCACAGGCAGGACCAATAAAAGCGATGACGTCATCTTTGAAGTGCATATCTGCAGCCAGACCGGGGGCTAAGGCACCAGAGCATGATGGATAACTGGTGAAGAAAAATAATAAAATTTACTTTACTTGAGATATTTCTGTGTCCGTTAGTAATAATTGCTTAATATTTTATATTTTGATATAATTTCTTTTCCCAACTCGAACTTTACTATTCTTATTTTAGAAATATACTAGGTGCAGTGGATTTAATAAAAAAAATACATTTCAAACTACATAATGATTTTATTAGATTTTAATAATATAATAACAAAATAATCTTTTTTAATTTAAAAATCGAAAATAAATTGAACAAAAATTCGACTCAGGCAGGGCATGAACCGGCATCGTCAGCGTTCCGTTCTACCAATTGAGCTATCTAGTCCTACACCTCATCGTCGATTTTTTTCAACTTATTGATACATGCATCTTTCGCGCAATGTAATTTCAACCTTAACATTTTCGTATGAAGGTTGCGTAGTAAGGGAGCTTAATTGATACAGCAACAGCATGGAGCTGCAACTCGATTTTTTTTTTTTTCGAATTTTTGAAGTATATAGAGCCACCATGTGCAATAACATATAAAAAAACGATATTGGAACCACCTTTTTGAAGCCGGTTGAAAATTGTTTAACCTCTAAAATTCTAACACAAAGGTGTAACCTAAGCTACTGTTTTGAAGAAAGAAATATCATTCATCTAGCAGCAATATATTTGAAACGGGAAAGCTAGTAACACGTAGCACGTCGTAGCACACATCTACGCTTAGTCTACGGCGCTACGAGCGTCCTTTCGAGCTTAAAGAAACAGTTCTACGTCACATTAAAATCTATTTGGTTTGAAAATAACAATAACATTAGTTTGGTAACAGCATGCTATAGAATCCCGTTCAATACCTCTCCTGTCTCTATTTTGTTTGTGAGTGGCATACATTAAATTAGTTGTGTAAATAGTAATGTTAATGTGTTTTTTTGCGTTATATGAAAACTAGCCCACTCAGTACAAGACAATATATTATAAGTTATAAAAAAACATACTTTATGATAAGTATTGTCTGTACCTTCCGTGAGTAGTACACATTTAAATAAAACACTTATAACGGTTCAAAACGCGAAATATATTAGTGAGTTGTTTTTATTTAACGGCCCGGCGTGTCGGATACTTTGCAGCAGTCATGTCACTTTAAAGTAAACTAAGATAAATAAATTTAAAAAGCTACCTTATATACTTCGAGTTTTAAACCGTTGTGCGGCATCATGGGAAAACCTTACTAGTTATGATTCTTTTATATTCTATAGGGAGTTAACACTATATTATAAAAACTCATAAACGACGTGACTTGAAATAAGAAGTCTAAAATACACCGTGAAAAGAATAATAACGTGGAGAGGAACCATGCCGAAGCACTTTATGAAGCCACCGTGAAAGATCTTATCTCCGTAAATGTTCGGGGGAAATGTGTGATGCTATATTGCAAAGTGAGGGAAATATACTTTCGTCTTAATCTCCAGAACAAAACAAAATAGTAAATACATTCGATAATAATAAGAACAAAGGTGTAGATGCGTAAGAGTGTGCGTAACGCGATTATTTAACTGTCATTGTTTATATTTTTCACACAATTTTTATGACCGAGGAGAACAGATAGTCACAGGATTCACTTGATAGATGAGCACATGAGCTATAAGTATTCGGGATACGCTATCGTTCTAATACGTCTTTGAAATAAAACCACAGACTGAAACCACACACAGCTTACCGCCTGTGGACGTGGCTCGGAAAAAAAAACATATGACTTAATGTCCACATATTCCAGATGCGGTTTAAAATAATTTAGATAAATTATAATTGATTTTTGCAAACTGTTAGACCTGAGTTCGAACTCACGACCCGTTATTTATTGAAGACACAGCTTACATTCGATCGACAATCCTAAAATACTATCTTCAGAAACAAATAAAAAGTTTGGTAGAAATAAAACATGGCTTGTAAATAATATATAAAACCAGACATAGAACCTAATGTTATTTGAAGCCTACATAACTTGACACCTACTAAGAGAAAAATTTACGAAAAAGAGAAGATCGAGGAAATATATATATATGTATAATGTTTTAATAATAAATTGGAAATTCAATATGCATGTCTTTATTAAGTAATGTGAGAATATTTTTGTATACAGGTAATTTCTTTGGATCTTCAAAGATAGTGTTCTTTGCTAGAAGTGTACATTTAACTTGGTATTTATCATGTTAAAGTTGGCATTTTTTGTTATTTCAACGTCCTTAAAGACGAAGTTTTATTGCCTGAGCCTAGACTGAGGACAGCACTGTGTCTAGGCATGTGATAAACAACAAATAAAACACACGAAAAACAAACAAATAAACAGCGGTTTAAATTGTGAAACATCTACTTCTGACCACGCACAGGTCGTCAGAAGTTACTTAATAGGTCATTTAAAGAAGATTCAAACTTCCATATATCGTTTTGGGTTCCTTGAATCGTTGTCGCAGGAAACGCAAGTAAAACCCAACACAACGTTTTATAGTCAAATCAAGCCTTACCGTGTAAATGGTCCAACTGACACAAAAAAATTCAATTCGAACCAGTAGTTTCTGAGATTAGCGCGTTCAAACAAACAAACTCTTTGGCTTTGTAATATTAGCATAGGTAAATGAAAAAAAAATCCAGTATTGCTTTTAAAATCTGAGACTAATAGTAATCAATATTTCGCGTTTCAGACTGTTTACTTTAAACGGTTTAATTTAAACTATAGAACTAGGTTCTAGTTAACATGCCTAGGAATTTTAATAACAATTTAATAAGTAACTAATTTCAACGTTCCGTTGTTTAAACTTCAAAGATTTTATATTATGCACAAGATACGAATATCAAAGATCACTCATACATTATGTATTTCAATTTATTTTGATTCAGTGAGTGAATAATATGTGAGATTGAATCAAAGTACGCAGGCGGTGACGCGAGTTGGTATGATACATAGAATTATCTGAACATTGAACCTCGAAATAAATTTTACAGATTTAAATAAAACAACTTAACCGTTTAAAACGCGATATATTAGTTAAACTTATTTGAAAATGATTTTTAACTTCGGCCCGACGGTTCGCTACTACTCGCGTAAACTATACACAGTATTTAACTTTTACAGATTATAAAATATTTTCATAGAGAATTAGGATTGTAGCATTTATAATGTTGCAAATATTATATTTGCAATTTTTTATTTGTTGTTTTGCTATTTTTTGTAATTAATTTAAGTTGTTTGTGGACAACAGCTTAAATTAATTAAATAGTTTATATCTAGATATGGCCTAAATAAACATATAAACGCAAGACAAAATACGACACCATAATGTGAGTAAGACCCAGGATGGAAGAACCCTAGTTTTCAAATCTCAAGTAAATATGATTTGTCCATAAGAATTACTTTATTAGAAGAAGAATAATATTTAAGTATTGCCCGTCGTTTACGCGTTAATATTTTTAAGGAAAACTTACAGATAAAAAACAGAGAAGACAATAGTCTCAAATTAGATTTAGAATAAGACCTTTCAACAATAAAAACAGTATAAAAATAAAAACAACACAAAATATGTGAAGACATTTAAAACTCTTTAACAACCTTTTCACGTTTCGAACCGTTAAAAGTATCATAATTATTAAAACAATTTATTATAATTTTGTATAATAAGTGCTTTTCACAATTGCTTCGTTTTATATTTTTTCCTTTTGTTTATTTCTCTCTCATATCTCTTATATCTGAATGTATGTTATGCCTACTAAAATATTACAATGTGTACTTTTCTCACATATAACATCTGTTTTTGCTCTTTGTATTCGTCTATGACTGTCCTTCACAACCTTTTCCGTTGTTACTTAGTTATAAGAACGATGGCGAATCAAAATAAATAAATACAAATCATGATTACTTAAATTTATTTTAAAAAATGACAATAAAGCCAGCATCTTTAATAAGTTTAGCCTTTCTAAAAATCATAAAATATAAAACCTTACCTTCCTTGAACTTTTTGAAGTTCAACATTATGGTGGGCTAGAAACTTCTCATTGACTTTCTCTAAAGCGAGGTCCACCGCTGGGCCACATCGTTCCAAATCGAAGGGGGAATCTAACCGTGACGCCATCAAAACCCCCACTTTATAAACAGTACGAACAGATAAAATTCTTCTTATTATGAAGCTTAAGAGGAACAAGCGGGACAATTTTACAATAAACATATTTAATCTGTGTTTGTGTTAAATTTGGCGGGAATTATAAATTTTCATGAAAATAGGTTGTATAGATTTAAATACGCTTTAAAAGAAATATATAATCTATGGTTGAGTTAGGAAAAGTTTCGTATCTACGTAAATATCTGTTAACCGAGACGTGCGCCTGTCAGCGGTTGTAAGGGACACTGAGCTTGAAATCTGGCGTTGTATGGGGTGCTAAGTTTACACGGCAAGGATGTGACGCAACAAGTCGAGCTTCCCGCCATTTTCATCCATTAGCTAGCGGCTTTGTCGATACAATGCCTTTAAAATTTATCGAGGATCGAAAAGACTTGTTAGGTTTAAAAATAAAGGAGAAAATATGTCACCACAAAACATAAAATAATAAACTAGTATTTTCTGTACTTTACGCGAGTGCTACACATTAAAAAAAAACATTTTTAACGGTTAAAAACGCCAAATAATATTAGTTAACTTATTAACAAATTATTTTCACAACGACCCGACGTTTGGGGTGTTTTGCAGCAACCGAGTGAACTGTTTATCCCTCGCGACCAACACTGACGGGAGACATACGGGGATACTTTAATTACTTACCTAATATATTTCGAGTTTCAACCCGTTAAAAGTGTTTCATTTAAATGTTTTAGTAATTTATCAATACAAAAATGATCTATGCGCTTGATACTAATAAAAATGATTACGTTTTATAGATAAATAAGATCAATTATTTCTTAACTCTTGCCTTACTACTACTACACCATCAGAGATTTGTAGTTAATATTATCTTTAAACTATACTCTGCGTCGATTAAGAATATTGTCGTGATTCTTATATATTACTATATAATGAATATAACAGAAAATATATTGCAATTTTGATGACCAAACCTTTAGTATTTACGCAATAATATGTTGTTATAACACCAGTAACTGTTACAGGGTATTATCGTAAAATGTGTTGCGAATGTCTACACTCTACAACGTAAAATTATAATGGGTATTTTATGTATAAAATACTATATATTTATATTGAGTTTAAGGCACCTAACACTTTTATATATCAATTTTTTCTATAAGATGTTTGTCAAAAGACATTGTGCATGTTTTTTAGTATAATAAAATAAGGCTAGTTGTGTAGAGTTATTTAATTTGGAGTTATTCTTGCAATAAAATCAGTGTTTCCCGATAGAAAAAAGTTAAACATAATATTATTTTGGTACGTGGTTCTTCAACTTTTTGTTTATCACATGTCCATCATATTGTTTCAGCTCTGATTAAATTACCGTCACTAAAATAGTGAACCAAGATTGACGCCTTAACTTGTTCTTCGAGTAACGAAAACGTTGACTCTGCTTCCAAACTCCAGACTGGTAATGGCTATCTTCTGAGACAAGATCTAAATACCGAACCGCGGAGTGAGGTAGTGAAGAACGAAAAACATACGAAAGGACAATCGTTCGATTATGATTGATTGAGAGACTTTTGACGTCACGAAAGCGACCATCGTGTGTCTACTGCCTAACTGACAATCAAAACATATACCTAATGTTAGACGAAATACTACTTTTTGGATCGACCTTTTCATGATCGTATAACTATAAGGTTCATAATATCAAAACCGAATGTGTTGTGTCTCACTTTTTCTCGAGATGGCCTCAATATAGAAACATAACTCAATTTTATATATACCCGTTGCTACTCGAAGATTTACGCAACAGAATATAATAAATTGCGCCATTACAATTCCTTCATAAAACACTTGAAGTGTAAACTGAGTGCGTCCAGAGATTGCGTCAGTGGGCATCGGGGACCATTACTTCCGACTTTATGGGCGAGTGTCCGTCTCAAGAACGTTTAGTGTGATTTTATTGGTAGAAGGTGTCTTGTTTCATGTCTGGATAGTAACACTATATTTTTGTTGCTATTTTAGAACCGTTGCACGAGTACTTACTGTACACTTACGTCTTCTGTAGTTGTTTTTTTATGACAGAAGAGCATAAGAGGAGGGTTCACATGATGGAAGGTGAAGTACAACAGCTTTGTACAGCATAGGGGTTGTCCATTAATCACGTGACCTTTATTTAGAATTTTTAACCCCCCCCCCCCCCATTGGTGATACGTAGTGAGGTTTAAGACCACCACCCCTCCCCCTTCTCAACATCACGTGTATTTTTAGTACCTACAAAGAATCTTAAAATTTTCTGAATATTATCTTAATATAAATACAGGTATAAACTATATATCTTATTATATATGTCTTATTTTATTCTGAAATAAAGGACAATAATAAAAATGTCAACACCATTTGTTTAAAAATCGCGCGATTGACGAAAAAATAAATACACGAGATATCTTACTATACCCCCCCTCCGCCCTTGTGTTATTTTCGTGATTTTTATCAAACCCCTCCCCCCCCCTTTCAAGCCTCACGTGATTAATGGACAATCCCATACCTAAAAAATACAATACATTCTTTTATACGATACAGACAAAGAGATGATGTGCTAAGGACCTATTTTGGCTTTGGATATTCGAATATACATTAACTGAAAACAAAACGCGATTAAATCACCCATTTAGTATCCGGATTTCCGGGGGATGTCCAACATGTTTCAGTAAAATTAAAAATTGATTAGGAACCTGCTGGTCCCAGTGGGGTAACCCACGACCCGTCGATTTACATACATTGCTTCTCTCAAATAATGTCCTTTTATGACTTACACTATAATGTTTTCGGTGTAACCCACGATGCCCCACAGCTGGTCAGAATGTTTAAGAGCTTAGATGCACCACACTGCCCTAGCGCAGGTCGGTGGACACAAACCACTTACGCATCTATATGAGATATTATTAGGGGATCTAACTTCGAAACTAAAGATACAATAATTTAAGCATAAAACAAATTAATTTCAACGTGACATTTATTCAACAAAATCTCTACACACGTTTACACAATATGCATAAAATATTTTCCTATATCTAAGGGTACTATATATCTGGTTTAGTTGTTACATACAACAAAATAGGTACGTCGTTTTTAATAAAAATAATAATCTGTAACAATCCGATTTTTCCGTTCCAATTTCAAATGTTAATTATTAACAATATACAATAATAATTAAAAGTTAAACAATATGTATTGAATTCTAAAAATAAAAATATCTCGAAAAAACAAACAAACAAAATACTAATAGAAAAATAGGAATTGTATAGTAAAATAAATGCATCAGTTTTGATTTTTATTTACTATGTTTCATTTTAAATGAACGAAAGATCACTATTGAAACAGCTCTTTGGAAAAGCTACCGAGTGCTTTGTCTCTTTCATCTAAAAGATAAATAGGTCTTGCGCGACTGAGAAAAAACACCAGTATCAATTTTCCACTTACATCATGTAAGACTTTAAATATAAATGTATAAACATTATGGTCAAAGTGGTTCTTTTAGGCCCTACGTACTGGGGTTTTGTCGGTTTTAAAAATTAATAGACAACACAAAATTTTATACGCCTTTGCAACATATTTTGGAGGAATTAGTCAGAAATAGAAAACTATAGTTAAAACTGTAAGATTACATTGACCCTAAATAATTTTATAAACATTTTATTTATTTTTCAATATACACGTGAGTTGGTTCCACGAGACTATTACTGCAAAAATTACGCAATCTAACAGATTAGTATACGCAATTTATGTCTCTTTTATTTACGTCGAAAAACACATTTGCGCGACAAAGACGCAACCATTCTCAGTAAGTATAAGTAGCGGCACGGATCTTTAGCGCTGAACGAATCCTGCGCAGAAGTCAAAACTAAGGTATCGAAGAGACGGAAGCGGGCACGACGCGAGTGAACGTCATGTGCGCTAGCGTTGATTGGTTCCCCAGTAGTGTTGTCCTTTTCGGACCAATACGACGCAACGCTTGCTTCTCGAGTACAGTCACATTATCCAATTAACTACGTGCGCGATTGTACAGATTTCCCCCTCAATTCGTTCAGCGCTAAACATCCGTACCGCGATCTATGCTGGAGGTTTGTTTTCTAAACTGCGTATAAAAATCTTTAAAGATCCAATGTCTAACAACACCTAAAATAATGACTAGACATAGATATACATAAACACTACGATCAAATTAACTTAGAGACGTTTTTTTTATTTGCAGTCGAAGAAGATCAAAGGCTTTCGCGGCCATTTTGGGAAGCTACTTGGTATCTCGAGCTGGTTGAACAGCTCGAAAACCTAAGTAGCTCTAGCAGAAGTAGAGTTTGTAAACTATTTTATTTATCTGACTAATTCTACTTACTCAAACTAAACCACAAACATAGAAACGTCTTCAAGCATTGACCACCTATTTTTCAGTCCACGAAAAATATAACATTTCTTTTTTAAAGAACATAAAAGGATAGTTTTTTTACATCATCTGAGCACAGAGGAATATTTGATTTTTTTCGGTCAGTAGTCCAATTTTTTTTAATGTTTAAAGATTACAGTTTATTGTGTTTCAATAAGAATTATTCCAAGACACGAACCAAAAAGTAACACGTTCTGGTTCGTTTCTCTGGACCTGGTTTGAGATGCTATCTTGACTTTATGTAGTCAAATGCCCCCATTGAGAATATAAATTGTAATCAGAATTATACGATAGATAAGTACACATTAAGAATAGAAATTGTAAAAGAGTTTTACAGAGAAGAGAAGCTCATGCGCACTTAGTAATACTTTGAACACTAAATAATCTACTTTGACACGGTGTTATTGCACTAAGGGCAGATTCGCCCTTTTCCATATTAGTAGACTTTTAATGTAACTTGTCTCATATATGCTATTAAAGATTTAAGATGCTTCGATTCAATGGTTTAATCGCCACCCCGCGTGTCCAGCAAAGCATTCGCACCTTCGTTATATTTATTTAGGAAATATCGCGTTTTAAACCGTTCAAAAGATTTTTTTTTAAAGTTCACCGATTGTGATAGCCGCTCCACGAAATGAACTTATGAGTCTGTCTGTGGTCGTCGTTTTGATTTGCGAAAAGAGGTTTTTTCATATTTGGGACAAATTATACCAAGCTTACCGCTACACTCAAATATACACAATAAACACTACGCTAAAATTTGTGCGTATCGAACTAGAGGTTACGATATCAACATTAAATATAACACTAATAAACACACATCAAATTAATTTACAATATAAATATATAATTCTTTATATCTTATTGCTGTATCTGTCACACAGATTACGAGGAGCTCGTTCGATCTCACTTATCCGCTTAATTGTACTTCAAGGTAAAATTCATTAACCCTAACGAAATGGCAACACTACAGGGAATACAAGTGGACTTTTCGGTCCGGATTTTTTTGGCGCGAGATTTCTTCATTACATATTCAATAAAAACACAATGAACAGAGTCCCATACTAACCTTCAAATAAAACACTTAAACGGTTTAAAACGCGATATATATGCATATAATAAGTATCCGAAACGTCGGGCCGTAGTTAAAATAATTTTCAAATAAGTTTAACTAATAGATATCGCGTTTTAAACCGTTAGCATTTTATTTAAATGTGTACTACTCGCGTAAAGTACAGACAGTATGTACTAAAACCAAAAAACTACCCGGACCAACTATTCACTTTATTTTATTACGATCTACGTTATATAAATAAATATACATAAAAATAACGTTATAATCCGCTATATGTCTAAAAATGGGGCTTCTAAAACTCACTATCGAAACATTACCCTCTAATATCCAACGCAGAAGTTAACATTTTCCAATAGTTTAAACTTTGTAAAATTATAATTTGTCAAGCTAAATAGCACTCTTAGATTGGTGATTTAGTTAATTTAAACACTTAAAATAAACCAATTGAGTTTTAAACTATGTCAATAAGTAATTGTTAAGTTCTGCGTTGAATATTATTGGTAACAATTCGCTTAAAACTGGGCGGAAACTTCCTACTATTTAATGAACTATATTACTCAATTCCGATTTATTTTGATTACAACTATCTGCGCGCGCGCAACTCTATTTTACTAGTGAATATTAGGACTCTTTCTAGGGGTTGACATTTACAATATTACTACTAGTAACAAAAAGAACTGTTTTAATCTTGTTCATTGTAATCGATAGTGATGAAACTGTGTCAAAAACTAGAGAATAGTATACTGTATGTGAAATAAGAATAATTATATATTTCATATGAATCAAGGTACTAATTATTGCTGGTTTTATTTCGTTGCGGAAGTCTTGAAATTTAGTTTTAAAATAGAATTAGTAAGTAAGTAAGGGCTGAAATATTTTTCATTCTAAAATACATCACCTTCAAAAACTCGTTTTAATACAGAGTTTATTCACATTTGTGTTTATGGCAACCTATAGTGTCAAATGTCCCACTGATCAAGCGAAACTTTTTGTGAACAATAAACAGTCTACAGATATTTAAAAAGTTATAAAACCATAGCGTAGATTAGTTTGTCGGTTATTCATAAATAGGCCTACCACATATAGATTTTAAATGCACTTACTTCAAGTAACGATTAAAAAGAGTAAAAAACAATAGGAAGAATTACCTTACTGACAATAATACTTAAGCTAGCTGGAACACAAATTAGTAGAAACCTAAGGATAATTTATATGAGGTAGTGAAAGGTTAGTGTTGACTAATCTTAAACAATAGCTATAGGGAATACAAATCTCTTTCTTCATTTTATCTTTTGCTGTGTCCTATAATATAATCTCTTTGATGTTTAAATTCACCCTGTTTACGGGATAAACTAAACGGTGTTTTGTTTTCAAATATTCGATTATATTACATCTATAAATTATTATGATATAGATTATCTTTAGTTTCGAGTAAATATTTCTGAAAATTAGCTAAATTAGTTACTCTTAGTATTTAATTACACACTATCGCATCGATAATCTCGTTACATTCATTTTGGTTAGATTTTAATGAGACAGCTCTGTTGGAACAACAAGTGTCGTGTTAATATCTCCCCCTCCATTTAGACGTAGGTATGTCTTTATAAAAACTTTTCAAAATAATGTTATGTCATTGTCAACATTTGTTTTAAACTGAACATAATTTTTTTACCGTTTCTCTCAAATATTTGCAGCAAACCTGTCAAACCTTTAATGTGACACATCAGGGGGTACGCCTTCTGCGACGAAAAACCAGCGCAAATATGCTGCGCAGACGCCGCCAGCGACGTCTTCCACCCCCAGTGGATATGCTTGTGCCAACAAGCGATGACTGTAATAAAAAACAATATCTTTGACTATTACTTATGGGAACTGAATCTTATACTTATTACTTATTCTTTCACAAATCTAAAATGGAGTGCTAGGCAATATAATACAAGTGGTTCACCTGTCTTTGTCTCTCAAGCCGTCTGACCTCGCGAACTAACGCATGAAAGGCATCATCGACGAAATGGCGCAAAGCCGCTGATGTTTCAAAAAATGGACATCCTAACTGTGTGGCGAGTGCCTTGCCTTCTTCCGTGGTTACCTATAAAGTAATGACGAATTTATTACTGAATATATAATTGTATAGCAATTACCACTAAAATAGTAAAAACACTTATAATTTAAAAATCAAAATCAATCGAACAAATTTTTGACTCGGGCAATTGTTGAACGGGCAGCGTTCCGTGCTGTCGAATTTTTTTCAACTTATTATATACTTACATGCACCTCTCGCGCAATCTAATTTCCAACCTTAACAGTTTCGTATTAAGTTATTTATAATAACGTGTGAAAAATATTAAAGCTTTTAAAAACAGTAATTATTATAAAAAAAATGCCAAGCAAAATTGCATATATATAAAATAGTATAAATTATATAAAAATATTGACTGCTTCTGTAGCTAAATGATAACATTGCGTTAAGCAAGAGAGGTCCTGGGTTCGATCTCGGGTAAACCAAATATTTTTCAGCTTGCCTGTAAATAAACCCCATCAGTGTAACGGACACAGAAATGTATACACCCCATGCCCGACGAAGGGAATCGGGATTTCACGAATGTTTTATTGTGTATAAAATTCTAAAATGTTTAAAATTACCTGTCTGAACCTCGGTGCTAAATCAAGCTTGTTTCCCACTAACACCAACGGCAATGTCTCCGAAGGTCTCGCCTGTGCCAGCAAGCGCTTATATTCCGACGCCGCCCGAAACGATCTTTTATCAGTCACAGAGTAGCAGAGCATAAAACCTTCTCCACACCTCATATACTGTTCCCTCATGGCTGTAAACTCAACCTGTAATAATTTAATCCAGTTATGATAGATGAAAGACTTAAATCGTGTTCTGTGATGTACATTTATTATTGACCTGTTGATACATATTTAATCATTTTTAATTTTCTTTTTGCTCTAATATCAACAAGACTTAATGGAGTAAGAATTTAAAAAACTTAGGATTTGCTATCCTCTGATGGTTTAATTATTTCCAGTAATATATTTTAGTACAAAGATGGTATTTAAAAATAAAATTGAGAAGTACTGAACTATTTATGAAGATGTGTCACAAAGGACAATTTAAGCTTTAAGTAATTGTCTAACAAATGAAATAGACATGACTATTTCAAATACATATATATTGCCTAGACCAAAAATCATGTGGTGCTAAGTTTTTATCCATAATACCAAAACTCCATAAAATAATGTAATGTTTTGACAGTTATAGCTAAAGAGGCTTTTTATTTATCTATATCGGGATATATAGACATATTTATTATTTGCTTTATTATTTATAAAACACACCACAAACAATGCATATTAAGGAGGAAAATCTTATGTACTTATAAATATAAGGCGGCCTTATCACTAAGTAGCGATCTCTTCCAGGCAACCTGAAGTTAATAATAAATTTAATTCAATTTATTATTTACCTGTCCAGCAGTATCAAGTATATCAAGCAAGGCTGGTTCCCCATCAATAACAGCTTGTTGTTGGTATGAGTCCTCTGCAAATTATATTTTAATTTTATTTTCATATCTTTTAGTAGTTTGTGGTTTGATACATTTTATAGTTAAGCATTTCTCACAGGTTCCATACAATCAGTCCACCAAAACTATTTTTAAATTGGAGCCATAATACCATGTTAATATACTAAATAAAACAACATTATAAGTTACTTAACCAATAGTTATAAAATAACTTTACCTATACAAGCGGTATAGGTAAACTTATTTAAATGATGGGGCCACAGAATATCATATTCAATATTGAGACTTTAGTCCCAAAATAGCTGAGTGGACTCCCTTATCAGAGACAACCATATTATTTTTATAGCTGTATAATAAAAAAATATAATTTATAAATTATGTTTGATAAATTTGTTTATATTTGTAAATTTTGAATAAACATATTTCTATTCACAGTGACAATTAGCAATCTCACAGTTTCTCATAATAGTATAAGAAAGAGTATACTTCCATATTGGTACACTGCACTAAGTAAAGAAAAATAAAATAAAAATTATATAAATTGTTATACACAGTTGTACTTTTGCTATACCCATAAATAAGGTAAAATAATTTGAATTGACATAGCTTACCAATGGTCGGATCGTGATAGTCCAAGAAGCTGTGACTGACGAATTGCAGGGTGACCGCAGACTTGCCCACTCCGCCGTCGCCGAGCACCACGATCTTGTAGACGCGGAGACCACGCGACGTGCCCGCAGCCTCCCCCATAGCGCTGCATGCCTGCGTGTTCGGGGGCCCTGCCGAGCCGCGCCCGTCGCGCTCACTCGACAGACTCCTCGCCCGCCATCCGCAGAGACCGCCCCCCAAGACCACCACCTTGCTCACGTTAATGGTAAATCACTGAAATTCCACTCCATTTAACATACAGCCTATCATTGTAATTATTTAATTAATATTTATTCGATAAAAGTATCGCATTAATCTAAATTCGACAGCTGATTGCCGAAGATCGTCATTGTCAACCATATTTCAACTGTCAATGTCAAAATTATTAATAACATTTTTAGTCTGCGAGTTTTGTTAACAATAAAGGACTTCAAGTTTATGTTTACAAAACAAAATTTAGCAGGAAACAGTGAGCATAACTCTAATTTATTAGTATTTCATTCTAATGGCGCATTTACAGTTTGTTGACGAATTAGTTCGTGAATATCTATTATTTCGGGGTTTCACTTCGACTGTAAAAGCATTTGAAAGCGACCTAAAGTCTGATAAAGATAAGGGTTTCAGAGTTGACAAAATTGTTGACCAGGTTTTGCACTTTATTAATGTTTCCGATCTTAATGGGTTGAAGGAATATTGGACTCATCTAGACAATTTAGTTTTCGCCAAACTTGAAGTTCATGTACAGCCTGGTTAGTCCTCACATTTTCTAGATCAATTGTAAAGAATACTTTGAAGATTTTGAAGGTCCAATTTCATTGTTTTAGGGGTTCGTAAAATAGAATACAGCTTGTACAAGCTTTACCTAGTCATTGCAGCACAGAGTACAGGTGGTGTAAGGAATGAAAAAGTTGCTGAATTTTTTGCTAAAATGTTGCCCGAGCTGCAAGGTCAAAGTGAATGGAGAGATTGGTATAGTAAGTTTAAACATTGAATGACTCCTGTTAAAAATATTTTTGAATTCAGTAGCACAGTATAGATGGGTAATATACAGATTACTAATAATACGATAACCATGATACTCTTCTTGTCATCCATACTTTGAATACTGGTAAAATTAATCGACTTTGGCAGTCCAGATTGAAGCAAAAGCCTATTAATATTTTTAAATTAAGTGCTGATACTTTGGTTGTTGCAGTGTTACCATATATCACAAAGCCTGAAGAAAATCCATCATTCAGTCTTTATTTTACAAGAGGCTGGCAGGATAGTGTGATTGTTTCTCTTCATAATTTATTAGCAACCGTGTTTCAATGTATGCCACAGCCTACACTTACTAGCTATGAAAGTGATGCGGCTCTTGTTAAAAGGTTGCAGGAAGAAATCTCTTCATTAAAGGGCAAGGTAGGAAAGATACTAAGAACTGCACCGCGCATAATATATTCCTAAATTCTTGTTTGCAGTCCTTTTCTGTTAATATTGATTTAAACTATATTTCTAAGTCACTAGAAATTATTTTGACATCACCTGGACAAGGTAGCTAAATTGAAGTAGCAAATGACCAATTGTGCAAGCAACTGTAAGACTTTGAGGGATATCAATGATTAGCAATAGACACCAAACATCAGAAACAATCCAAATATATATTTGAATTATGATTTGTTACACCATCATTGACTTTATTGTTACCTAAGTATTGTTTTACACTTAAAAGATGAACTTAATGTTGGAAGTTTTAAAATAATTTAAACTAACTGTGCCCGCGACGTTGACCGCGTGGAAAATTTATAATATTTTTGGGATTATACTACTTATTTTTGCAAACACTCTTTTGCATTGGATAGACCTTTGTCTATCCTACGCAAAAGAATTGATCGATTCGAACCAGTAGTTATGAGATTAAACAAACACACAAACCCTTCAGATTTACACTATTAGTATAGATATTGGCAACTATAGTTCCTACCCTATAAACTTTTTTTTAAATATTGTGTTAACATAGATGTATCTGACTTATGTTGCCACTACATCGTTCTTTGTCTTTTAGAGCCAACCAGCAAACGATAAAGTCTCGCCGAGTGGACATCAATCGCGCCTCGCCCAGTATTCAGAGCGTCTCAGTGGTCCGCTGCCACTTATTGACGATTTTTCTGCAATACCTGCGGAACACTTAGATTGTGGATTACGAGAAGCAAAGGGTCTACGAGGTCTTCTGCGTCAAATGGGCGGCAGTCCTGTTATGAATCGGAAAGCGGGCAGATCTCAAAGTCAAAACTAAATGTTCCAGTTAAAATATGTATATTTAATATTAGTTATATAGGTACATTAACATAATAATTATTATAACTTGAGCGGTTAAAGAAACAATGTGAGTGGCAGACGGTGTTATGCTTTCTCGCTCTCATCTCTCGTACGATCGCTTTGTCTATATCACACAATGTGGTACAAAATATAAATTGCCAGTTTGGATTAGAATTGTTAAATTAAACACAGTCGTTAATTTCTGATCTGTTATTTGGTACGTTAATATTTTTTATTTCTATAGGTAAGGTCAGCAGATTAAAGTAAAAATAAGACTTCTATAAAATTACTTTTAAAAATATATTTTTCGAACTTGCTGGTTGAGCAGTGGCCGGCGATAGTTGTATGAAAATTCATTTGTCGTGTTTAGCGGCCAAATAAATTACTATGCAATATCATATTTGTAGAGTAATTTAAAAATGGAACGATCTTCTATTTCGCAACATAACGACTAAAAGGGTAACATATGAATATAGCCTAATTTAAATTTCGAACTGGCTGGCACAAAGAAAGCTATTTTGGGAAAAAAAATAATACATTTAATTGGCACGTAAAAGATTCTTTCGAGCCGCTGCAGTAATGTACTGTAACATCTTTAAAAATGTATTATCATATAAATATAATTTAATGCACTGATATATTTTTTACTAACGCTACTATTTCACTACTGACTATCCGAAATTTACAGATTGTTTGTTACCGCGCGTGTTATACTAATTAATTCATCATAATATGCCCTCTTGTAAATTAGAACGCTATCAATTTTTATTTTAAGTACTGTATCTGTAATATTATCCTTTAATTCTACAGAGTTTTTTATTTACCTGTGAATTTTAATTATATGAAAAAACTTCATATGTCCATGTAGTTTTTATAACTAGTATTTTATATGTACATATAAGTTATTATAAGTAGATACCTAGTTATAGTAACTTAAAAATACGTATAAAATCTACACATCAGATTTTATATGTGCTTTCAAATTTTTTTAATAAGAACGCAGTGTGAAAGTAGTAAAGAAAAATAATTGCAAGATCCCGAAAGAAATCCTAAGGCTCTCTCTATGTAAACCCCTTTCCTAAAATTCTGAAACATATGAAAAAAAGTTTTATGCGGTTTAAACCTTAGAATTAATATTTATTTATTTTATTTCATTACAGCTTTATTATTTAAAATATAATATGTACACTAAATAACAAAAAAAAACTATGTGTATAGAAATAAAACCACAGACAGTCTAAATATTAGTGTACTCTGTAGTGCAATGTTGCTATAATAATTTTGTACATGAATGTTTGCTATTTTACAAAATATGTACAATACATTTTTGCTCGCCTTTTTTTCATTGACACGACGAAATGCCTACACCTGAACTTTATTATTTAGCCATCTCAATATATCAATGTTAAAAATGTTGCCAAGAATCCCGGGAAATCTGTTAAATGTTACGCTAAGGTAGAGCACAGAAAGGTAATCAACTATGTTAAATACATAGTTAACACAAAATGAATTATTGAAATAGGCGCAGAAATTTGTTTACACCTTGCTCTAGAGGAAGAAACAATTTATTAACTTAAATTTATATTATAATAAATGCTCTGCGTACCTATAACTTTGTAACTAATGTTTCAAGTCAATTTATATATAAATTTATGTGACATATTTAAAACGTTTTAAGGCGAAATGAAAGCAATTATGGAAAATTTTAAATATGTAACTAGCAACATTATTCTGAAACGCCGCTTACCCGGCTTGGCGCTTTTCGGAAGGACAAAGTTTCCTAGGTGGTCAGTTTCTTTTTGCTAAAGTTGTATCGGCAAAACAAAGAATATTCATGGCACGCACCACACCTTAGTTTCAAATATTTCTTCTTTATGTTAAATCTACAAGCCTTTGTATAACAACTTTCCAATCTGTTGTGATTGTGTGCTGATGACCCAAGGAACTGTTTTCAAGATATAATATTAAAAACAAAATTGTACCACAATGACCGGGTAAGAGTGCATTTCAAATTATAATCAAATAAATGTTTTATTTTACGATTTCTTGTAATGCGGACTTATATTATGGTCTAAATATATATACTTTTTGCTTTCGTGTTTTCATAGTATGTGTAACAACATTTATTTCGATAGAAATTAACAATCTCGGCGTGTGCTCATTAGAAAAACATTCTTTTACCGTATTTATTTAGGGCTTAACGAAAAAATAATACCAGCCCTCTATTTGAATTATCTTAGCCTTAGCCTTTTTTTAGTAGGTAGTTTAAAAATAATGTTATCATCACATTGTAATTTTCTTTCTTCAATAATCATAGGAAAGCATATACCATGAAGGAGATGAAGGGAATTGTAAATTATATTGTGGATCACAAAACCTATGGTGAAATAAGAGGGAGAAAAATGTGGATGGATTATGCAAAATCTAAGGTATTGAGTACAATGTTTTTGGAATACAAATTCTGTTACTTTTTTTATTGGCAATATTTTTAGGAAACAACAAGAACATGGCAAAGTTTAAAGGAAACTTTCTTGAAAAGAATATTACCAGATATACACAATCCTTATTATGGCTTACAACTGACTCAGATAGCCAGCTTCAGACAGGGGTAAGGAGTTAAAAATAACTTTGATTATTTAAAGAATAATGATGAATATGTTTAAAAATACAATAAGAACAATTAATTTAATTATATTTTTATTAACTAGTAGGTCTTTACATTAAATCAGCTATTTGTAGACATTTTAAAAGTTCTGTAATAGCATTGTAGGTGTTAAATGTATTCTACAATTGTCTGTTTCTTATATAGTTTTATCAAAATAAAAATCCATGAATCTGATTGGCAGCAATCATGAACAAACCTAAATGTTCTTATTAGGATTGAATGAACAATTTGTAGAAACAAATATTCTTTAACACTAATTTTTTAGATCCGATGTTGAAGCAAATAATTCTAATAAGCTAAATGTTGAACCTGTTGATAAGGGGCCAGGCTCACCTGCAACTTCTGGAGGTATGTACATACTTTTCTTCTATGTTGGGCATGTAACATTTACAAAAAGGTCACAAGACCTTTTTGTTCATTCTTTGTAACCACACACCAAGTCACCTTTTGTGCAATTTATTCAACACTTTAAAATAACACACTTATTTTATTACAAATAAACTTGACAAAATGCGAGTGAAGTTAGTCTTCAAAATGTAGAGTACATCTTTTTGGACACTTTGAATATTTTATTTTTGTCATAATTATATAAGATTTCTCGTTGTACAGAAAACGGTCATGACAGAATTGAAAAGGATGTCGAAAATAACAAAGATCAAAACAAAGAACAGAATACATCAGGTGAGGATCCTAATATTGATGAATTAGATAATGTTAGAGCTTCCACAGAGACACACATTCTAGACCCATGTTATGGATCAGCAGATGATATACGAAAAGACCTGGAACAATCTGACCAGGAGAGAGCACTGGATCCAAAAGGTGAAGCACCAGTAGCTACTGCTGTTGTGCCTAATAACACAGTCAAAGTAAATTCTTCTGATGAAGAAAATATAGATACACTCACTAAAGCTGTTCAAAAGGCAGCTGACCAACAACAAGAGATTGCAATTGAATTGTCCGATTCTGAAGAAAACCAAGTTAAACAAAATGGACAAGCTGATAACATGGAAGCTAAAGCAGCACAGAAAGAGGAAACCAATTTAAATATACCAACTGAAAAGGAAAAAGACAAAGAGAACTCAATAAATACATCAAAATCTATTTTAAGCGGGAATGAGGTGACAAGTGAAAAAATTAAATCAACCAAAAACATTAAAGACACCCCAAACAATTCCAACACTATAGACACACAGCTTCCGAATAACCCTGAGGAGCTTGACAAAAGTAAAGAAAATAATAAAGAAGTGGCTGAACCTAAAAGGAACAAGAAAAGGGCAGCATCACAAGAAATGATAATAAGTAAACGCAAGAAACTACTAAATAAGCAATCCGCATCAGACACAGATGCTATTAAGCACATAAGTAAGAATGTTATTCCCGAGGATCCGTCTGAAAAGCAAGATGAACCCATAAGCCACGACGGGCAGGTTATTAATCTAGAAACATTATCAGACACAAATGAAGCAAACGTTAGAACAAATGAGCTGGAAGTCATTCTGGAAAAGAATCCCGAAAACCCATATTCGAAGAGTGTCAAGGTACATGAAGAACAATATTCCTGTACTATAAACAGTGAATCTGATAATGTGGAAATAACAAAAGAACCAAAAAAAACTGTTAAACCTAAAAAGCCTGTACCTATACCTGTAACAAGTATCTCAAACCTATCCAGTACCACAGACAATCCTGGTGAAAATATACCCAAGCTAGGGATTGTTAGAAAGAAGCAACGTGATAACGCTTTGGGACATGCCTTTGGATTTTCAACTGGTAGGTATTTTAATAATTTTGCTTTGATTCTGTTCATTGAACCAAAGCATGAAAGTAAATAAACTACGAAGGAAGTAGAAAGATATTTTATTTGTTAAACATTATCTTTTCTCACTATCCTTTTTCTGTGTTCAATAAAAAGAGAATAACTTATTGTTATCTCTAATTATATTATTTCATTTTCATTTACTTAAATAATGGCCAAATATAACGTTGCAAGAATTATTAGAACGAGGATTAGACAAGTGTTAACTGGCAACACACGCATGCTTATTCTCCAATAGGCCAAGTCTCACATATGGCAACTGTTAAAGATTTGCTTATTATATTTAACATTTAAATCATATTAAAGTTTTAATCGGTTTAAATTTTCAGGTGAAGTGTCCAGAAATAATAAGAGGAGACACAGCTACACTAAAAAGCGAGTTTTACACCCAACCTTGTAAGTTGATAATAATTAGAATTACTAATAGATTTGGATTTTGTTGAAAGAAGTACACAGATTGTCAAAATCTTCCTTATTTTCCTTCCAGTGCGAAGTAAACAAATATTGTATAAGTAAGGTACTTCAATATCAAATTACTAAGTACACAATATTATTAAATATATAAGCTATTATAATGATAGTATTAGAAGTATATTATCTATATTGGTACTTGTGAAGTATCAAAGTTATTTTATTTTAATATTATGCATCTGAGTGCTGGCTTATTAACTTAACTTATTTGAAAATGATTTTTAACTGCGGCCCGACGTTTCGGATGCTTAACTAATATATCGCGTTTTAACCCGTTAAAGTGTTATATTTAAATGTGTACTACTCGCGTAAACAATAGACAGTATTTAATTATATCTGTATATCAATTATGTTTTACTTGGCACCGACATAAAATTATAGAATATTTACATAAAGCAAAATCCTTCTTTCTTTGTATGAAGTACATTTATATTTCTTTAGTAACTATTTTGTACGTTGTATTTTGTTGTCACGAGATTTTTTTTATTACAGAAATATTTCATCAGATACAAGTGACGCGAGTTCAATGAGTGATTCCGATTTTATATCTCCCCCCCGAGGCAAGAAGCACAAAGGCCATACAAAATATGTGTGAGTAATATTCCTATAGGCTTATCGAAACGAGATCACAAGAATTCGAAGGGTAACCCATCAATGGTTCACTTGATGGCAGGTGAAATACCCCAACCATGTAACATATACAAGACAATGCGCTGTCGCCCTATTTTGGCTTCGGATTTCATATACATATATATATACATTGCTACGAGCCCGTCCATTTGTGGGAACGAGACAACGCTCACATTAAGTAATTAGACTAACAGCCCCCGGGTACATCTCATACGTCAAATTACAAACAAAACACAAAATTTTTAGGACACTGTAAAAATAAAAAAAATTAATCATAAAAACATTTTGATTTAGAAATCGAAAATAAATCGAAAAATATTTTGACTCGGGCACGACTTGAACCGGCATCGTCAGCGTTGCGTGCTGTCGCTCTACCAATTGAGCTATCGAGTCCTACACCCCATCGTCGATTTTTTTCAACTTATTGATACATTTTTTAAAATTCGATAATCCAATCAACCATCAAACACTGAGCTAAAGACGATATTAATAAGAGTATCTATAAATATTTTAGGAAACCGAAGTCTCTTCGCATGCGTACCCTAGACGAGGACGGCGGATTATTCGTGATGCAGGGAAAAAGAATTTTTCCATTTGTAACGGACGGAAAAAACCTGAAAAAATTCCTCAGTTACGAGCCAGATGGTAAGACATCAAAAATGCGTGTAATTACTATGTAATACAGAAATAAGGAAATCAGTTTTATCCCCGTACGTCCTTTTCTTTTATTACATTTAACGTTTTCTTTAATTAAATTGAATTTTGATGATATTTTGTAAAACTAACTAGATACACAATAGACTGACTATATAATCGAGTTGATTATACATTATAACAAAAAATATAAAATTGACAAATCGTTGTATTATACTGCAAACCAGAAGATTATCTTTAGAAAAGCTAGTAACAAAATAATAGGAAAAAACACTATAATTAATATACAATACCAAGTAAAGGAACATACTAAGTATTTACTTCGTTTTTGAGTGTTTGTCGAGTGTCGAAATGAGTGTGATATTCAAGAAGTAACCATTTCTTCCAACCGCAGATTCAGACGAAGAGTCATATTGGAAGTTGAAGTATATTGAAGAAAAGAAGAGGGGCGATGAATTGGCTAAGTAAGTTTCGTTTATTTCTTTGATTCTCTCATCTCTTTGATGATCTACTTCATAGATGTATTTGTATATATATTAACTTGAACAAGCGGGACTTGAACGCTCGACTGACATTTTAAGGAATCCTTATTTTTTATTGATTTTTATTATTTATTCCTTTGACAAGAGGTGCAATATTACTTATAAATAATGTTAAAATTAACAAAACTATAATTGTTTGCATGGGCAATATCAATTATATGCCAAACAATACTAAATTAAGCTTTACCCTATAAGGTTATTGGAAAAAGCTACAAATTCGAGGCCTGAAAAAAATACCCTTCTCGAAGCAACTACAACTGCAGACGTGTAAGTGTTACATACTATACGAGCGTTTAAAAAAAAACAACACAACTGTTCATTTAAATAAAACCATTACAACGGTTTAAAATACGAAATGTATTAGTTGAATGTATTTAGAATTTATTACGGTAACCGTTGAGTGTTTTATTGCAATGGGTACTACTCGCGTAAACTACGAACTGTATTTGACACAAGTGGTGCTCGAACCCGCGACATCTGTTGTTACTTTGCTAAAAGAGTTCTTTAAACTTACATTACATAATTTTTTCTTAATATAGTTTTTTATAGAAATATACCGATTAAAACTTTTTTACTTGATTCAATTAAGTAATAATAAAAAAATCTCACCAAAACGATTGTTCTAGGGAAGTTCCAAAAGAGAAGACAAAGAATGTAAACGAAAGAGGTAAGAATATTTTTTATTAAACATAAATGTTTACTTATTAATGTTTACTTCAAAAAATACCAACATGTTTACATCAATGGAAATAACCAATTTATAAATTCGAAACATAATAATTTCAAAAATCCAGATATATATATATATATATATATACTCTATTTAGAGTTTAAAGCTAAAATAGGCCGACAGCGCACCTCATTTAGACGTTATAGGTCTTCTATCAAATGGACACCATGATTGTCTTACATCCATACAAAAAATATATAAAGCTATAAACACTTATTTAGTGTTATAGTTGTAGTTTGTATAATAATTTTCAGTTAAGACAAGTGCAGATGCACCAGAAGCAGACGCACCCAAATCGAAAGACACGACACTCAAGATTAAGATCGTCAAAAATAATGAGGTATTTTAGACATTTTTTTATGGATCGTATGTTTCATTTAATTAGCGTACTGGGTTTAAATCCTGGAGAATAGAGTGCTTTGACCAGGCATGACTTGTATCAGTCAAACAGAGCATAAAGAACACATGTGTAGTAAGAATTTTCTATATTTCAAAACAAATGAAAAGCATCTTCAAAATAAATAAAACTTCAAAATTAATAATTAATTCTCTTTATTATTAATTCGCAAACAAGTTTAACTGAAATAAATCGCGTTTTAAACCGTTAAAGTGTTTTATCAAAATGTGTACTACTCGCGTAAACTACAGACAGTGTTTAAAAAATTTAATGTAATAAAAAGACTCCACGTAATTTCTTCTTTTAATGCATTAAATTCTGAGTTCTCTAATGGTTAGCAATCTTGACGATGTTAAAGAATTACATAATACAATTTTAACGGTTTAAAACTGTCAAACGTTCCAGTTAGCTTACTCTGAATCTATTTTAACTGACCATATAAATCACTATAGTACTAACTAACTGCTATATTTCGTGTTTTTAAACCGTTAAAAGTATATTAAATACGTACTACTCGTGTTAACTTAAACCCACTCAGCTACCACTACAAAATTTCAAGTAATTGGTCCCAAGGTTTACTAAACCATGGGACAAATTGATTCTAGATTTTAAAGGTCCTCTTGAACCCTCGAGTTTAAGACACTTGTCCCTAGCATTGGGATATGAATCGACTATCTTGTTTCAGGAAGTGCAACTCGAGGGAAATTGGTCCCAAATAAACCCAGCGTTGGAACAAATCGTCCAACTTATAGACAAGTCGAGAGCTGACACCAACCGCAAACCTAGCTGCTCCGATGTTCGTAGTGGGGTCTCAACGCCAGATGCTAGCAGTAAGTTTTGAAAACTAAGATTTTTCACATGTTATTGCACTAAAAATTAAAAATCGATTGTAGATTGACAATGTCCTGCCCGTGTTGTAATTGTTTAATCTATAATGGATTTTTTATTTATAGTAGTAAGTTTTTTATGACTGTAATTTACATAAAAACCTTTTAACGGTTTTAAACGTGAAAATAATCTTTTTTATACTTTGATCCGACGTTTTTAAGTTTCCAGCAGCCCGTTAATATAATTATGTAATACGCGTTTAAAACCGGTAAATGGTTTTACTTTTACATAAACACCACGCTATCCGTAATAATTAATATAGTGTTACTGTTTGTCTATATCTGAAAACAATGTCCTGTTTTCCAGCAATAAGAAGAGTAAATGAAATAGAGAATGAGATATTTAAGGAGATAGAAGAGATAGAGAAAGTGCAAATCGGCAACGATAACAACGATGCCCGGGAAGACCAGGAAATTGCTAGGTAATTTTCTTAAGCTGCAAACCATAAGACATTAAACCCTAAAGTGACATTTTTAAGGGTGAAATTACATTGCGCGATAGGAGCATGTATCAATATAATTTAATTCTATATAAAGGTACTATTTAAAATTTATGACAGTGTTCTTTGGGTTCGTCACATTTTTTATATTCACACAAATACAATGTTTTTAGACGTATTGTTAAAATATCATAACAAACAAGGTTTTAAAATCTTACAGAAAACGAGGCAGGCCCCCGTTGAAAAAGACCGCGATGCCAATAAAAACGAACGCTTCAGCGAATGACGAAGACAAAAGAGTTGATAAATTGGAAGTTCCAACAAGACGAAGCACTCGGACCCCTAAATCGGACACTAGTGGTAAGATTTTATATTCAACAGAATAGAAAATTGAACTGTTTATGAGTCAAATACTAAAATTACTCATAGGCAGTCTGCCTATCTGTCGTAGGTTCAAGTCTTTCAATATTCCTTAAAGTATTTTCATAGACTATTCGTTAATATTCCGATCTTTTAATAAATACGTTACTTGATGATTTAAAATACGCGAAATATAGTTTGTTTTGTTTATTCTACTACTTGTGACGTTTTGGTGTCACTTAAGCAACAAAAACGTCGGGTCTAAGTTAAAATTAATTCACCAATCTTCACTTACAGTTGTTAGTTCATGAAGAAATTACTCCATCCCACCTATGCAGTGTCGTTCTTATGGACATGAATTTTCAGGACCTTTGACAATCTTTCATCCATATTTTATATTAATTAACATATTCCATTTCATTTCACAGAAATATCCAATAAAAATTCACCCGAGACAAAGAAAAGACTCACAAAAAACGTCGAAAACACAGACAATTCTGATGCTTACGAGATTCGTTACAAGTTTCCATCTCCGCCTAAAGAAACGACGCGCAGGCGTGCACCGCCGCGTGCAAGATAGTGAGTGTCTTGATTTTTTAAATCGTGTAATATATTATATTATAATTCTACGTATAGGTGCCACTATATTATGAAGACACGGATATAGAGTGCAGTTCAAATCTATGATATCATTCGCGTTTTAAACCAGTTATTACTGTTTTAATTAACATAAGTAGTACACACGACAACATAACATTTTAAAATTGTATTTTTTAAATTTATATAGTGTATTTTTTCTAACTTGGCAAAACGACAAATATGGCCAATTTTAAACGATAGAGAACTAGTGATAATCTTTAATAGAGTGAAGTAGTTGCCACAGATGACACGGGGATAAAGAAACGTTGGTTATATATGAACTATTGAGTTCATATATAACCAACGTTGATTATATACGTTACAACGTTGATAATATTGATTCTAATTTAATTTTATGATGGCCTTTTTTTACTTGATTATAATTAAACTCCATCGTGCATGAGTTCAACTTTTACCTTCTATCCTTGACTTTGCTTAAATCGTAAATGTCAAACTAAGGAAATCTTAATCTGTCAATTTACGTATATTTTTTTTTGTTTTTCTCTAATCAAACATGAACTTTGTGGTATTTACTATGTGATTTCGTGGTAGTTTTTAGTGACTCGAAAGTGGTTTTTTGTGTGAATCTCTGTGAGCCCTGTTTTTGACGATTTCATGTAAATTTTGTGTTTGTTTACCGAAAAAATGCCAAGTTAAAAAAAATACACTACAGTAATACTTATTGGAGTACATTTAACTAATTATCACTAAATTATGTTACTTAAAGACCAGTAATACAACAAAAATACATTTTAAACCCCATTGATGAGATGCTTTTTACTTTGAAATGTTTCCTTAAAAACTCAATAACCTTGATTGAGTTTGATTAAGATTAGTAAAAAATATATTCTTTTTGGATATATATCTGTCTTCATACAGCTTATAGTCGCACCTATATACTAAATAAATTATACTATGTCTTATTTTATAAACAGTACCGATATAATATATTAATAAAATCAGATTAATTCATTATTGTATGACTAATTGGAGATATGTGAAATAAATTATTATTTAAGTATTGCCTATTTACACACTAAAGAAAACACTTTTAACGGTTTATAACGCGACATATTGTCAATTAATTTTTAACTACGATCCGGCATTTCTTATGTACAGTAGGAGTGCTCATGTAGAGACGAAATGTCGAAATATTAAGCCGTTAAAATTGTTTTAACATAACTCTTTTTTTATATCACTATTTAACTTAAAATCATTTAGTTATTACAAGGCGTTATATTATTAGAATCAAACTTCTATTCAATATAAAAATCTTTCTATAAATCTATATTATCTATTCTTAGCTATCTGACTGTTATAATTTAATTTTAATAAAAACGTAATCGTAATATATAATTAAAGGAAGACGCATATCGCCAATTAGTAAAAAAAATCAATTATTTATTTGTTTTGTTGTTTCTTTGATTTAGAACAACATTGGAATTGAAAATTAACCATAATAATATTAATGTTTCGTTACAGAGTTTATCTATTTGTATATTACATGTATATGTTATACGGACGATTATCTTAATACCTTAGTCATTTTATACTCTCTCAACACTTAACAATTAATCAACTATCTGACAACACAAATCAAAGTACAATTATGACATTTATCAATTACAATTAAGTAGAATAATATTTTTAGAACTAATTCGTAATTATGTTAAAACTGAGACTTGTACTAAACAACTTGTCTTAGACAGTAGTTGTGTCATGTCACTTGTGTTATTTTTAAGATTTTGCTCTGTGAATGGGAGCAGGTGATTCGAAAATAAAGTTTCAGCAGCAAATGTGTCTTTGTATTCAAATAGCTTAGCGGTTTGTTTGCTGACTCACTTGGGTTTTTCTCGCTTAGTTTATATCGCCGTCTATACATAAGTTGCATTCGATGTTATGTAATCTTGGCTTTGTAACCTACCTGCTTCCATCCCCCTGCACATTTGCTTCTGCTCTGTCACTGCTTCTTGCTAATGCACGGTTTTTTCGACAGCCAAATAAAAGCTACAAGAATCTACTCCTCCCCCGAAAACCTATCTGTCAATTCCGATGAAGCGCAGGGCTATATAGACTCGGACGGCAGCCCTTTACAAATAAAAATGTCCTGTATCTCTTCTCACAGGCCCTCAAATTATATAAGTCAAACTATACTCGTACCTAGCATCACCGAAGATCTATCTAGCGATAACAGCGTCTCATATCTAACTATACCTTTACAAACTAAAACTTTCACTAACTCCAGCATCAACAGTAACGTATACAGGACTGAGTCCTATCAGCTGCTAATGCAAAAAAAAGACGCGCCGAACTATTTACAGAAAATAGATGAACTCCGCCACTCGAGCGAGCAATATCAGTATAAAAAAACCGATAACATTGAAAATAATAACGCCGCTGATCAAATCAACTTCGAGAATTACAGCGCGGATGTATCCGAACCGTCCCAACCCACGTCGCCTGTTCTATCCATAGTGGAAAACGTATCAATCAACAAGAGTTTAATAAGCAATCTCAGTAGGAATGACATAGACGAGCCGAAAGACCCTGTTACCCTTAACCATCTAATGTCCCAAGGGGACTGCGCTCCACTTATGGAGAGCGATTACAGTGTGAGGAAAAGGGGGGTAGATGGCACAAAACATCATTACAATCTACAGGAACCTTCGGTGTCCGACTCGTTCCTCAGCAAGATGTGTTCTGTTAAACTCGAAGATATATCGCAATCGTTAAATTCGAAAATTCAAAATCTATACATAGAGAGCGCTAAAAAGTATGCAAAGACAAAAACCAAGAAAACATACGAGAGAAAAACAAGCGCAGAAAAACAGAAGGGACAAGGGAAGGGCAAGAAAACAACGTCGACGCCGCGCAAGCCAAAAGCTACTAAAACAAAATGCAAGCCTTCCATTTTCGATCCGTGCCTTGAAGAACACACCGAATCCTGCTCTCAAGGTAGGAGATCTTGTCCGCCGCGGATTTGCTCCGCTCAGGATCAGCAAACAGAACCAGCTAAACCGACAGCCAGTAAAGAGAAACCTCCATCCAGCAAGAGCAAAGTTAGAGTACAAAAGAATATAATCAAAGTTAAAATAACAAAACCTTATAAAAAGATTACTGATGAGCCAGTAAATGAGACGAACAATGCGGAGTCGGGGATATTCCTTCAGACGAACGATTCTGTGGATCTCATACACAACCACTCTTGTACGTGCGTCTCGGCTCACGATTGTTTGGATGACAGCGTTCAAATAATGGATCCACCTCAACCGGCTGTCATAACCCTCGACACGCAGAGTCCAAAACCTGAGCGAGTGCGTCAACGGTTCGTTAACGACGAGGTCGATGTAGAACTTATGGATCATGATGCTCGTGATGGCTCCGAAGTGGATTCAGGTAAGTTTTTTAGTATTTAAAATCACAAATTTCCTTGAAGACATTTCTGTTGTGGAGAAGTTTAAGTTGCCAATTTCACCGTTCCCAAGCGAGGTATTTTTTTGAAAACTTTAATATGTTTTACATGAAGGCACTATATAATTTAAAAATCGAAAATGAATTGAAAAAATTTTCGACTCAGGGAGGACTTGAACCGGCATCGTCAGCGTTCCGTGCTGTTGCTCTACCAATTGAGCTACCGAGTCCTACACCTCATCGTCGAATTTTTTCAATTTAATATTTCTTTATCCCTTGAATAAACTTCATTAGACCTTGTTTAACTTTAACGTCCTATTTCGCTATTGTGTGTTTGCGTGTTTCTTATACTTATTGTGGCTTGTACGATTGACGTTTGTGGATGTGAATTCTTTGAATGTTTTTATTTCGCCATTCTTTACTATTACATTAAAAGATGTTACATAAAGATCTTCAACAATTTCAGCCATAGATTACATGAACTCCAGAAAGACCACGTCGACCCTGAGTTCGAATATTAACACAGCATCACCGAATAGCCTCATCACCGAAGATTTATCACCGCACAGTACACCGAGCAACTGGTATTTAGTGTCCGAAGAGGAGTCCACCAATTTCATGGAGTTTGACAGGATTCAGACTCAAAATGTGTACAGCTCGAATTTGGAACCACTGTTCCCCGTCACCTGTGCTGTGCCGAATCTCTCGACGATAACAGAGATCTCCAGAGATGCTGATACGAACTCGAAAAACAATGATATTAATCGACCCACTAATCCATGATTCATAATCTATATCTTACTAAATACTGCGCTGTGCGTGAGACTAAAGTATTATTTAATTTTTGTAGTAGATGCCAAACTAAATGATTAAAATTGTTGCTTTTTCTATTTTTTGTGTTTTGTTACTATAATATAATAAAAGAACATAGAATTTGGTTTAAAAGTCATCGTCTTTTTTTATTTATAAGTTTTCTGTGCAGTTAATATTTTAACAGCACGAAACACCTTTCTCAAGTCCTATAATTTGAATAAGATTTTTTTTCTAATAAATCTATGTGAGTGCGCTAACGTCGAAAAACAATAATGGTCATACTATTGTGAGTTTATAATAATCACATAATTAGTTAAATACATATATATTTAAATCTTGCGCTACAAATCGAAGTAGCGTTTTTGGTTCTGGAGATCCACTTTGAGACGAGTAAGTATACATTTAAATAAAACACTAACGGTCTCCCCCCTGACCACGGCTGCTGCAAAGCATCTGAAACGTCGGGCCGAAGTTAAAAATCATTTTTCAAATAAGTTTAACTAATATATCGCGTTTTAAACCGTTAAAGTGTTTTATTTAAATGTGTACTACTGGTGTAAATTATAGACAGTATTCGAGTAAGTATATCTTTATTGAAAATACGCTGAAACTAATAAATACTTTTGCTTTGTTTTATTCCAATATTTAACAAATCAACCTTATATTACCATTACCTTCTATAAATAATACCCTTTTACTTGCTTATTACTACTACTTACATTAATTTTACTTTTTCCACACATTTAAAAGCTTCCAGAGTACGGACTGTAGTTCAAAATAGTTTAATTATACATTGCGCGTTTCAAACCGCAAAAAGTGACATTCACATATTATATAGATATTAATTGCGTAAACAGACAGCACTAAACCACTATTAATTAAAGACTAAATTCAGTATTATCTGCACTTATGTGACACACGTCATTAATATTTCAAAAGATCACCGTAGGTTCTGGTCTCCTAAATTTAAAGTGAAATTTAATCATGACCCATGCATACTGTGCGGACGCTTGGCGCAAATCAAGTAGACGCCAGCGAATATGGTACACGGAACATTTGATGCCGGCGCTCTTGGCCGCGAAGGAGAAGCAAGTCAGGGATATAGACACTCTTATAGGCATGACAAAGGAGCTTATAGATGTAAGCAGATATTCTTTGGGTATAATAAGAGAATAAAAACTCGTCGAAGTACCTAGTCTTCACCGAGTCATATTTTACAGTAGCTGTGCCCGTGACTTCGGATGTGAAATAGTTATTTTGGGCAAACACAGCTTTATAAATGACACACGACGTCGTCAGCGTCCCGTCGTTTTCGTGAGTTTATCTTGAAACATGGACATATAGTGGTCGAGTTTTAGACCATTTTAAAATAATTCTTTATTCAGATACAAACCCACCCACATCATTTAAAAATACCTGTAATAATAATTGTTACGAATAAGTCAATATTACTGTTTATTTGCGTTTGCTGTAGTGCGTGCACTTTTGCCCAGTTCCTTAAAATGAGATTGTTTAGGTGCTCGGAGAAAGTTTGCACTATACGATTCGTTGATGTGTTAACGCGGTTCATTTTAGAGCCCTCGATATGCTAATCGCGAAGAAGTCCGATACCCTTGCAGTACCTCAGCAAACGTGCTGAATGCACGTTTGCTGAGGTACTGCAAAACCCTGGAAGTCCCATTAAAATACGATAGACATCATTATAATGTAGGGTACATAACGCATTATAGGATTTCCAAGAAAATTATTTTAAAGGGGAATCATTCTTTCATACATATTTTTTGCCCTCAAAAATGAATAAATTTCCCCTTTTTTTCACTTGGTCGCCGCCAAATGTCTTGTATCCTTAAGCCTACGTCGACAACACTACGTGCAGATACAAAATTCTAGATATACAATGAGCCAGCAGCGAAAGCAATCCCTGTGATTCCTCACGAAGTCGTTCCCAGTGATGACATCAGCTTGATGAAACCTATAGAACCAGCGGTCTTGGATCTTCTATATGGAAGCACAGAAAAGGGTGCCGCCGAGAGGTACCTCAAGGCTAGGTATAAGAAAGCACCCGAAGATAAGTAAGTTAGTTTATCAATCTTATAACTAAGCACTGTCTAAATACTGTCTATAGTTTACGCGAGTAGTACACATTTAAATAAAACACTTTAACGGTTTAAAACGCGATATATTAGTTAAACTTATTTGAAAATGATTTTTAACTTCGGCCCGACGTTTCAGTTTAACTAAGTAATATATCGCGTTTTAAACCGTTAAAGTGTTTTATTTAAATAAGCACTGTCTAGTTCACGCGATTATACATTTTAAGAAAATACTAAACGGTTTTAAACACGAAATATATATGTAGCCTATTTTTGCTAGTAGTACTCTCAACCAATATAAGTACTTCGTGATTTAAACCGTACAAGTGTTAATTAAATCTTTTACACATGTAAGTTCAGTGTGACAGTTTTAACGAAAGTTTTCTATTAGAATCGGCGTTAAATTCAAAACAATTGACCATGCCACTTTCTTATACTTGAAATACCACTCCATTAAAACCTGCGCCCAGCTCATTGTATTCCTGACGTGTTATCCCTGATAGAAGAGGAAGACATTTGAACAACCGAATTTACATCTTAAATTCACTCAATAGATTCTACTTTCGTCTGGCAACCAGCTTTGACTACGGCTGGCAGCAGAAGCACAGTAGGATGAAACCTCGCGACGTCAACCGCGGTCGCTGTGCTATACTAAAGGACACCTTCTACAGGAAGAATAACTTGGCCCCCGATCCCGTTCACTATTCGCAGCCGGCTGGTGGTGAAGTGTCTATATGCAGCGAATATTCTTGTCACTTCAATTGAAGCTCACGAGCCTAGTAGGATATCAAAATTGTTTATAAGCACTCAATATTTCAATAAGCAAGTGATTTATTTATATTTAGATATTTAATCAATCCTTACTAATATTATAAAAACGAAAGTAACTCTGTCTGTCTGTCTGTTACTCTTTCACGCCAAAACTACTGAACGGATTTGAATGAAATTTGGTATACAGATGGTAAAGGACCCTGAGAAAGGACATTTTTATTGCGAAAAGGGTAGGGTTTAAAGGGGGATGAAAGTTTTGTATGGAAATTCGTGGTTTTTGAAGCTAGAACAATGACACTTTCTTTGTAGGTTTTTTTGGGAATAGGAGTGGGAGTGATATGAGGTCAGAGTGTTGCGGCAAAGGAGCACTTACTATAAATTGGCTACCTTAAATGCGCCCTTACATAAATTAATAAACAGTCTCAATAATTAAAAATTCTACCCCAATTCACTATTTCACACGGACGAAGTCGCGGGCACAGCTAGTAATGTCATAAGTGTAAGATGATATCCAAGAGCCTCCCTCCAGATATTTCCTTTGCATAAAACACGCTATACTAATATTATAAAGCTGAAGAGTTTGTTTGAACGCGCTAATTTCGGGAACTACTAGTTCGTATGGGAAAATTCTTTTTGTGTTGGATAGACTATTTACCGAGAAGGACTTTAGACTGAGACGAAGAACTTCCTTGCTTGTGCTGCGGCAATGGTTCAAGAAACTTAAAAAATATGTATAATAATTCTTCTTTGAATTATCTTAAAAATGTCCCCGATAGTAGATATCTTTTGAGATTTACTTGCAATCTCGGCGGGACGCGGGTGACGTCTGTAACAGCTGTAACTTAAAAAGCTGAGGAGGTAGTTTGCAAAAATGTGACGCCCAAAATAACTATTCAACGTGGCCGAAGTCGCGGGCATTTTTGATTTACATTTTCCCCTGATTTAAACATACGCAATAACAAGTACCTAATCCTAACAGTATCGATATTACAAACTATCTACTGTGTAACACAATAAAAGCCAGGGATATAGCAAAAAACATATATTTCATTATTATTTACAATAATTCAACTTTTATTTACATATTAACAACAGCGAGTGTACCCGTCGCTAAGGCCACAGACCACTGTTCGGAATTAAAATACACTTTTACATTTACAATCTCAGTAGAGACATTGATTTCCAATGGACAGATCTAGCGATATGGAAGAGTCGGTTATGGGTCTAATATAAAAATAACTAATAGCTGAGTTATACAAAGCGAATCCGTCCATTAAAACATCGTTAGGACTAAATTAACCGTGGGACCTAGTACGAGTTCATAAGTAAAACAAACAAACCCGGGCGGTTATCAAATTCATGAAAATGAATAATCGTCTTTTTCTCTTTCTTCCACTGTCTTTAGTTTACGTTAGTACGCTTTTAATAAAGCACAACGGTTTAAAACGCGAAATATTGTTTTATGACTTAACTAAGCATCGACGTTTCGAATTGCTTTGCAACAAGCATTACTTCGCGTTTTATACCGTTGTAAGTTGTAGTTTATTACAACTTTTTTTTTAATTACATACTTTCAGATCCATCAACTCTTATTGAATGTTTCCTTGTGTCAAATTGTCGGCCTCGTTGGCCAACTTTAGGTAATGTTTTCGTCTACAAACTCGTACTAAGCGCACGTGCTCTGAGATTCTCTGTTAAAATGTAATATTGCAATACAATAGTCTCGTGTTTTAACAGAAAGCCTAATGGAGCAAAGTCGAATATTAACAATAACGTAGACTAACAAGTCACTAAAATAAATATGAGACGTTTTTGTTCATTAATTAATCGACATATATTTACAATTTGGAATCAGTCCTTAGATATTAGGTCTTCGAATCACATTCGACATTACATTAGTTTTGTCTTTCCCAGGCGTTTTTGTTTATTAGAGAACGAAATATAAGTATAACGCGAAAACGCGTTTTTGTAAGAGCCAATCGTGTCATATTTAGTACCCGCGGAAGGAAGGAAGTGGAAGAGTGAGATTGGATGAAAAAAAATCTACCCACAGATTATAGATTTTTAAAGACTTAGATATTTTTGAGCCAGTAGCTTCGTAACGTATTATGTGAGTAGTTTTAACTACTCCATATTTTGTCTCTTAGTTGAATTCTAAATGACGTACCGTGACGGAGACAGAATACGAAATAGCTATTTCTCCTAATGTAGCAGGTGTTTTTAGAACTACTAACGCAAAAAATGCCGGGCTCGATTTTAAAGGTGTATAAAACCATCGTTCCATATTTTTGTAGCTTTGATAGGGATCACTTAGGCACTCAAATTTAAGTTGACAAAATACGCGTGGAAGCGTCTTTGTCAACTTAAGTTTGAGATGTAATTTGCTGGTCAGTTTCTCAAAGGGAAACGTCGTTAATGCAACATTTAAATTAATGTTACAATGGAATCAAAGATGTCTGGGAGTGCTACTATCGGTCTTAAGATGGGATCAAAAGAAAATGCTGTAGCGGCAGAAAATCAGTTGAACTGAAATCACTGGCTTACGCTGTTAGAATCAATCTCAAGATGCTTTTAAAAGTGTCAATTTCAATAATAATCTGGAGATAATTTAATTAGAAGATATTGTAATTATGATGGATGAATTAATTAATAGATTCTCTGACTTTTACTCAAAATCACAAATTAAATTTGAAGAATGCTTTTGACAATTGATAATTTTAACAAGCACAAAGAAAGCCCTATTACAAAAGCAGTCTGTTGCACACAATTTTGTAGTCAATCTCTTTTAGTCATTGATTTGCTATCACAGCGGATATTCGTATAAGCAATTTGTAATGTCAAATAATTCTCTATCAATTGAATACGAAACATTCCGCCATTACTTAACGAACATGGTATATATTGTCACGGTTCCCACAACTTTGAGCTTTAACCAAAGCTACTTCAAACTCAGACTCAAGGAGGGGTTCAGTAAGTTAGTTCACAAGTACTTTCTTCAGATGCAAAAGGAAATTTTCGATTATTGTTATCAGTATTTTCACCGCATAAGTGGTAATGCAAAGGTGGGGAAAATATGGGAGTGAGGAGTGACGTAGCACAGTTTGTGATCAATTGCCTCCTGGTTGGTTAAATCATAATGAAGACGCCAATGCGTTTAAGCATCGCACTTCTGAATTTTAACATTCAGTCCTTCTTAAATTCTTCACCGATAAGTTCAAACTGTTACAAGTTGTTCAAACTTAAGAAATCACTTCACAGGTCACTGAAGGATTGAATGCATTTCCAAACGGGATTACTTTACGTGATGTAGATTGTTAACCCTCCATTCATATTCTGGCTACGTGTGGCTGACGCTGGGCGTATTGCCAGCAGGTGGTAGGGCGGGCGGCGCCCCGCTCGTCCAGTGCACCAGCGCGTGTTGCGGCAGCTGCGTCGCTTGGAAGTGGTCCTTTAACAGAGCCTGTGAGAAGTTGCAGTGCATCTGGTATGCTTCGTTTTCTCGTTCCGTATCCCCCGCTAGTCGGTATAGATCTGTAACAAGAGTTTAAGAATGCGATTTCTAGAACTTTGACCAAAAATACTACAAAAATTAAAATATGCATAGATTGATATAAAGAAATAATAATTGAAGACCCATTATACAACCTTGCACAATGCTAACTAACCTTTAAGTATAGCAGAGGCCCATAATTGCACGTGCACATCTGGTATCTTGCTAGCGAGCTGCATAGCCGGCGTGACCATGTTCATGCTCTCCCTAGAATTGTTGATGGAGAGGAAAATATGCCCGAGCAACACGAGAGAGCAGGACGTCAAACGATTCAGGTCCTCCGCGTTCGCCATTTTTAACGTTTCACGTAAATATCGCCTGTGAGAAATTAATGAGTAATATTTATAAAAGTTAAATAACCAGTGGTTTAGTTTTGACAGAGTTGGGTTTGAGTTTAGTTTTTGGACCTCCAACGGTTAACGGTAAAGGAAATGCAAATTTATATTTTTATCTCTATACGCACTTTGCTTCATTATATCTCGCCTGGAAGAACGCCTGTAGACCAAGCACGTAGTACGAGGCAGCGCGGAGACCATGCGCATACGCAGGTAACGCTTCTGGCCTTACCTGCACATTATAATTAATTTACTTCTTTTCTAATAAACTTTTAAAGCAGGTATGTTTTTAATAACGTCGATTTTTCTTTCATTATCTACACATACCTCCCATAGCCCCAGTTGTTTAATATGTAAGAAAGTGTACCTGTTCCATAATTTGAGCTAAGTCGTTATCTCTTCGTCCTCTTAAATATACAATTGCTAGATTCAGTTTTGCGAACATCCATAGATCTCTCTCTTGTGACATCTGAAATGGGAAAATTTTGTTTATAATATTTTTTAAGTTTACAAACTACCCACAAAGTATTATCTTATGATGTTAAGGCATTATTTATAAGTCTTCACGGGCAGACTTTTCTGACTGAAGCAATTTATATTCGTGAGTTTCGAACTTACAACCTCTCATTCTTAAAGCAATCCTAGTTAACTATATAATATAGTTATGATAAATATGATAATATACCAACTTCATGGTAAGTAAATTTATTTAACTAAAGTTAGATATCTTGGAATACAATTGTAATTAAACGAAAATAGACCTGGATACAAATTGTAAAAAACACAATTTTGGCGTGATTGATTTTATGGATGATTTAAAATATTTTTTGTTGGAAACTCTCACGTGTATAGCTGTGTGGAACTGTGCCTCGGCAGCCTCCATGCAATTCATGGACATGGCGTACAGGCCCAGCAGGCAGTGCAGCTGAGGGGTATGCGCCGCTGCGCACTGGGCTGAAAAAGATGAGAAGGATTATTATACATAGTCCATAGACAAAAAAGGCGGAATATAGACTAGATCACAAAAACCGACGTACGTACTCTAACTATTTATATCTTTCTTCAGTTTTTTATTTAATTCTCATGACGTGAAGTGCATAATAATGCAACAGAATAACAGAACAAGCTAAAAGAACACCTTTAACAGTTTAAAACGCGGAATATATTAGTAGACTTATTTGCGATATATTTAACTAACGAAACAAACGAAAAATATATTTTACAATTGTTAATTACAACATTTCGAGTTTTAAACCGTTAAAAGTGTTTAATTAAATGTATAATACTCGTGTAAACTCCAGACGATACTTAATATATAAGCTAAAATATGTTTTTCTTGTTTGGTTTTAATTTTATGGCTAGTCATATACTTTATTTACTATTTTTTGTAAAATATAATAAGTCACATATAAAACAGTTTATTTTTATACCGGCTGAAAAGCATTGGCAACGCGTTTTAAACTATAAAAAGTGTTAAGCTTGTATTCAATCATAATAATGTGACAATATTGACATCATTATGATTAAATGTAAACTACTCGCAGAAACAGACAATATTTAAAATCCAATACCGTCGGGAGGATGTCTTAGCAGATGAGCGGCTTTCGCGATCTCGTGGAGCGCATGCGCTTTGCCGCCAGCCACCAGCCGGCACAGCGCCGCGTGCTCCACTAGCGCCATTCGCAAGCGCCACGCTAGCGCCGCGCCGCCTCGTCCCGCCCGACCCGCAGATAGACCGCTTGCGCAGACCACCGTCCCACCATCTTCACTAGCTGTAAGAAAGCCACGTGATACAAACGTTGATTAATAATGCTTACAAATCAATATCTAATAGAAGCATTGTTGTATCAAACACAAAATTGTCATCTGAATTTGATTTAAAAAATAATAGTTTGGTTGTGGGCTTTATGTTAATAATATTCAATAGTAAAAATCAGCTTACATTTGTACAACCAACATGTATATGTATATTATTGTCTACTATCCGTTTTTAATATTAAAAAAAAAGAAAACTAATAAAAAAACTCACAAGTCAGTTTATCGATCTGCGCTAGCGCCTTTTCTGTATACTTGTGCGCCTTATCCATGTAGCCGGCCTGCGCAGAGTGCATCACAGTCACCAGATACACCAACACGTAAAGCTGTTGCCGCGATAACCAAATGAACGACTCTCCCCCACCTACGCTCCCACCGCACACGGCTGAAAAGATATATAAAATTAGATTTTTTAAATGATAGAGGATAACTGACAAGCATGCGAATCACTTGATAATAGATGAAATACCTCACGCTATAGCTTTGATTATTAGCCGTACATTTCTACTATTGCATTTGACATTTGATAATATTTTTAAATATACTGATCACTAAGTACATTAAAATAAAATACTTTACGATTTAAAACGCGAAAAGCATAAGTTACACACAAAAATTCATATACCCCATACCCACCATACACTCAATAAGGAAAGTAACTTACTATCATCATCCGGCCATGTTGGAGCCATGATGGTCTGAATACTTTGCTGCAGTTGTTTAAGGCATGGTTTTACACTCTTCACCTGTCCAGCCATTAAATAGTGACACACCTGTAATATTAGTGTAATTATTTCAAGAGAAGAGTTTAATAGCATATATATTATATGGGAAAACAAACAAATGATGGTAAGGAAAATAATTGAAATTCTTTATTTAAGGAAAATCCTCCTTTGACTTCTATTACTTGCTGACTGCTGTTGATAGTTTGGCCAGTAAATTACCTTTAATGGGTTGTAACACTGTTTGATCTGAAAGTTTGTATCAACAACTGTAAAAAAGCTTAGTTGTGATAACTGTCACGTATTCACATTTTTTTTTGACAGTCCTCTAATTAATTTTAAGAATATTACTAAATAGAGGCTATGGCAATATTTTTAAAAGCCACAAAATCTCTATATTTGTATAAGATCTAATTACTTACTTGTAAAACAAGAAAGAACACTTTTAAGTACTCCTTCTGGTGTGGACTTCCAACCCATGACTCAACGAGGTGTCCAGCTTGGTTCAGCAACGGTAACACTTCTTGTATCTTTTTATCTATTAGCAATAACTGTAAGAGAATAATTGTGTTGTATTAGGCTTTTCTTCGGAATAAGGAAACAAGTATCTATTTTTCACAAATGTCTCACTATAAAAAATAAAAACAACTTTTTATAAGTTTAAATGTTAAATTATAAGGAGATAAATACATGAACATAATAAACAATATCTTATATATTAAATTTTTTAGAAAAAAAAATAATGAGAATAGTAAAAACCTAAATAAATAATTAGCAAGAAAGATTAACTCATTAGTTAGACTTACCATAACCCTACTTAGTAGGAAAAGCACCCTGGTGTATGCTGCATTAGAAATTTGGGCATAGTCCACTCCTACACCTAGTAGACTACTAGCTACTTCATATTCCTTTTCTGTTGCATGGATTTGCTAAAATAATAAATTGATATTTCATTCAATATAATATATTTTTAATGAAAATTAAAATATGAAATTGAATTAAGTAAAAGAAACAAACAAATTATGGTGTTTTGTTAATGTATTTGAGTAAAAAAAATAGTTAATGTTACTTACTGCTAGTTGGAATATCAGTCTGCAATGCCAGTAAACACTGTGCTGAGACAGTTCAATTGCTTTTCGTAATATTGGCTTCGAATGTGTTGGTTGTCCCTGTTGTTCAAATAAATCCGCAAGTACACTAGCTGCTTCGAATTTAACATCGTCAAATCCATTGATACTCTGAGATAAACACCACTGGAATAAAAATTATTATGACCCACTTCAGAATGATTGTTTACATGCTATATTACACTTGTTTTATAAGATTTTCACCGAATACACCTACAGGAACACGATAAGGCAAATACGTAGATTTGAACAGAAACACTAATATTATATTACCTCGCCGTAACTTGAAAATAAACACGGAATAACTCACACTCTGCTCCAAATGAGTTCTCGCCAAGTCGATGTTTTTGGTGTGTGTCAAAAGGATATTCCCAAGTTGTAAATGTGTTCTTGCTTCTACTCTTTGTGGCGGCTTGAAATTAAATACTGCTTGCAAACACTGAATACAACTTTTTATGTCAGGAGGATTAGATGTACGAAAATGTTCCGCTAAACCAAGTAAAGAAATATACCAAGCGTCCTGCGTTGACGCCATTTTGACATTTCTGCTTGGAGGGAACGGTGTTGACAACCTCAACTAATTAGAGTTACCATACGGATTGTGAAAAAAAAAATAGTTGCAAATATTCGTTTTAAAATCAAATGTTTAAAAGTAAATAATTTAATGTTTAATAGTATTATTCCTAATTAAACATTTTATAACGCCTTCCTTTAAATTGATTATTTTCTTTTGAAAATATTTGGTGCCGAACAGAGAAATACGAATATTTTCTAAATAAAAGAAAAGCTGCGCTGTCGACTTATTTTAGCTATACATTGAAAAGTCCAGAAATTAATAGCGAAACACTCAAACTTTTGTATTTGTGGAAAGCGACCTATATCTACCAAAAGTCACATTACTATCAGTTACATTATGATATTCAGACAAAGTTTGACAGATTGATATATTTTTGAAATTGGAACCTATTTGCATTATCAGTATTACTTAATACACAATACCTGGTAGACCAACAAAATTCAATTAATTTTTTTTAAATTTAAAATTAGTACACACATTCAAAAGAAGTTACTATACAGTCTCTTTATACGGTCGGGCTGAAGTTAAAAATCATTTTCAAATAAGTTTAACTAATATATCGCGTTTTAAATTATTAAAGTATTTTATTTTATTATATTATATTTTTGTGAAAAATCAATCTTCTTTGTTGAAAACCGAATCGATAATTTACATCCGTCTTTTGCATAAAATTACAATCCTAGTTGACGATATTTAATCATAACAATTTTGTCCTTACAATAACAATAAAGTTACATCATGTTACTATAATCTATGCCTTGTGTTTCATAAAAAAATCTTATCTATATCTCATTATTATTATTTTTTAACCATTTTATAATTATTGAGCTATTTAAAAATTTTAAATTACACTTTTGATAGGAAATATAACGCTTATGTGTTCCTTGTTCTGCATAAATAGAAAATATAGAGAACATGCATTAACTTTTAGTCATGGTACTACGGTCCCTTAAATGTCAAATAGTCATTGTCACTTTGACAGATGTCTTAGCATGTCTATAATTTTATTCTTTTTCGGCGAGCTGTTAACGTTTACGGAACGTTTGTCCGGCGGTTCGCCTTTTCATCCGTCGTAATCGCTTTAGAAATTTGTTAATTCAGTAAGCTGACAATAAAATAAAAACACAAAATGCCGCCTAAATTCGATCCTAATGAAATTAAAATCGGTAAGATATCTTACAGACATTTAAATGCAGTTCTTCAATATGTAGCCTATCGGCCGGGAACATTGATGTACTTGGTGTTATTTCAGTGAACTTGAGGTGCATTGGAGGAGAAGTCGGAGCCACATCTTCTTTGGCTCCTAAAATTGGTCCCCTTGGTCTGGTAAGTACTATTCCAAATACATATTTGTTCACAACATAACCTAAAAACCTCTCGTGGCAGTCACATTTACTTTCTCTGTGCTAAGGCACACGGTAAAGTGATCGTTTGAGACAATTATAACATATAACAGTTATTTGGGCTTTTATGTCGAATCTGAGATTGAGTTATCCAACATTCTTTTATTTAAGTAATGTGTGGACGATTATAGTTGTCTCTATGAGTGATGTATGATCCTGGGGGGAGCCTCCCTACCAGGCGCGTCCTTCCGGGTGGCGGATGGAAGGAACCCGCGACTCAGGATAACGGTTTCCCTGTCGCGGCTACTCCGAATGCCCAATAAGGAGTCGCGGACCAGGCTTATTATATGACTGCCGCGATTTCTAGAACATTCTTAAAAGTTTTTTTTAGTTTACTTAATCTTAAAACTATGTGCTTCAGTCTCCCAAAAAAGTGGGTGATGACATAGCAAAGGCCACCAGTGACTGGAAAGGACTTAAGATTACCGTGCAGCTAGTGGTACAGAACAGACAGGCTCAAATTTCCGTAGTCCCGTCAGCTGCTGCCCTCATTATTAGAGCGCTGAAGGAACCTCCTCGTGACCGCAAGAAGCAAAAAAACAGTATGTATTAGTGAACTGCATTAAGATTGTGTCAATATTTCTTAGTAAGCTGTCCTAATGACTCAAGAGTGTGTGGACGATGGACCTATGCTGAGCTGCGAGACATGAGTTTACACTAAATGTAAAAATATGACTTGAATCAAAACTAGCTATACTAACCATTTTTAACATGGCCTGGACAAAGAAGCTCAATTGCTTAGAGGAGCGGCATGGATAGCTGTGGACGCTAATCCCTCCCATGTTATTTGATTTTTTTAAATACAAGTATATTGTTGATATATTTGATAATAGCTTAATTTCTAACTAAATAGCCCCTACTTTTTAAAGGTTAGAATAATTTAACATTGCCATTATGACACTTTAGAATATTTACTTTTCTTTTTTACCATTATCTGTAATTAATTTGCTTTGTCTTACTTTCTAGTCAAGCACAGTGGTAACATCACATTGGAAGATGTCATTGGTATTGCAAAAATCATGAGGCCTAGGTCAATGGCCAGATACTTGTCTGGCTCAGTGAAGGAAATCCTTGGCACTGCACAATCTGTTGGCTGCACAGTAGATGGAAGAGCTCCACATGACCTCATCAACGACATTAACAGCGGTGCTCTTACTATTGATGAATAAATGATAGTATAATACCAGTATTCTGTTTTATTTCTAAACAAACAAGTTTTTTAACAGGAAAGTAGTTGATCAGACTTCTGTGCTTTATTCTATTTCTATCATAGGTACAGTTATTTATTATAGTGATATTGTGCATTACTTATTACATGCATATATATTGTTATTGTGTAGTCACTAAAACCTGTATTTTGTTAATCGATGATCTTAAACCTTGACTTTTTTTCGTAGTAAGATGTAATGACAAATTATAAACACATTTCGTGATGTTTACTGTTTGTAGTTCAATGGTTAAGCATGAAGTCCGAGTTTGTATCTCGGGTTTACTACATTGTTTATGGCTGTATTTAAAATCGATTGCTCCAACTGACAGGTATAGGGTGAACATATCTATACTAAAATAAAAAACTCTGGGAACTACGAATTCGAATTGAATCCTTTTTTGTGTTCGAGCATTTATCGAGGAAGGCTCTAAAATATTGTGCTGTAAATAGGAGCGAAAAAGCAGCGGGGAAAATTATACATCTTTGTTGGTGTACGCTGCGCGAGAGAAATAATTATTTCATACGTACCCAAAAAATATGTATGAAATAATGATTTCTCTAAAAAAATGTCCGCGACAGTATGTCTATCTTCTAACGTTAACTTGCAAGAACGACGGGACGCGGACGCCGTCGTGGAAATACTTTAAATTTAGCCCCCAATAACGATTCTACGCAGACGAAGTCGCTGTCACAGCTAGTTACTCTATATATCTATTCTCATGGAGAGATTGGTTTCTACACACTCAGTGATCTAAATGCTAGACTTCAGACGATTTTTTAATTAGAGCAGCAGCACGAATTAATGTGGATTCAAGTCTCGCCCGTGTCATTGAATTTTTTAAATTTATATACCTAATCAATAATGCCATCATTGATCATGTACATGTGAAAGTAATGATTTTTAAATAAATTAAGAAACCTTAAACATTTTTAGTCTGTTATTTCTACCACTCAATGTCAGTTGTCATTTTGTTTAAAGAATTATCTGTGTTTGTAATTGACCACTAAATGGTGATGACAAATCTTTGGTAAATTAACTATTAAACCGAAATAAGTGTGTAATTTTTGTTTTCTCAATATAAGTTACAATGGCTACCGAAGAAAACGTGCTGAAACAGTTTTTATCAAAATACCAACATCGTGACTATACCACGAAAGAAGTCATTGGTCTTATACAAGTGTATCGAAGTTTAACTTTTCGCTTGGAAGCTTTTGTATTTAATAATGGAACACGGAAGGATTTACTCAATCTAGAAGGTACTATCCCAGTGAATTATAAAGGCGCTTATTACAATATACCTGTGTGTATTTGGCTTATGGATACGCATCCACAAAACGCTCCATTGTGCTTTGTGAAACCTACTCCTGATATGTCAATAAAAGTATCAAAATACGTAGATAGCAACGGAAAAGTGTATCTCCCTTATTTACACGAATGGAACGGCAATAATTCAAAATTGCAGAAACTTGTTCAGAGGATGATTACCGCATTTGGTGAGCTACCTCCTGTTTATTCTAAACCACGGAATGAAGTACGTCAACCATATCCAATGGAAGCATTCATGCCCCAACCATCGGGATATCCATTCCCAGATTCAAGGCTCCCTGGACAACCACCATTTCCCCCTACTTTTCATTCGTCCCCTTCTTTTCCTTTAGGTGGAAACTTGCCATATCCAAACTATGGGACTCCATATCCCGGTCCTGCTAGTACTAATGGTACACCATATCCTGCTAATCCTACACCATATCCACCCTCTACTAGCTATGGTCCAAGCCCAGATGTTGCTGGTGGTACTATTACAGAAGAGCACATTAGGGCATCACTCTTATCAGCTGTTGAAGATAAATTGAGGAGGAGACTCAAAGAACAATCCCAGCAATCACAAGCTGAACTTGAAACATTACGTCGTACACAACACGAGCTTCGAGAAGGAAAAACAAGGCTGGAGGATATTTTAGCTAGGCTGCAAAGAGAGAGGACAGACTTAGACAAAAATGTAGCAATATTACATGAAAAAGAGAAGGAATTACAATCAGCTGTTGAGCGACTAGGTGAACAAGAAGGTATTGATGTTGATGAAGCTGTTGTCACTACAGCTCCATTATATTCTCAACTCTTAAATGCTTTCGCCGAGGAGGCCACACTAGAGGATGCTATTTATTACATGGGAGAAGCTTTACGCAAAGAGGTTATTGATTTAGATACTTTTTTGAAACAGGTACGTACATTAGCTCGCAGGCAATTTACCCTAAGGGCATTGATGCACAAATGCAGGCAAAAAGCACAATTGGCCTGTTAATAATAAATTGTTGAAGAGTAGGCAGAGAAATACCTTAAACATTTTATAAGCAGAGTATGTACTCAATGTTATGTTTAATAATCTTTATAATACTATATTTAGACTTGTGTACGAGTGAGGAGAGCAAGGTGCGAGTGTAAATATAGTACGTATTAGGTTTCTATCCTAAAAGATATTTTGTAACAGCTAAATGTTAGTTAAATTTTGTTTTCTACTACATCATTATTATACTATTTCATGTATTCTTATATTCCCTGGCATATCAAGGGGTTGTATAAAGTAAGGTATATTTGTTAGCATATATTTTGACTGGTAGGGATTATTCATGAATATTTTTTATTATTATCAGAAAGGGGTTGATTTTATCATAATTACTTTGAATTGCATTAAATTTTTAGTATACTTCGTATCCTTTAGACAATAAGACACAGAAAAGGCTGTAAAATTGTTGTGGAACACAGGGGCTTTTGTTATTAATCTTTAATTTTGTACACAATACCGTAATAGATAAGGTGTATAATCAATGAAGTTGAAATAGTGTTTAAATAGTGACTAATTTGTACATTTTAGGTACACACCTACTTAAGTCACAATTATTAATAATGTTATGTAGGTGCCCTTCAATTACCCTTATGCAGGTAATATCAGATATACTTTGTACAATAACAAAGTAGACATATATTTCTGCGATTATCTCTGGCATAATGATATATTTTTTCCAAAATTGTCTCAGTGTGGAATGTAAACAGTCTTGTTGCAATAAGTTTTATAATATGTATTTGCTGTGTCATAAGTAGATGTTAAATATAGTCACAGTAATAAGTCTTAAATTTTTTGTAAATAATATAAGGTTTCGCCGGCCATTTTGCAAAGCTTTGCTCAATTATTTGGGCAAGAGTGTTTTTCATATTAAATTCTTGATTTGTATAAGAGTACTCATTGCGGCGGTCCAAGCCGAGGCCGATGCCCCCCTCGGGGCACCCTTGGTCTAGCCGCAAACACGGCGAGCGCTGTCGCGCTCGCCCAAAACGCCCGGTTAGTATTCGTGGCTCCTTAGGAACACAATACGTAAGAGTCCAATCAAAAAAAAAAAAAAAATAAGAGTACTCTAAAAAAATGTTATCTTAATTCAATTTGTTGTGTTCCTATCATACTGAATCACTGATAAAATTGAGACTTAGTGGTTAAAGCATTTATTTAAATTAGTCACATTAATTATGGCCTCTAACAGATAATGACGATTTAAATAATCAGCGATGATGTGATATTATCATTGTTCAAACATAACTACGGGATAAATAAATTACCATTTAACAAACCCTTTGTTGTTCTTGACCATGGCTACTGTAAAGCATCTGTAACGATGGAATAAAAACTGTTGAATAGTATTTTATTTAATCTGTATAGTTGTTCTATCATAGTTATAGAAAATCATATTGTATTGATTTACATAATTTAATTTTATAGCTATCTATTATGTCGAGATTAGCTCATAATTTTACTGTTCATAGAGTGCTGCGTGCAGGCATGTCATTTTGGGGGGTTGCACCCATTAAATGGTGCCTGTTGAACCAAATTAGGTTGCTTATAACAATGTAAAAATTACACAAAACCTATATAATACTGGAAATTACCTTTGTAATCTCATTGGAAATGTAATATATTATTTAGATACGTAAGTATGCATATTGGGAGTCATAAGGCTCAATTATTTCTCAATAAACAGTAAAATAAAGTTCTGATTTTTATTTCAGCGTTTTTCGTTCATCTTAATCTTAGGATATGTAACCTAAGTTAAAACTCTACAAGTAGGTAAATAAAGTTTGTAAGCTCATAATTTATTAAATTCTCAAATATAATATAAAAAATTAAGCTTAGCAGAAATAAATAAAATGCTGTGAAGGAATGATAATGCTAGCATTAGCAATTATTTCTTCTTTCCTTTCTTAGCAGCAGCAGCTGCTGCTTCCAAGTCTATAGGTGCTGGTTTAACAAATGGTATGACTTCTTGGTACTGCTCTGGCATCCATGGTTTAAGAGCTTCTGGTACCTGCAATGACAAGGAATAAAATCACTGTTTAATATTTAAATATTTATTGGTGGTAAAACGTCTTTTGTGATTAAGTTTGCTGGCATTAAAATAATGGTTCGAGGACTAAACAATAGAATTAAATTGGTAAAGATTATACAGGGACAAATTATTATAAAATTTGTAACCTCATGTTTCGCATGTTTCTTGCTAATTGATTATACGCCTTAATATATATAAAAATATGTTACCAGAATGCCATCTTCAGTCTGGTGCACTTCCAGCAAGGCGCATATAACTCGCGTCGTTGCACACATAGTTGCGTTCAGCATATGCACGTATTCTGTAGCTGCATTCATTTTCTTTGTTTGTCCATACCTTAAAACAATATATATTTTTTAAGTGTTGCCACTTTAGGAAAACAATGTGTATAAAAAAACATAGCAGTTCTATCCGGTTCAAAGGATCACAATGTGACAAAATAAAATTATTGCATATTTGTTAATACACCTACCGTACTAGTAATCTCCTGGCTTGATACTCCAGGCAGTTACTGCAAGAGACGAGCTCTCTAAATGCGCTGGAACCTGGAAACCATGCTTCCAGATCCAGTTTCTTTGAAGCGGCATGATTCAGCGCTCCCGAGACTATGTTCACAACCCTATATGGAATTCCTAATGTCTTGTAGAATTCTTCTGCGTTTGTTATCATTTCCTCCATCATTTCCCAGGATTTGTTATCGTGTGGTGAAGTGAGGACGAATTGTTCTATCTGAAGGTAGGTTTCAGTATATAAATTTCAATATTGTACTTAATACATTTTATATGTTTAAATTTTATATAATACCTTTTCGAACTGATGGACCCTAAAAATGCCACGCGTGTCGCGACCATGAGAACCTGCTTCTTGTCTGAAGCAAGTTGATATACCAGCATACCTGAAATATAATATGAATTCTTGTGTTGCGTATTATATATTTCCTGCATAGATTTTTATTAACTTTTGAAGACACTGATAGATTAGTCCACAGACTGGGCGATAAATAAACCACACATAATCTATATATCCCTGCACACTAACCCAACCAGATAAAAAGATAATATTTAAATAAAATAACAAGATACTGAAGACATTAGTACAGTATAAATTAGACTAAGAGATTAGGAGTAAAGAAGGCGTAGAGAGAGTTAGGTTTTATTGAACTAGTTGTTCTATTAAAGTGCCAGATTAGTGAAATTTTACTCTATTAGAATATCTCATATTTATAATCAGACAATAACATCAAAAAAAACTCAAATCATATGAAATATACCTGATTGGTAAGGCAGATTCGGGCAGCCACTCATCTCTATGAAAAGCTGCTATGGGCTGTTCAGAAGTTGCAATCAAATACTTTTCATCAATGCTGTTGTCCCCTTTGTTCTCTGAACCTTTGCCAATCACTTTATACAGTTCTTCATCAAATTGGGCTAGTTGTGCAACTTCTTGCATTACCTGTCATGAACATTCAATATTATAATTATCATTTTAAAATTGCTTGAGCATGCATTATAATTTTGATTTAAAATTACCTCTTTCCGCATAAAGAATGGTGTGTACAACGGTGTATATCCTTTTTGGAACAGAATCCTTAATGCCAGTTGTACTAGAGCTTGTTCTAAGAAGACAGCTGGTCCTTTGAGATAATAGCCTCTACCACCAGCTACTGCAGCTCCCCTTTCACCATCCATTCCTAGAATTTGTGAATCATAAAACAATTAGAAGTAGTAATTACAAATTTTTATGTTAACAGGAAGCAAGTTCAGATTGAAAATAAATAAGATCTTTGATTCTCTTCTTTTTATATAGCTATAAAACTCACCATCTATCATACAAATAAGGTCTACATGGGAGTATTTTTTCTTCAAACTACAATCTCCAAAAGTCCTTTCCACTGCATTGTGGTCTTCATCATCATCAACAGGTACAGACTCATGCAGATGGTTACCAACTTCTCTTAATGCTGACGAACGAAGCTTTTCAGCTGTTTGTAGGTTTTGTTCATTTTTTGTTATTGCTTCATCTATGAGAACCCTAACCTAGATGGCAGAATAAAATCAATGAGTGAATGATGGCACCTGAGAGAGAGCACATTTCTGTGGAATTCCATAGAATGTCAAATATTTTGTTCCATATGGTGGCTAATGAACATTAACCATAATAATATAAAAAATAACATGTGGTCATTAAAACCAGATATATAATAACTATGTAATTACCTTTTTAATTTGATTAACAGTCAGTGGCTTTAATTGTTCATTGCTTAAAGTTATGAGGTTATCGGCTACTTCTGCGGGAACCGGATCGTCTTCGGGACCTACGGGTTCCTTATTCTTCATCTTAAGCCCGATCTCTTTGCTACAAACATTCTTCAGTTTATTCAGGTTGTCTGCATCATGACGCAATTTTCTCCAGAGTGTGTCTTGTTCCACTACTGTGTCCACGAGTGCCACATCTTTGTATCGCTTGCGCTGGTTTTCACGAATTTTGTCTGGGACACCGTCCTTATCTGCTCTAAACAAATCCAGATCTAACACCATTTTGATTTAGTATTACACTTTATTTAAACAATACGATTAGTAAACAAGAAATTTCTTAATTTTAGTTTTGAACTCGAGGTGCAAAAATTGCAGAATGCTTCGATTGACATTTCACATCTGACACATCATACCAAGTCAGTTGTCAATGTTAATTACAGCCAATAATTAAAACGTCGACAAAAAGTACGTTTGACATATTATGTTATAGTTGAAGATTTGTCACAGTTCAAATGTCATCAATCAAATTTGAAATTTAGTCTACTTGGACGTCGGTAATCGTTTTAATTTCTTGGTGAAATTTTTTGCTCTTCGGTGAATGTTTTGTGTATTATGTGGGTCGTATTAGATGTAAATAGAGAGTGTAATTGTGAATGAGCGGTTTGCCAGAACTGTAAGTTATCAAAATAGTAGTGCATTACCTTTACTTTGTCGTAACTGCTGTGTAAAACCATTGTTTACACGTCTTCACACCACTGAACTATGTATTTACAAAGGGGAGGATACTCGCTGAACAAATGCATAATTTAGAAAATAAGTAATATCTTAGCTACCTTTGTATCTAATCTTACAAATATTTCAAATAATATAATGAGATTTGTGGTGGATACTCACATATTCTTGTTAAATCCTTTGCTATGGTAATTGTTTTAAAGACGATTATGATTTATATTAGTGTAAACCTTGCGTAAATCTTATTAGTAACAGCATTAATATGTACAGCTATCTCCATATCTATTGTTCATTAGTATTTTATGTTCCATACAAATAATCTTTCACACTATCAGAGCAGGAAAATAAGGGTTTTCTGTTCTAGTATAACTGAACTGTAATGGAATTAGTTTATTGCCTTTCAGATGCTACAATGATTCCATTAAAAGACAATCAAGATGTAGCATCCTTTCTTGTCACTAAGCACTCCTGGAAGGGAAAGTATAAACGAGTTTTCTCTATTGGAACCCATGGAATTACCACATATAACCCAGACCGTTTGGAGGTGACAAATAAGTGGCTCTACTCAGATGTGGTCACAATATCCTCTGCAAAGCACTCAAATTCTGCTGCCAACCATGACTTTACATTGGTTATGAAGAAAGAAAAGAAGATCGATTCTATGAAGTTTTCATCAGAACACAAGTGTCTTATATTGACAGAGGCTTTTAAATATCGGCACCAGTATGCCGAGAAACCCAAAGACATTTATGTATGTGCATTTTATATTGTTAAAATATAACATTTTAATAATGATGTTTAACTATACTTATATAAAAATTACCTCTTTATTACAGTATCTATTTAAATAAAACACTTTAACGGTTTAAAACGCAATATTAGTTAACAGTATCTATTTCTGAAATCGATACATTCTCTGTATAAATAAAGTTATCTTGTTCAGGCTACTTAGTAGTATATATTTAGCATTGTTTATTAATTTCTGTTGCTTCCTGGTTTAGTAATAATGAGTTTGTAACTTTAAAAACAATCTAATGAATTTTAACTACATACAAAATTTGCTCATTTGTTTACCATTATGTTACTCCATGATTCCAATTGGAAATGAAAAAAAAAATGTATCTATTTATTTATATTATTATTATGTTTTAATTGTCTTAGTACAATGTTAATACATATTTACCATAAGTTATGATGCCTATGTACATACAGGATATGTATTGTAATCTATATTTCTTTACTACAGAGATACCAAGCATACAAACACCATTGGAGTGGTACACGTCTCCCAATAGTATTAGAAGTGGGGCCATGCTCTCTAGAACAATTAGACCCATCAACCCATACACTACTCGCTAGCTACCCCTACAATGACATACAAGGGATATTACCGGTCAGAGATATTCCTGGTGGCTTTGTAATAGCTCTAGGAGGCTATAGTAGGCTACACATGTTCTCGAATGCGATGGATCATCAGGGAATCATAAATAAAATGTTGGAGATGGCAAATCTTACATTGAACATTAGTATTAAAGTCCTCTCAGCAAGTATTACACTGGAAGATTGCCACAATCAACGATTTGGGAAGTACAGGTAACATGATAGAGATTGTTTACTTTAGATGACCTACTATTGTCAACTATAATAATAATTATTATTATTTTATTTTTTGAACTGTTTTAGAATGGTGTCCTTCTAGAATTTATCTGTGTAAATAAAATAGTTACATACCGAGGAACAACTTAAATTTTTTTCTTTTATTTTTTGTTAAATTATTCCTCTCCTTTTTTAGAACATATTTTTATTCACGTTTTAGTCATAGTTATTTATTTCAAGAAATTGATCCCTCCGCCCGGTGTGAGTAAGATTGTGTCTTCTTTTCAGTGGTGACCAACACCAGACATCTTTAAGTGAGTTTTTAGTGCACAAAGTGAATCCAGCACGGCATATGGAACCAATGAGGCGGACCTTATGTCTCTCTGATACATGTATTCTAGAAAGAGATCCACAGACTTATTCTGTAAGTATATTAAATTTAAAGGCTGGCTGAGTATGTTTTGTTTTTAACTAAGGAACTGAACAGTACAATTATAACATTTAATTGCTTCTTGTTTAATCTTCACTATTTTTTTTTATGCTGGCAAACTGGCAAATCATCTTAATACTATTCAAACCTATTTCTATTTTAGGTAGTGTGTTTGCGCCCTTTAAGTGATGTTTTTGCATTGATCCGAGATCCTGATCACCCACAGAAATTTTCTATTGAGTATTTAAATGGACAAGTGAGAACGTATCTAGCTGGAGAAAGGTATTTACTATTCAAATTACTCTATACTATAGAAGTCTTGCCAAAAATAATTTACTAGTATATCATATGGCTCTTTTATAATCTTCTTGTACCTAGGGATGCACTATTAGCTTCATTACTGGATGGAGTAAGAGGATCCGGGCAACGGGATGTTCACGTGCGAATGTCTCGTACACCCAGAGGCTACCGATTGGGCCCTTTACACCAGCCTGTAGATGAGGAAACAGAGTCTAATCATCTTCGGTAAGTAAATTAATTGCTACGTAAAAATGTTGCTCCTTCATATCGGCTCGAAGGACCAATTTTACGTAAATTTAATAATGTTTGAGTGAGTAGTACAATATGATTATTATATATATATATATATACATATTAACCTAAATTAAAAGTTTGCTCTTATTAGGCTCACTTAAACCCTAATCGATTTTTTATATTTAGTTCACAAACCTTACTCTAATGTGAACTAAGCTGTTTTATTACGCATCTTAATTACGGTTGTAAGTCAGATGAAAACGCAAGTTCATATAACATTTATAAATTTCAGGTTATTCCAGAATCCCGTAGGAATGACACGAGTCGAAGTTATCGAGAGATTTAACGCTAATATTGGATACAGCGGCCTAATATACTCTGTCAGTCAGGACGTAAGAACATTTTTCGTCTAACTTTCCATTATCACATTTTCAGTCCCTTAGCCGTAAAAAAGTCAACATATTAAGGCTAACTATTTATAAAACAATATAAGGACTTCAATAACAACACTTAAATATAAATTTATTTAGTGTGATAAAATATAATAAACTTTTCACTGAAGCGACTTAATACGGTAAAATTTTTCTGACCATTTCTTGTCCTTGTACTTTGTACACAATTGTGGAAAAGAGACAACGATACAATAACTCGTTCCCTGAAAAGAATATAGTAGTTGCATGCTTAAAGTAGTCGTATTTTTACATCTATATTCAATATGAAACCAAAATATAGGATTTTGAATTCTTATCCTTACAATAGTGGAATAAGATTACGAAATATTTATAATATGCTTAAAGCTGTATAGTTAGTACAATTAACATCACTGCTTATATTAATATCATGTATTCATTATGGGCATGTTAATTTTGTGTTGTTGCCTTATAGGCTCGTCCCCTGTTGTGGCTGTTTCTTACCTGGGATCTTGTAAGTCCCCTCATGATATTTGTTTTGGGTACAAGTTAGAGCAGCATTTTATCAACTCTAACCAAAATAATGCTTTGATCGGCTGCTTTTGAAACTTTCCTTTTTCTTAAAAACATATGTAATTATTTTAAAAGTTTCTACTAGGAATGGAATATGGTGTGTGGTCATTATATGAATATTTTTAAAAAATTTGGAATTGTTAAATTAAATTAAATAAAATTAAATGTTATTAAAATATTTAAAAGAAGAATAAAGTTAATTAAGAATAAAATTTTAATATACTTAACAGAAATATATTTTGATGTTACTTCATTACTTTTGATAACATTATTTATCCGACTATTATGTTTCTTAAAAACACTAAACTGAAAACAAAATACATCATTCACGATAACTGACAAAAGCATCATACTACATTCGACCGTCTCGACATAGAAAACTAAACGTGTCATCCCACTTCTGATAGTATAAACATGTCAAGTTTTAATTTCATACGCAGTGAACTCTGCAGAAAATATTTAATTTCAGGCTTCGCATTATCTATCATGTATATCTTCATCTTATTTATTTTTAAATATGGTACTTCTGGTGATTATATGGCTTGGGTTGAGGTTTCTTCTTCGTTTTAACTGAGTGAGCTTATAAACAGACATTGTGAAAAGACGATAATAAAATTACTAATGCATTATTTGCCGCATAACGTTTGTCATTATTCACTCTTAGCATTAAAAAGTATTTATGTATGCTTATTCGTTGGTATTGGTATAATATGCTTTTCAAGCTGTTCCAATGCAGACAGGTATTTATCTGTAGTAGCTTTTTCAAGCTCTTCTTTAATTTCATTTTATTAATACCATTCATTCAGTGGGTAGCTATCGTTAGAATATGGTTGTGCACTGGGGCCCCGGAGCTAAGGGGGCCTCTCTTACCTCATCTTTAAAAATGATAAGCGGAAATTATGTTTCTTTACCTATCTATAATTTTAAAGGTTTTAAGTTTAATCTACGGGAAAAGAGGGGATAACAGTCCGACTCTTTCTTTATATACCGGGGCTCTTTGTATGTTGTATTTTGATTGGCCCGGGGCACTTAATATTAACAACTTGATAAATGTAAAAGGATTGACGGCACGGTAGACGAAACTACATTTCGTCAGTATAAGCACAGTTAAATCCGAAAGACTTCAAACTTACTATTAATTCTTTATCGGAAAGTTGACAGGATAGAGTTTGCAAAATTCCTTTTAAATCGTATGACGAAAACGTCTGTTGACTCAATATATATAGTTTTTTTATATAATCTTATTGCTTTGGGGGCAGCGCCTGTTCGCTGAAAACAAAGAGAAGTTAATAACTGGCGCGTTGACCGCGCTAGTGAGCAGTGCCCCGTCAGGGTCAACTCTTAGCCAGCGCGAGTTGGAAGCGCAATTCCACGCTCTGAGGCGGCTCTGTGCCAGTAAAGTTGGATTTGCAGCCTTCACCGCTCTTCCTGGGTATGTGAATAACGATATATGCCGACAAAGATATGTTTCAATTTACTGTTTCAATCTTTTAACGGTAATTTAATAGTTTAGACCCACCACGCTACTCCGAAGCGAGTTGGTGGGCTGCAACGGTTATAACCTAGACTGACGGCTACGATGATATGTTTACCGAGGTTCCGAACCAACTTCAGCAACAAATTCTATTTACATTTTAGCTCGTTGCGTCGAATATCAAATGTGTTAGTACTTTTCCCCCCACCTCTGATTTATATAAGATGGATTCTCATTATTTGAAAGTTTAAGAAAATTAACAATAAAAGAATAAAAATAATCTGTTTTAAAAATATGTTGAATGTATTTTACGCGAGTCGTACACATTAAAAAATCTTTTATCGGTTCAATATACTTTTACTTATTTTAGGTTTCGCGAGTGGATAGGCAGTGCTGTAGTGTCGGCGTTACGTCGCGAATCGGCTGCCTGCTCGCACGCTGCTCTTGAAGCGGTCTGCGCCTTGCTGCAGCCGATGCACGCTGAACCGGATCTGCGGCAGGAGCAGTTCAATAAAGCTAGCATGTTGTCATCTCAAGCCTTTCTCGAGGGTTTGCTTGCTATGTGGGCACAGCATATCGTAAGTACACTACACTTATACATCGATAAACTAGCTGTGTCGGCGAGTTCGTCCGCGTAGGTTAGTTATTTTGAGCATCAAAATTTGTTTTTGCAAACTGGAAGGACATTTAATACGTGAAGCCTTCCAAGGAGGACTGTATTATTTTATATTCCTATGATCCCTTAAAAGGTGGTGGGAGTATTCTGAACCACATAAACTAGGGAATAGGTATAGAATGACTTACGTTTACGATTGGCGCCTGTCTCACGGCCGGGGATCCTTCTTTTAATTTGATGATGTCCTTCTAGAAACACTACAGGGTCGACCCTTCCGTACACCGAATCGTTCTATAGCCACTTCGAAAGCTGCTGCTCTTATTAGAACACGTGTGCCCTTCCGCGTCGGCGCTTAGGCATGTACAACCGTGAACGCGGAGGAGGGATAGATAAAGCATAGAGTGAGAGGAAAAGGCATAGAGGATAGTAGTCTATGAAGCTAGAACATTTCCTTCGATTCTCCTTTTTATCTTTATAAATATAAGCTGCTGTGATGTTTTATTAGCCTTTATTGATAAATGGTTAGACCAACACGAAATTGTTAAAATATTATTTATAAAGCTGTTATCAAAATTGCATTTAGACCTAATTTTAATGGTATTATTTCAGACCGCAGGTAGCGGTGCGTTAGTGGTCGGAGCGATGTTGGACTTCCTAACGTTTGCTCTATGCGTGCCATACAGTGAGACCACAGATGGGAAACAATTCGACCAGCTGCTAGAGATGGTGGCTACGAGGGGCCGCGTCATATTTAGGCTGTTTGAGGTGATATAATCTTAAATAGTTGTTAATATAAGTGCGAAATAGAAAATAAAAATACATTTCGTTTTTCTATTAAAAAATTGGAATTATCTGTAGGCCTTTAAGGTGTGTAGAATTAAACAATTCGAACAAGTTTAAACGCGGTATATCCGCGGTGAAAACGCGATGTATCGCCTATAATACAGTTGACAAACAACCAAATGTCAATACCTAGTATAAATAGCTTAACATTAATAAATAAGATATTGTCATTTAAATTAAAATCAATGTACAAAAAAAAAGAAGGGAACTTGAACCGGTTTCCAAAACGTTCCGTACTGCTGCTCTAACCAATGGTGCGATCAAATCCGTCATCGTCGAATTTCTTCAACCCATTTCGTGCGCAATGTAATTTCAACTTTAACAATCAGGTATTGAGGTAGAATGTCCTATGGTGGTCGGTTCCCGCCCGTAACGTATTTAAAAAAAAAATCTAAATAGGTTTTTAATGTATCCAATGTCTTTAATATTAAAAATATTAGCTTTTAAATATTGAGACTCTTTGAGTACTGTTTTACTTTTAACTTTGTTTGACCTTGAAGGGGGTATATGTATAAAAAAAAGCTCATTAAGATAAAAGAAAAAGAGTTGACGTTACTTGTGTTGGTAAATAATTGACAGTGGTGAGTTGAACTAAAGTTGTCATTACATATAACCCTTACAGCATCCATCCCACGCGATAGTAAAAGGCGCTGGGCTGGTCACACGAGCGTTGGTGGAAGAAGGTAGCGGTGGTGTTGGTACCAGAATTCAAGGTCTTGCGTTAGCTGAAGCTGCACTCCCCAGACATTTATTGACTGCTCTGTACGACCAGACAAGGCCGCGACATGGCAACTTGGCCAGACTACACCATAGACACTTAGCTAGACATTTAGTTGCTCTATGGTTGGTGGATCATCCGCCTGCTGCTGATTTATTGAGAAGGATTATGGTAAGAAAAAATACTGTTTTTAATCTTATAGTGTCCCACTGCTGGGAACACGTGTCTTCTAGTGATAGGATTTTAAGTGTTTATACCCACCGTGCCACACTGTTCTAGCAGAACAGGTTGGCAGGCTTTAACTATTAAAGTTACTATATAACTTTATGATTCTATGCTATCCTTTAAACGTTACTAATGATATATATTTTAGGGATGGGTAATTAATTTTAAGTTTCCCACACAAAATCAACTGAACACGTTTTGTTAAACAAGTTAGTAATAATAGTTTTTTTTAAGGCATTACTTTGTTTTTTATCATAACTTTTTTATTAAAAATCAAATTAAAAAACAAATTGAAAAATAAAAAGATTTTAAGTACTGTCTATAGTTAAAGCGAGTAGTACACTTTTAAATAAAACACTTTAACGCTTAAAAACGCGATATATTACTTAAACTTATTTGAAAATTATTTTTAACTTTAACACCACCACGGCCGCTGCAAAGCATCCGAAACGTCGGACCGAAGTTAAAAATCATTTTCAAATAAGTTAAGTAATATATCGCGTTTTAAGCCGTTAAAGTATTTTATTTAAAAGAGCTTTTTCTTAATATGCAGGAGGTTAGACAAGCCTCGGGTTCACTTGATGGGAGTCCACCTCCCCAGCCATGTAACATCTAAGTAAGATGCGCTTTGGATATTCGGAAAGTCTTTAGAGTCTGGTGTTAGTATGGCTAGAAGACCTAATAGTAACCTATTTGTCTTCGTTTTAGCCTTCTGGTCTCCTAGCATTCCTAGAATCAGCAGATGCGCCACCGGCTGCCGCATTGGAGGAGGAATCGCTGCAGGAGCGTGATAACTTGCAATTGGCCCAAGCAGTAATCAAACCCCGCGGAAAACACTGGGATGCTGTGAAATATGTCGAAAAACATCTCGAGGTGGGTTTTAAATCAGTTTATTAATTATTTATTGACCTAAGTGACTTAGCGAAGAGTGAAGACTTAAACACTTTGACGTTTTAAAACATGGTTACGGGAAGACCACGGCTACTGCAAAGCAATGTCGAAATGTCGGGCCGTACTTAAAATAATTTTCAAGATAAGTTTTACTAAAATATTTCGCGTTTTAAACCGTTAAAGTGTTTTACTTTTAAGTATTGTCTGTAATTTGCGTGCATTATTAAATAAAACACATTCAATAATTAAAAATGCGAAATATATTAGGTAAGGTATTTTTAAATCCACTGTGACCAGGACTGCTGCTAAGCTACATATCGGGTGTACTAAAATATTTCGCAATTAAAACCGAAAAGTGTTTTTGTTAAATCATTATTCATTTTTATGAGAGTCAAGCATGGAGTTCAATAGAAATGAAATACTTAAGCGACTTATTTTGATTTAGACATTCAGAAATCAAGTAAAATCGTAATAAATTTAACATATTATAGCACTACGCATCCATGGCACTACAGCATTGGGCTCAGCGCGCGCGCACACCCGACCCGAAAAAGGAACTCCAAGCAAGACCCGTCGTGCTGCGCCGGCGAAGGGAGCGGCTCAAGTCCACTGCGAATTGGCCGCTGTTCTATTACCAGTTTCATAGAGACCACGCTTTGCCTAACCTAATTTGGAATCATACGGTAAATAAATTAATCTGTACTCATAATCTAAAGTTAGCTGCGAAGCAACAGTGGGAAATGTGAAAAAAACACATGCAAAAATGGTTCAAGATTTCCAAAAATATGAAAGATTGATTCCTAAGTAAGAGAAATAAGAAAACGTTCGCGATACTATCAACTTTTGCAAGTTAATCTTTTAGGATTAACTGAAAAGAAGGACGGGACACCGCCGACGTCATGGATAACAGCTTAAATTTACAATAATAAGGAGGAGGTTTGCAAAAAAAAATTTGGATGCCCAAAATAACTGGTCTACGCGGATTAAGTCGCTAACACAGCTAGTTAAGCTATAATCTATATATCTTAAATTTAAGTAAGATCAAAAAGTTAGATTAATATTAATAGAATTAAAGAAATTTGCAGTTTAATTATTATTTTCATCGTATTACAATCAAAAATTTCCATCCCCTATATAACAAATCAAACCATGATGTTACACAAAATAATTTATATACATGAAAAAAGTATTGTAGGAAGTAAGCTGTAGGCGCATTGCACACCATTTATTATTGTATTATTAATATTAACATTTGTTATATATTATAATATATATATATTTTTATATGTCCCAATAATGCCTGCTAGGTCTTCATGTATCAAGATCTTAAAATTATTTTCACTTCCAGACTAGAGAAGAACTTCGTAATGCCCTCGAAAAAGAACTACGCGACTTCACAGCTGATCGTGAGGTGGCTGGAACGACTCTCACTTCCTGGAACCACGCTGAACTCGAAGTGCATTACCAGTGCTTGCAGAACGAAGTCAAAATCGGCGACTACTATCTCCGGATACTGCTAGAACAGAAGGACAATGACGATAGCCCTATTAGGAAATCGTACGAATACATAATTTAACGAATTCATTCAAAATACTAAACGATTCTGCGTAAATTCTGCTATAAAAATCCGTTTTGTGGCTTTTATGATGTCCAATTTAAACAAAACACTTTTAACGGTTTAAAACGCGAAACATATAAGTTGATATATGAAAATTGACTAATGACCACGGCTGCTGCAAAGCATCCTTAATGTCAGGTAGTTAAAATAGATTTTAATAAGTTAACTAATATATTTCGCGTTTAAAACCCGCTAAAACTGTTTCATTTAAATACATCCACAATGTTGCTCCAGTCCAGTTTGTTATTCTTTAATGACTCCTGCCCTTAAATCAGTGATGGTAACCGAGACCGCAATCTTAACCGTGATAAGGTCAGCTATTTACTTCTAATCTCCAGGATGGTGCTATACTTTAAAAAATCACCATTTCGCCCGACCAAGGAATCGAACCTTCTGATCTGTAACCAAATGTGGACTAACTTATCGATCTATCGAAGTCACACACAATAGTTTTTTCCTATCGTAATATTTCTTTTTTCAGTTATGAATTCTTCAATGATCTCTACCACCGCTTCTTGTCGACTCCTAAAGTAGAAATGAAATGTATGTGTTTACAAGCGATGACTATTGTATATGGGAGATACTACGAGGATATAGGACCGTTTGCTGACACAAAATACATTGTGCAAATGTTAGATAGGGTATGTAGCATTTTTATAATTTTCTTTTAAAATACCTTATTTACGTCTTCCGCCTCGCGTCGTGGTCCTTAATCTTGAGGGTTTTATGGTATACCATTATGTCCTGTTTTCTGCTACCCGTAGGTCTTCATGTATCGTAGACTCGGGTGTGGTCTCTCAGGTATTTTTACTCCCAGTGCCAGTAACCACCACATTGTAACCATGTTAATATGTCATATAGTCATATAAGTTATTTTATGTTATTTCTAGACTTGTGATAGAATGGAGAGAGATAGACTGGTACAGTTCCTAGCGAAGTTGATATTACACAAGAAGAATGTAAGCGAAATTCTAGAATGGAATGGAATTAGGTAAGCTAACCTGATAACAATATATTTTTCCCGCTAATGAAATAAATATTGATGGTCCTTTGAGGCGGATTCCTTGTTATAGAACACTACATAAATAGACTATTTACTATTTTTAATAATAATTTCTTTCAAAATTGTGATTTTTTTCTAGAATCCTTGTGGATTTAATGACACTAGCGCACTTACATACCTCTCGAGCTATGGTCCCGACTCAGTCAAACGTGATTGAGGGTCCAGCGCAGACGAGTGATGGCGACAGAGAGTGGTATTACAATTTGGAGAAAGGAGACAAAGTGGTGAGGAAGGGACCCGTCAGTTTTCAGCAGGTAAGCATAATTTGCACTTATACAATTACATATCTTCGAAAGACTATATTGTTTGTATGTTTGTATCCCTGTTTGTTCCTTAGATTTGGCGCTAGCTTTTATTAGCTCAATTGATATGAAATTAATAGAATTGATGGAAAAACGATACCAACCACTGTGGTCCTGGGGTCGAGACATAGCTCTAGAAAAAGTGACATCCCGTTTACTCCCTTGGGGCATGGAGCTAACACATTTCTGTGTCCGACCGATCATTGTAGTTGATCAGATTTCTGTGCCCTGCCCGACCGAAACAATTTTTTCCCTGGGATTAGAACCCAATGCGCCTATCGCTATGCAACACGTTAACCATTTTGCTATAGAAGCTATCACAAATGTATTTTAAATAAATAAAACAACATTTATTTATATATCCTAATCTAAATGTTTAGACATTGCTATCATTTTGATATTAAATAATAATTAAATAATATCGATTTTGTGCTCTTTGTATTTGTGTGTTATGTTCAGTAACTTAAAATAAATATATTAATGATTTGATATTTTCTTCATAGTTAAAAGATTTATACAAGTCGGGCGAGATTAACAACAAGACGAAATGCTGGGCGAACAGTATGGAAGGTTGGCGGGCTGTGGCTGGTATTCCGCAGTTAAGGTGGAGTGTGGCTGCTCGGGGTCCACCGGCATTAACTGAAACTGACCTGGCCGCGACTGTACTCGATCTACTAATCACATGCACGAGATACTATCCTAGCAGGTGTGTGCGACTGTACTTAAGTATTCTTTCGTGGACATGTTCCAGTGGTGTAGGGCATAGAAGGTCTTAAAAATACTTTTAAAAAATTGTCCCATGCCCCACTAATACGACACAGGATTTTGAATGTCTTTATTTATTGGTTATATGATTAATTATTAATCGTGATTAAATACAGGGATGACGAAGATGCAGTGATAAGACCGCTGCCCAGAGTGAAGAGACTTTTGTCTGAACCGGCTTGCTTAGCTCATGTTGTGCAACTTCTGCTTACATTTGACCCCATTCTAGTGGAAAAGGTATGTTTCTTGTGTAACACTTATTATTACAAACTAGTTGTGCTAGCGACTTCGTAAAATTATTTTGGGCTTCAAAATTTGTTTTTGGAAACTTACCCCTCATCTTTACAAATTATAGCTGTTACGAACGACGTCGTGCGTCGTTCGCGTCCCGTCATTCTTGCGAGTTAATATTAAAAAATTGACATATACTGTCGCTGACATTTAAGGAATTATCATTATTATATATATATATATATATAATTTTTTTAATATTAACTATTATATATTATTAATAACTATATATATATTAATATATATATTGGGTACCTTGAACCGTTTTCGCAGCGTACGCAACGGAAACGGAAACTGTTGTGTATAACAGTTTGGAAAGTATACGTGAATGTATATGTGAAAGTTGTAAGACAAATGTTAATATAAAGTTTGAGAGGGAGGCGAGGTAACCAAACCCAATGAGTGCTGTAGTGCATGTGATTTATTTCCTATTAATGTCGTTATAAGATAATTTATATGTAATAAGAGGGAAAGTAGGATGCTCAGTAAGCTAACCTCGTAATATTTGCTCTTAATATAAACATTTGAGTGTGCACAACATTAACATAGATTACAATTTATGCTAGCTATGCTACAAACAGTACATAATCCCTTACTAACTTTTTCGAGTCAAAATGCAATATTATCTAAGTATGCCCGTTTCAGGTTGCAACACTCCTATACGAAGTGATGCAGGACAACCCAGAGATCTCTAAACTGTACCTTACCGGAGTTTTCTATTTTATGTTACTGTACACGGGTTCGAACTTGCTACCCATCGCGAGGTTTTTACGACTCACACATATGAAGCAAGCTTTTAGGGCAGATCAGGTAAATGGCAACAATTACTAATAGCAATTTAAACGGTTTTCTTTTTAAAGTTTACACAGTACATAGTTCTGTATTCTCTTATTAACATTATCACACTAGTTTTTATTACACACTGAAAATATAAGCACATATAAACATTTGCATCGAAATTGTGTTTATGATAATAATAAAACTCTTTATTGCACAAACATAGACATAATGTTTGTACAAATGCAGCCTTATGGCCTATGTCGATTTCTTCCAGGCAACATTTGCATGTAGACATAAAATTTTGCAATCAATAAAATGAACATTTAAACTAACACTAGTATAGTGAAGTTTAACACACTAGATAGATAAAATAACACACTTCGGGAAGCATAAGAAGGTCCAAAATGTGATTGATTTCTGACCCTGGCCTTAAATATTTTGTGACTCTGTGTTACTGATCAATTAGAAATTTATTTAGATTGAAAAAAAATTGACGACACGGGCGTGATATGAACCGGCATCCACAGCGTTCCGTGCTGTTGATCTAACCAACTGAGTTAGCGTGTCCTACACGTCATTTTAATTTCAATTGTCTAAAACACGAACTTTATTTGTTAAATTTATATTTATTTGCACATTATGGATCTATGCACCAGCCGCGATGGCTACGGTTATTTCGCGTTTTAAACTATTAAGTCTTTCATTAAATATCTACCACTACACTACATACGTAAACTACAATTCATAATTTTGTACAATCCAATTCACAGTCGACGTCTGATATAATGCAACGGTCAATCCTGGGCCAGTTATTACCCGAAGCGATGGTCTGCTACCTGGAAAATCACGGTTCGGAAAAATTCGCCCAGATCTTCCTTGGCGAGTGGGACACACCTGAGGCTATATGGAATTCGGAGATGAGGTAAAACTCACATCTCCGAATGAAAGAATGTCCAATCACAGAATGTCCAATCCAAAATATGTCGTCATTATAAGATGTCGTTAAATATATGTTTTGCCTCTAACATGTAAACGTCATTCGCACCTCGGAAAGATACAAAATATAAGGTAGTTTAGTATTATAAATGCTGTAAATATAATTTCAGGCGTATGTTAATAATGAAAGTGTCGGCGCACATCGGCGAGTTCACACCGCGGCTGCGCGCGCACATAGCAGCTAGGTACCCGTACTTGGCGATACCAGCCGTCTGCTATCCGCAACTGAGCCACGAGCTGTTCTGCAACATGTTCTACTTGCGGCACTTGTGCGACGAGCACCGCTTCCCTGATTGGCCTATACCTGACCCGGTGAGAGAGATAGATATACGGTAAAAAAATTGCATAGAAAGTCGTAAAAGCAAAATATCCGTAGCTCAAACAAAACATTATTTCGGGCTGGGCACAGAAGTGGGATCAATAGACCAGTAAATATAATCAAGTTTTATATAGGTGTTGCCATTTTATGTTTGTTTGTCAGCAAAATATTTAATAAAACCATTTTAACCGTTGAAACGCGCGATGTATTAGTTGAGTTATCATCGCTGCTGCTAAGGATTCTAAACGACGGGCTGTAGTTAACTGCATATTCAACAACTATAATTCAAATAAAATTTCGATTAATATAGTAATTAAATATTATTTGTATCTCTAAAATGACATCAAGTTAAATGACTAATTGCTACTTAAAACGATATAAATACGCTTACGCGAGTAGTACACATTCAAACCGTTAAAGTGTTTTATTTAAACGATATAAATATACCAATAAAATATCCTAATTCTTAATCAACTAATATATTTCTTGTTTTAAACCGTCAAAAGTGTTTGTTCTTTTATTATTTTTATGACATCAATTCAATGGAAAATGGCAAAATATAGTACCTGAGTCTATCTACTAGTCCGTGGATCCCACTTCTGTGCACAGCCCGCCCGAAACGATTTTTAAGATTACAGAGCTTTTTATGATATAATATGAGTATTTCCTATTATAATCCACTTTGATATGCAGGTTGGTCTACTAAAGGACGTGCTAGAAGCGTGGCGACGCGAAGTAGACAAGAAACCAGCCTCCATGACCGCGGAGCAAGCGTACATAGTTCTGGGCCTCAATGGCGCTGGTCCACAGGACGAAGCTGCTGTACGGAAGGCCTATTATAAGCTGGCGCAGCAATATCACCCTGATAAGAATCCTGAGGGTCGGGTGAGTTGTAATTTTTTTATTAAGGCGGACAGACAAGTAAGCAATTCACGACTAAGTTGAAATACTCCAGCCTATAACTTCTAAACAAGATACCGAAAAGTACAGCAAAATAAAGATTATTTATTTTCAAATAAAAGATTTAGTTAAAGTTCTTGGATCATTTCACATTGTTATAAAAAGCGAACACAAATACTATTCATGTACGTACTGTTCTACTCAAATATCAAGCGTGGGGTATCACTGAAAATCGGCTTGTGCCTTCTTCCAGGTATAACAACAGCTCAGTGTTGTCCCTCCACAAACATCTATTTTACTATATAATAAAAATCGAGTATACATTTTAAAAAATACGACACGGGCAGGACTCGAACAGGAATCAGTGTTCTGCGCTGTTGCTCTAACCAAAGCACCTCCCGCGCAATGTAATTTTTAGTATGGCTACACATGGCGCCACATGTGAAAAATGTTAAAGTTTTCTATTTTACTATTTATTTTTTGTATGTTGAATATAGGATTTGATTTGAAAATACTGTCTATCGCACTTGCTCATGTCTTTCTAAATAGTCCCGAAATCTGAAAAAAAAGAAATTACCCTATTTCGGTTTTTTCATACGACGATGTCGTAATCTTCGCCATTAGACTAATACCACTCCATAATCGTTATATATTAAGATTAGACTTTTGTTTGTCTAAGGATCGGTTTGAAGCTGTGAATCAGGCGTACGAGTTCCTCTGCAGTCGCAATGTTTGGTCCGGCGACGGCCCTAACACGAATAACATTTTACTCATACTGCGAACTCAAACAATACTCTTTAAACGATACTCAGATGGTAAGTGGATATAACTAGATAAGGTATTTCTTGGGGTTGTTCAATATTTGTCATCAATAAAGTTTGCTCACAAATGTTAGAATACTAAAAAAGTACTAAAAGTGCTTAAAAAAATAAGAAAGCACCTAGAAATACTCTAAAAATTCATTCTAACTGGAAACACCAGGCTTTGTAGTTGGTACATGTTCGAGCCATTTGTACATGTTTGATAGTTCGTTACAAATAGCGTAATCGTTAGTTAATTATGAATTGTTATGTGGCAATTGTTACCAAGTCATAGACAGGCCCGCGACGAACAGCGGCGGTAGCAAGCTTGGGCGATTAGTAACATACTGACTGCTAATTTTGAGTTGTCCACGTAATTCGCTGAGCCGGCAAAGGTGACGCGGCGATAGTTCATTATTGTATACATTATATATTGCTAATTAATAGTTTAATAGTAAACATAATTAAACCTTTAAATGGAATTAAATGATAAAATACGCATTCAAACACCATAATAAATAATACAAATACCTTGTATCCACAGTGCTGGCTCCCTACAAATATGCCGGCTACAAACAACTCTTGCGCACGATGCAGTTGGAAACGGAAGGCGAACATTTGTTTGCCGAACAAGACGCGTCCGTCGCGTTGTTGCCCGCTGCTGCTGAACTTGCGCACGCGACTGTACACTGTTCGGCCTTGAACGCCGAGGAACTGTGCCGGGAAGACGGCCTACAGGTATGTTAATTGTATAATGACGCGAGATTGCGTACGAAACAAGTGTTTAGAATAAAATGTCGGCCTCTAAAATCTCGTAAACTTAAATATGCATTTTGCCAACTCCTTCTATTGCTAAGGTCCTGAGTTCAGCATTATCACGCTGCGTGTCAGTACTCGGTGGAAGTAAAGCGGACAGCACGGCAGCACGCGTGTGCGCACACTGCGCGCGCAGCTTTGCGGTAGCAGCCAGTTTTCCGTCTTGCCGGACAGCGGCCGCTGCGTTATCTAACCTCGCTGTTGATCTAGTGCCTCTGTTGAAACGACCGGTTTGTATCTGTTATATTTAACTTTGATTATTTTTCAACAATTAAACTTTAAAAATATATTAAAAACGCTTTATTAATCTAAACTGCAAGTATGTTATACAGGAACTAGGTGACACAGCGTGCGCGGGCGCAGAAGCGGTGGCAGCCCTATCAGCTGAGCCGACGTGTCGAGTCCAATTAGCGAGAGCTGGTGCTATCCACGCCTTACTGCCTCCTATTCTGCAATACGATTATACTTTGACAGAAAGCGGAATGGACACTGAGAAAGCGGCTAGCAAACAGGTATAAGAACACAAAATCTTTAAAAATACAGACTTGCACTTATGAGAAGAGTTTTTATATTAAAGTATTAATTTCAATCCTAGTCAATAAGTGTTATTTCAATGTATTTATTATCAAGTATTTTCTAAATACTGTCTATAGTTTACGCGAGTAGTACACATTTAAATAAAACACTTTAACGGTGTAAAACGCGATATATTCGTTAAACTTATTTGAAAGTTATTTTTAACTTCGGCCCGACGTCTCCCCGTGACCACGGCTGCTGCAAAGCATCCGAAGCGTCATATAAATGTAATATATCGCGTTTTAAACCGTTAAAGTGTTTTATTTAAAAGTATTTTCTAGTTTCTTAAAAGATTATGAATATAGTATCTCTATAGGAATTATTAAATATGCAAAGACATACCCTGCGCAACAAACTTAAAAAATTATTTCGATACAGCTTACAATCCAAAGCCAAAATGTGACAGCGCATCTTGTTAAGATGATACACTGCTGGGCTATTTTACTTTACACCCAATTGATCGAGTTTACAAAGAATGTTTTGTCTCTCTGTCATAACAAAAAATGTTTCAGGAAACTGCGAATCGTCTAGCAGTACAATGCGTGCGCGCACTGTCCGCCTTCTACGGGCCACACGAAGAACCATCTCCCATAGACGACAACATACGAGCCGCTCTGCATCTGATTCTCACGCCTTATTTATGCTCGAAGCTTGCCAATCCAGACACACATGAAGTAAGAAATAATTGTTTAATGACAGAAAAATAAAGCAATCTTATAATTCAATTAGATAACTCTATATTAAAATATAGTTTTGCGTAAAACTCAGTCTATTTTACACAAATTTAATTATTTAAAGATAATAATTATTGGCTTTATACCATGGTATGGGCGTACTTAACTTCTGGACGTAGACCCACTAATAATTATAAATAAATATAAAGAATTTTAAAATAAATCTGTAGATACAGGAATTAATTAGTAAATTTGTTAATTTTTTTTATTTGTGATTGTTTACAGCTCTTAAAAACACTAACATCCAACTGGCGGACGCCATACCTAGTATGGGATAATAGCACCAGGGCTGAATTGCGGGAAATGTTACGCGACTATCGTTATCTTAGTGACGACGATCCACTCATCACGCCCTTCGAGTACACCGCTCATGAGCGCTTGTTGCATGTGGGCGGAGTCTACCTCCATATATACACTGAGCAGCCGGAATTTACTATTGAGGTTAGTCTTTTTATCTCATTTAGATTCCTTAACTTTGATTTGGTTCGTTAGTGACTTTGTGTGAAAGTGTTTATTGCACTCAGATATATTCACCCAAACAAGAAAACAGCTAGTGAAAACAATTGTAAAACATAATGTAACATTGGTTGTAGTTTACGAGTCATAATGGTAATACTTTAACGTTTTTAAACGCGACATGTATTATTTACCTTATTTGGAAGAACAACTTACAACACGGCTTCTGCAAAGCATCTGAAACATTGGATCGTAGTAAATAAATGAACCCGACATAATATTAGAAACTTTTTGACTAGTTTACTTTTAATAGTTAAACTAAATCTTATAATAAATATATACAAAACCTTTCTATTTTTCTTTCGCAGAATCCTCAACAATTCGTTTTAGACTTGTTGAAGTTCGTGGAAGGTGAAATCCAAAAAGATCTGACCGAAGAAAGAGCGGAACATATCACTCTTGCGTTGAATTCACTTGCCAACTGTATTATAAAGAACCCAGGTGAGTGGTTCCAAAAAAGATGTAGAGAAAAGTAAATATAGGTATGTGACAATATTGATATTTAGGAGATACATAAAGGTTAAAAAAGTTAGTGCCGTTTTCTATCTTTTATTGTGGTTTTACTATATATTTAAATGCTATTATAAAAGCTTCAAAGAATATTCTTTTAAGATTGCTGTTTATCTCCTTAAGTTGCTCCAGAGTAAATATCTGAACATTACATGTGTCATGACATCAAATGTTTTGTAAGTTGCTTTGTAATTTATAATCATCATTTATTTTTGAACCAGGCGTAGAAATACAATGTAACGGTCAGTTCGGGCTTATCTTCGGTCTTCTGTCTGCTCGCTCGCACCCGTCCGTCTGCGCCGCGGCGTTGCGTTGCGTGTCCGCGGCTGCCGGTTGCCGTGAATGTGTGGAAGATGTCGCTGCTAGCGGTCTTCTAGGACATTTATTACCGTTACTCGTCGCGAATCAACAGAACGAAGTTGTACCAGCGCTCGCTGCATTACTTGCCAGTACTACGCTTGTAAGAGAAGCGTTAGCCAAAGGTAATTTAGTTAAGATTCTTCAATAAGATTTATGGAACCATTGAGACATGATTTTGTTCGTAACATCGTTCGATCTTCACAACTTTAATGATTATAGAGTTTAGTTATTTACGTAATTTAAAATAAGAAGCAGTTTGTACATAAACATCTTACGAATATATAGGTAAACAACATATTATGTTGTCCTAAAGACTGTCGTTTAACTGATGTTCAATTGTTAGGTATAACTTATTTATATTTTTCACGTGTTATTACATATTATGGTAGAACATGAATTAAAAATCTAATTAGATTTTGTCCACGCTGTTGCTCTAACCAATGGAGCTACCGTGGTTGTGAATGTCGGTTAAAGTCCCGCCCGAGTCGTAAGTTTTCTTCAATCTAAATAGTTTTTTTTCGTTTACGGTCGTGCTCTCTTATTTTTGTGCTCAAATGATTTCAACATTTACTTTCGCAGGGGCTGTTATTTATCTTCTCGATTTATTCTGCAACAATAAGCAACCAGAGATGAGAGAGGCTGCTGTAGATATACTAGCTAGAATGATGTCTGATAAATTACACGGTCCGAAGGTTGGTAAAATTATACTAAACTTTATGCCCTTGAAGCGACACCAATGCTATTTTTTAAAACTGTTGTTATTCGCGACAGACCCATTTAATACAATAAGTTTTCCTACTGCTCTAACCGGACGGCATCATGAATTATACTTTATTATTAATACAGATTATACTAAAAGGATTATGACCAATATTGAGGTAAACTAGAGAATTTCCTATTGGTCCTTCGAGCCATACCCACGTAACTAAGTGTTTTTATACAGGTTCGGCTATGCATATCTCGGTACATACCGGGCGTGTTTGCGGAGGCAATGCGTGAAGCGGGCACACATAGTGCAGTGCATATGTTCGACGCAAGCCACGAACACCCAGAGCTGGTTTGGAGTGATGAATCGCGGCATCGAGTGCGGCAACAAGTTGCTCTGCTTCGTGATCAGTATGTATAATTTTTATGTAGTAGGAGATTACTAACGTAGTTAGTAGTTTAAGTTAGCTGCGTATGGAGTACGTAAATGGTTAAAAGTGTTGCCTGGCATTCTAAGAGTTCGAGTCCCGGGAAAACAATAGTTTGTTTCGGTCAGGTAGGGCACAGTAGTCTGATTAACAATTTGCTTGTTGAGAAAACTGATCAGTGAAACGAATACAGAAATTTTTTCGCCCTAAGACCCACGGGAAATCGTGATGTCAACAAGTTTTAGTTTAGTTTAGTTTTAGTTATTAGTATTTTTTCATTATTTTATATTTAGTAATATAGTTTATATGTCACAGTGTAGCTTAGTAAATAAATGTTATTAATCTATATCTCTCAAAACGTACCGAGATTTAACTATATTTTATAAATTTTGTAGGCACTTCGCAAAGCAAATACGGGATCCGACCGTCCACTTTGAGGATAGAGACGTGAATGACCGAAACGAGGTGCGGTGGGCTCCGCCCGGTGAAATCGTGGTGGGAGACGTGTACCTCAAACTGTACTTGCAGAATCCTCATTGGTCGCTTCGAAGTCCTAAACGGTTTCTACAAGAACTCCTGAGTGAGACTGTTACAGCCTTAGCCAAGGATACAACCGAGGTATGCCTATTGTGATCATAATTTCTTAAAATACATTCTAACTTCTAAATAAAACACTTTACTGGTTTAAAACGCGAATTATAATCGTTTAACTCATTTGAATTATTTTAACTACAGCCCGACGTATCGGGTGCTTTGGTCAGCAGCTGTGGTCACAGGGAGACTGACGATGGAGGGTGTCTCTAATGTCAAAGTAAAAATTGCTACACTAGCGCCATCTGTTTCGACGTAGTTGGTATTTAGCGAAACTCTGACGGCCGGGTCAAGCTGTTTCTAGCTTAGTCGAGATTCGCGCAACATCTGTCAAAAACAAACTGTCAATACAAGAGTATCAAAAGCTCAAAGAGTTTTTTTTAATTGATCGCGAAATCCTTATGCAGCCTATTATAATTACTGTTAAGTATTTATGTATGAAATAGTATTATATAAGTAAATAAAATAAAAGAGTTCCATCAACTAGTAAATTCTCCTTGAGAGAAACGACGCTCAACAAAGCCGTAAAGTTGAAAATTGTCCTTGCAGGGAAGCCGTGGCGACATCTGCGCAAAAGCACTAGCAGTCCTAGTGCGGTCCCAACCGACGTTAGCGGAGGCGTGTGCGCAGCTCGGTGAAGTGCCCCGGCTGACCCGTTTACTGTCAACTTGTCCTATACACGCCGTCCCGGTTTTGGCGGCACTGGCTAACACTCAGGTTAGTTTTTGATGATAGTGGAGGAGAAACAAAACAAAGTTCACTAGATGGAAGGTAAAATACAAGATACATTCGATGTTATACGCTTATTTTGGCTTATTTTCATTGATCCAGAGACTGGAACTGAAACGCAAAACTTCATGCTTTTCAATCGGTATCTCAGCGTGTTTCAGACAAATTATGATTTGACTACTAACTTCCGACTTACTGGGCATCGAACCTACGTCGGTTATTAGTAGATTATTAACCGTACATTGCTTAGTACGTTGGTTAAATAAACATTGTTAGTTTGTCTAGATAATAGAGAGTCATAAATTCGATAAGATCATCATTAATGTCATAACACTTTTATTGCGTTTTCTATGTGAAGAACATGACAGAAATATTTCTAAATGTCTAGCCTCACTGGATACTATGATGTTTAGTCAGGATTTAAACCCCCCCAACTTATGCGCTACGCTCTGAGTTAGTTTGAATTTTAGTTAGGTAGAGCGTTGAATATTGTTATAGTAATAAAAGATAATGGATCAATAAACGATACTTGTATAAAATATATTGTCATATTTTAGGCATGTGTAGTGGCGATGTCACAGACAGAAGTGATGTCTGGTCTGAAGACAGCGGTGAAGACGTGTCGAGAAGTTGTGGGCGGGGCTTGTGAAACGCTCGCGTCGATTTTTAATAGCTCCGTTAACACAGACAAATTGGTTCTGCAGGTATTTTATTACGAAAAATAAAAATATTCACGTTTCAAAATCTGAATATATTACTTATTTCTTAATTGGAGAAAAGTATACATGTGATACTTTACCATTTTGTGTCCTTGTTCTGTGTAGAGGATCGTGCGAAAGAGACAACGCTATATTAATTTGTTTTGGATTCGTTTCGTTTAAAAACATAACACCTATGTAGATGGCGTTGTATAAACATGAGATAAAATGTATTTATTTATGATTGCTTTATTATTTATAAAGCACACCACAGAGAATAGATATTAATGAGGAGAAATCTTACTTTCTAATATATAAATAATTATAATGTATTTATTTTCTTACGTACTTTCACTAGTATAAATTTAATTTCTCTATTTAAGTTTAGTAAATATAGGTTTTATTTTTTTTCATTGCATACCTTGCATTGGCCACCTCTTGTTTTCTATAGAATTGTTCTGTCATTGCCCATTGTACTCTATTCTAATACAAATGTTCGTATTACATTATTCTTATCCATTGTGCATTAAAATGTGATTTATCATATAATATTTCAGGCACTAGACTCGGATTTGATAGGAGAGCTGCTTACATTACTAGAAACTGGTATTGAAGGAGAAACAGCAGCGCGTTTGGTCGGCGCGCTTAAAGCAATGGCGAAGAACAACGCGCATGGCGAGCGAGTACGCACGATACTATCTCGCTCTCGTATCTGGGAGCAATACGCTGCGCAGAGGCACGATCTATTTATAACCTCTGCGCCGAACCAGCATTCGATCGCAGGTTTGTTATTCTTTTGTATTTATATATTGCCTGCAGTTTACGCGAGTAGTACACATTTAAATATATCTTGATATCGATTAATATCGCCCCCGTGATCACGGCTGCTGCAAAGAATCGAAAAGTCAGGCCGTATTTACTGATATATTTCGCGTTTTAAACCGTTAAAAGTGTTTCATTTAAGTTGTAATAATATATTCTGTGTCACGATAATAATATACATAGTTTATTATTCTTGTGTCTACTTAAAATATATACTGGATCGGCTTGTTGCTGAGTGTGGTCCAAAATTGTTTTCTCGTCATTTAGATGTTTATTCAAAAAGAAAGAAATTAACGAAGATTTTCTTTTAAGTTTCGTCTTCAATCAATTTGTGCTTCATTTCTGACATTTAAAGTTAAATTAATCTGAAAACTATGACACTGCTGGGACTCGAATCTACGATCAACGGACGGTACCATGTTTTTAATCAATCTCATGTTCTAAAGACTAATGAGTTAAAATTGTATACTTTCAGCGGCGCCTCACTCCGCTGGTTACCTGACAGCGCCACCTGTTAATATCCCCGCGCAACCGCCGCCCATAGACTGACGTACGCACGTTTCGCTTTTAGCACATCCGCTATAACTAAGTACACTCGCTTTCATAATGTTTTAAAGAAATTAGGGTCGAAAACATGAACCATAGAATAGTAGGTGGATGTGTAAAAGTACAGTTGTAATGAAAATGCTTTATTAATACAAATTATAGCTCCACCGTGGAAAAGTCAACGATAACATTTTAAATAGTAAAATATTGCAATATTTAAATAACAATATAAAAACACTAATATTAGAATATGTGAACAGTATAGTACCGTTTTGCACTTCTGTATATGACTGTACTTAAGCCTCACAGATACTAAATATTTCTTCAAAAGTACGTTTCAATTACAAAAAAAATGTAAATAATTTTAAATATGCAATTAATATTAGTAGATCGCATTTTTCAAATATAGGGCAATCATTTATGCTACTACTGCCAATGTATAAATTTAAGATCTATAATTCTTCTTACAAAGTGGTACTTTAAATGAATTTGTTGGCATTAGTTACGACTAATAGGATCAACTGTTCAATTGGCCCAGTAGATCACGGGGTTCCAGGTTCGAATCCTACGCTATTCGGAATTAATTTAAGAAAATGTCTAAAATCTTTACTCCCGAAACATTACTCCGTTTGAAACGTAGGTCTATTCTCTTAAAACCATCGAAAGTATATCTATGCCCAGCTGTGGGACTACAATACCATATCAAGTTAAAAAATATATAAGAAAGTTGATTTTTTATTTCTTACATATTGCTTATTATATTTTCAAATATATAGTCGAAGCATACTTTGTCGCGGATAAAAAATTAGTCTTCATTTGCTATTAACTAAATATCAAATATCGTTTTTTAATGACTGGGGAAGATAGAAGCCTGAAGTTCACTTGATGGAAAGTGAAATACCACAGCCAAACTTTTATATTCTATTTATGTACTTCATGTACAATCATAAAAAATCTGCTGAAAATTGTATAAGACAACATGTTTAAATACTTGATATAAAATTAAAATTTTTGATTTAAGATTCTTTTGTTATACAGCAATGTCATCTGTCAAGTATTTGTTTTTATCTGTGGTGAGAGTTGATTTAGTCTCTGGCTATATATATACTCACAAGATCTCCTTAATATTATATAAATAATATTTATCGTTAAACGTATGTTATATGTCATATATCTTTTGTCTGCTGTATCTTACCCTTTATTTTAGGTACTAACAAAGTCTCGCTCTTTGTGATATTATTATAAATTAAATAACTTGTGTTATTGATAGTTATATTATTGCGTTTATTAAATTGTCATTTTCCGTTTTGTACTTGGAGAAATCATGCTTGTTAGCTTCAAACGACAATTATATCGTCACTATAATTTATTGTAGCGCCATCTGGTATCGTTTTCGTGAACTCTTTCATTGTATCAAAGTCGTGTAAATATTGTTTCAAGAGAGCTCGGAACAGTGGTAAGTCTGATGGATGGAAAGTTATGTTCCGGAATGATATTTAATATTTTTATATTTAGGAATAAGGAATAACTTGTAAAGTAATATATTAAACGAATATTGTAAAAAGTTGTTTTATTACGAAACAATGACAAAGTTTTGTTTTTTATTAATTTACATACTCTCTCATAATAATTTATAGCTAAAATGCCTAAGATATAAACAGTACAAAAATATACAAATTAGTTAAAATTACATTATTTTATATAAAGAAGTTGCACATAGAAATGATCGTTATTCTTTATCAAAAACAATATTTTTTTAATATACAGTATTATTTAATAAAACACGTAACGGTTTAAAACGCAAAAAATACGTGGAGACACGTCAGCGTTACCACGCTTGCTGCAAAGCATCTTTAACGTCGGGCCGTAGTTAAAATATTTTTTAAGGAAGTCTAGTTTCACGTTTTAAACCGTTTAAGTGTTTTATATAAATGTGTACTACTCGGGTACAGACAGAATTTCAAAAATTTAATTTGGTTAAAGCTCCTTATTTGAAGACCGTACGTAGATAATCGAAATAGGCACTTATTTTATCATAGTCTTTACTTAAAATCTACTTTACAACCTTACTTTCCTAACATATCGAGATCATAGGAACATTTTTACTTTTGAATACTTACCTAGTTTTACGCGAACTTTTTGTGTAAAACTTAACTTACAATACTAACTAGTTTCTTTGTACCCAAAATCACGTATATACTAAAATAATAAGCTAAATTTAATCTGCGTCAGCGCAACACTTCGCACGATACATTGATGACACAGTCGGAAATTGAACTGGCACTTACAGCGTTAGTTTACAAATATTCAAGTCATCTAAAATTGGTTTATAGAATCTTAAACTAATAAAATGAAATCCTTTAAAGATGTTAATTGGCTGACGTATTCTGAACTCCACTCAACAAAATTTTGAATCGAAAATTACAACTACCCCCTACTTTTACTTCCCTAGTCGTTAACGTTAGATCGCAGTTAAATACATTATTATAGATAGTTTTAAATCACGAGGTGACACCCCGTGACCACGGCTGCTGCAAAGCATCCGAAACGTCGGGCCGAAGTTAAAAATCATTTTTCAAATAAGTTTAACTAATATATCGCGTTTTAAAAAGTCAAAGTGTTTTATTAAGAATAATAATATGGATAAATGGCAGGGGTTGTTTTGGACCGGCTTGGGGGGGGGGAGGTGTCGTTCTTAGCCGGTGCAGTTTGATCTCAACTTAATTTTTTCTCTCATTACCTTTAGTTTACCACTCACTTATTAGGACTAAAAGTTATTCTATCTTAGGAGCTATTTTCATTACTTAAATAATGCTCTAGTTATGAATTAGCAAGCTTATACTCAGTACGAGGCGTGTAGTTTGTTGTGTAGGAACGCTGATAGCCCCGATTCGACCACGGCCATTTCCCTCTGAAAGTTAATTCGTTTTAGTCTTGGCACTTAAATGTTTTATTATAAACAAATATCTATAGTAACATACATAAAAAGTTAAATTTAAAAGATAATGATTATTATATGATGGAATAATCCTTTTCACGATTTTCTCTAGTAACCCCTAAACTATTTTTTTTACCTTCACATCCGGTTGCCTGGAAGAAATCGCTGTTTAGCGATAAGGCCGACATTATTTAGAAGTTAGTTCATAAGTAAACCATGGCGGTGTGATAAATAAAAAAAATAATAGTGTCGATACAAAAACAATTAATGTCTTTTTTTTATAAGTTTTGTACATGTATGGGTAAAAAGCAAAAGACACGATATAAAGTTTTTCTTACAAAACTAAAATAAATACATATTTATTTCTTGTACTTCTCGTAACTAGTAAACGTCGAAGGAAATTAACTGACCTTATAATCATACGAACATATCTTTGATCCATCTGCTCCGGCGCAAGCGGCAGTTGGAGATCGAGGTAGTGGTGTGCGCTTGCGCACAACAGCGCGTCCAGTGCATGATGCAGCTCGCCAAAAGTCGGCCGCGATCGAGGTCGTTCGTGCCAGCAGGAGAGCATTAACTCATACCTTCATTAGACAAGTTGAAAATCGGGTTTTTAGATTTAAAAAAAAACACGATACGGGCAGAACTTGACCCGGCATCTACAGCGTTAACACTTGCTAAATAAGGTTTAATATCTAATACTTTGCAGCTTAAAACCATTACAGAGGTTAACGTTTAAAAACTTTAGATTTTTTAAAGTCTACTGGTATTTATGGCTAGTTAAGATATATAGGACAGATACAATTCTATGCTCGTTTTAATGATATAATTGATAAACAGTTTTTCTGAAATTTAATGCAACACTCTGCTGTTTTAGTATACATATTGATGTGTGATTGACTCAATTATGATATGACAATATAACTATGAGGAAATAACTTACAGTTGTCCTGAACAATTAGAAGGCCGTGGCATGCGGTACCCAGCGCGAAGTAAACGCGGTAATCTCGAGGCCCCCACCGCTGGGTACGGAGCACCCCCCATGGTCACTATCTCCCACATCACTACACCGAACGACCACCTAAAAGAATTTACAACAACAAGTTATTTCTTATTTTTTAAGGTTTTGATTAAATATACGTCGTTAGTTAATATCGCTACTAATATTAGAGTTAGCTCTCAAATTTTTTTTTGTATTAAACGTAACTTTATCTACATTTACAGGATTATCCTAATGCGTTAGAAAATTATATTACATAAAAGAATTAAACACTCATATATTAAATAATGTTTTTGAAATGATTGATATACTAATATACTGAATTAAAAGATATAATCATTCTAGTTCTAGTAGTAGTAATAATTCTAAAGCCATTCGGTGGAATGTAAACTCTAAAAAAAACAAAAAACGATCTTAATAAATGGGCTCATATAATAACGAACGATAACTTTAAAAATAATCTAAATATATTTATGTACAGGAGAAGATTCAAAACAGCATAATGGAAGGTAGGTTTAATATTAAACACAATTACTCTCTCACTTACACGTCACTCTGAGTCGTATAAATCCTATGCGTCAATGATTCCAACGCCATCCACTTGACCGGCATCTTTCCATTCCCCTTCTGCTTGTACTGGTTCTCCTGATAAATATCTCTGGATAGTCCAAAATCTGCTATTTTCAGCGTCCTATCAATCGTTACCAGAATATTCCTTGCTGCTAGGTCTCTGTGTACCACTCTATTGGAAGCCAAGAACTCCATTCCCATCGCAATTTGTCTGCAGAAGGACAGCAAGTCCAAAAATGTCAATTCCGTGTCGCAGATAGCTTGGAGGTCGTATAATCTATTGATTACGAGGCTCGTATCACGTTTACCTTTCAGCTTGCGATAGTCGTCATTATTGTTGTAGTATTTAGCGTTACGTCGCGTTATCATTAAATCCCAGGAACACCTGGAAGGTGGAAGGTGCTACGTTATATGGCGAATTCAATTTTGTCGCTTCGCTTTACAATGACATGAAGACCACAATTCGCTACAAATACTTTTTAAACGCACTGTCTGCTTGTGGCCTGAAATACACCTCCCACACTGCCAAATTTTAAAATATGTATACAGTTGATAATAATTTGGCTATAAACCTCAGGTAGGTAAGCAGATCCCCTCTACTACAGTATTCAGCTATTATGAATGGTTTGCGTCCTCTGCAGCAGCCAACCAGGCTGACCACATGGGGATGGCAGCCGACACTCTTCATCAGCTCCATTTCAGCTCTAAATGACCGGATCTCTTCTACCGAAGGGAAATCTGTTCAAAAGGATTAACTATGCTACACTTCTTTGTAATATGGATCCTTAATATTAGACAACACTTTAGAAACTAATTAAAAATAGTAAATATAAAATTAACTTATTATATTAATTTAGCGTTTTGACCTGTTAATTTTTTGTAAAGTTTAGTTTCTTTCTTTTGTACCAAACAAATTTACTCCCTTATTAGTGATTTAGTCTTTTAGAGTTAGGAACTTACCTTTAAGCATCTTGACAGCTACATCCTTATTCTCCGGTGACAAAGTACCTCTCCTCACAACTCCAAAAGCTCCTTCGCCAATGACTTCATGCAGCAACAGCCGTTCTGGCTTAACCTCCCATTGGTCCTCCGAGCCGGAATCAACGCTACTGACTTCTATTTCACCATCTTTTGCAATTTTTTGGCGAATACCCTATTGATAAGAAAATACTGGAACTTGATGAACTACGTATTATTGCCGAATTTTAGTTTGTAGAGTCCTTAACATTTGATTTTGTTTTCTACTAAATATTGATCTATCTATTTTTAAAAAACTTTTGAAATTCAGTTAACATTTTTTAGGTTTGAGTCAGTTCATATCAGTATCGTTTTAAAATTAATTTGAGGGCTGAATATTCAAAATTTATTTTTAAACATAATATTTTTATTATGCCTAGACGTCGTTTTTTTACATGAAAAATATTTTAGTTTAAAACCGTCGAAATGTCTTATTGTATGACTTGGAAATTACCAATCCAACAGTAGAACAAACTATGTATTTATAAAGGAATGAAATGTATATGAAAAGCATTAGTCTGTATTTATAGGTATAAAAATTACCGGGAAATACATATTCCTCTTCTTGATGTCCCTTTGTCTTTTCCACCAGATAAAGACAATGACGAAGGCAGTTGACATTATGAGGATCCCTGCCCAGGCTCCCACCAATGAGCTCATAGATGCTGTATCTTTGATCTCTAAAAAAAAATACCGTACAAATAAGACCTGAACTTATGCCCTGAGGTGATCCCGAGAAGACGAGCACTATATAACATAATTATAGAGAGGTAATAATCAACGAGTCAGGTTTGATTCCTACTATATGTAACATGTTACTAATATATAATGATTCTGACACAGGCTTCGTCTAAAAACCTGGGTATCAAATGGGTGGTGGGAATATCGAAATACCGACAGTGTCACGTACCATCGTCCACTGCAAGTTTTTGAACAAGCATACTTGATGATTGGTGAAAAAAAAACAAGTCGACTTATTTTGACTTTGAATATTCGGAAATCTGACAGACTACAGACTGAAACCGAAATGAGATTAAACTTCTCGGCTTTTCCATCTGTAGACGGTGGTTCGTGACCCGGATGGCATTTCGATATCCCTACCACCCATATGCAGATTTCCAGACGAAGTCTAACATGCTTCAAATAATTTATAAATAGATTAGAAAAATGTTGGACCAGGTGGGGTTCGAACCCACGATCCGTTTATTGGACCCACGAGCTCCTCCTTTTAATAAAACACTTTAACTGTTTAAAACGCGATATATTAGTTAAACTTAAATCTTATCAGGTTTCGGTTTCAGTCAGTGAACTTGTAAATGTGCCAAACAAACATAGGCCGACAACGCATCTTAATATTTCACATTTTATAAAGTGAATACATCCTCGTCTGCCATAAAAAAAACATTGAGATTGTTGATTAATTAAATACCAAGTCCATAGTTTACGCGAGTAGTACACATTTAAATAAAACACTTTAACTGTCTAACGTCGACCCGACGTTTCTGATGCTTTGCAGCAGCCATGGTATATATTTAAGTTAAAAATCATTTTCAAATAATTTTAACTAATATATCGCGTTTTAAACCGTTAAAGTGTTTTATTTAAATGTTGATTAATATTTTGATTCTAATCTCACGAGCACGTCATTGAAAGGAAGAAAATTGAATGCATTCTCCTTCGTGTTTAGATGTGCTTAAGCAAAGTTGTACAGACACGCGAAGTATATTGTTCTAGGGATTGTTTTAGATCTAAGACATATCTACGAAATTAAAAGATTTCCATTGTATATATAATTGAGTAGTTACCATACACTTTTAGTATTTTTTATTTACTACTATACAAATATAAAAAAAGGAACAGTAAAATCTCGTTTTCCCCGTGGGACATGGGACGAACATATTTTTGAACACGTTGCACTGATGGGTTTTATTTATATCAGTCTTCTTTGCCCTGCCCAACCAAAACAATCTGTAGTTTCCCCTAAACTCGAACCCAGGATCTCTCGTGCTTTAAACATTTAGCTACGGAGGTGGTCAATATATAATATTCAACGTCGAAGTATAAATCGGTGTTTAACGTCATAAATACACTCTAGAGCAATTTATCCGGGTCACTTAAAAAATCTATAAATCGTTTTAAATACTGCCTGGGAAATAAATACAACACAACAATTTGAATCAGCCACATCAAGTCGAGTCATAGTTGTAATTTTACTCAAATTAAAATAAAACACTTTAACGATTTAAAACGCGATATATATTAGTGAAACTTTTTTGATAATTATGCTTAGCAGCAGCCGTAGTCATGGGGTGTCCCCGCCAATATATGTCGCGTTTCAACCCGTTAATGCGTTTTATATGGGTGTAGTACTCGCGTAAACTACAGACAGTATTTAATTTACTCGTATATTTCGCCTTTGAGACCGTTAAAACGTCATTTAAAGTCACAGACGACTATATATCTTGGGAATTGTTTTAGATATAATTACTTACGTGGGAAGATACCACGCCTAGTAGACACTGCTCTGCCATAATCATTGAGAGCAACAACTGTAACATTGAAAAGGCCTTCCCCTTGAACGTCAGTGAACGTGGCTTCATTCAGTAACTGTTGACAAATAATGATAATCGGTAAATATCTATTATAAATTGAAAAAAATAAGACTCGAGCAGGTATTAAACGGGCATCGATTCCGTGCTATATAAATAGATAATATATTATTTACAAATATAACAGCTACATTTAAACAAAAAAATAAATTTAGATTAAACATCGATGACACAGTAGCTCTAATGGTTAGAATAGTAGCACGGGTCGCTGTGGACTCCCGCGCCGGTTCGTGTTCTGCTGTTAAGGTACTTCATCTAAATTAGTATAGTAAAGTTCTTAAGGTAGTCGTGGGTTTGAGTCCCGCCCATGTCATACGTTTTTGAAATCGAATAATAAATATTTAATTTGTTGCACGAACAGATAACATATACAAAAATACATCCATGTTTATGTGAAATCCAAAACGTATATATACGTATATGTTGGAACTATTATTAATGAACATATTGATAAAATCTGCCAAGAATAATGATGAGTGAAGTGCGCAATTCTGACGATATAGTCTTTATAGATGTCCAGTAATATATTAGTTGTCAAAACTATCACTCAGACTCGCTAAAACAACCTATAGTGTATTTTTCCTAACTTGGCAAACATACGCCTACAATTTACATAAAATCATGATTTTCTCACAAAGTTCACATTGATTTATACTAAAAACACTTTGAGACACCGTATTACACATTAAACTAATGAAAATACCTCAAATTCCATGTTAAATTCTTAATGCCATCGTCTAGTTAAATAATCAATAACGAGATTATTTAAAAGATTTTCCTGTGCCCAATTTCATTGAGCCTAAGGACTTATGTGTTATTAAAATATGGTATTAGGTACTTACTCTCGATACATTTACTGTGTAAATGGCGTCCGCTCTAAGTGTCACTGTATAGTACGAAGGGGGTTGTACTGTCGAATTCCATTTCGCCTGAACTATCCAAAATCCGTTGCCCTTGTCGCTGGGAACTGCCGTTAGTCTCAGATTTTGCACTATTTCTGGCACTGAAAACGGAATAATTCAAAATAAACCTGCTTCAAAAGTAGCACGGGCCGTAGTTTTTGATGTGAAACATCTATAGCCGCACGTAAAACCGATTTCTGGCGTGGCGACGCATGCCGTGGCGAGGCGTCGCCCCGCTATACGATGGTATATATATACAGTCTATATGCAGTAGTGTGTACGGTGTGGCGGCGCGGTTAATTTATGTATTTAATGAAAATAAATGTTTATTCAATAAATAGTCATCGTTATCTGGAAAAAATCGTAATATTTTATTTTATCATTATGACATATTTAGTTCCTATCACAATATGTTCTTTTCTGCACATTACTTTTACAAAATAATGGCGATGTTTCACATCTGCCAAGCGTCCCGTGACGGCTCACATTTTTTATTGGTAGAGGAGAGCAGAAAAGCATGGGGACCCTATGCTTTTATACCTTAATGGTAGGTAAAACACCTCAGTCTATAGCATCTGAACAACATGCGCTGTCGATCTATTTTGGCTTTGGATATTCAGTTTACGTCCCCCCGTGACTACGGCTGCGAGGCATCCGAAACTTCAGGCCATAGTTAAAACAAATTTGTAAATTAGCTTAACCAATACAAACGTTTAAAGTTTCTTATTTAAATGCTTCGAAACAAGTTTAAACGATTTTATATTAATGTCAATGTCATTAAATCCCTTTGTTTTACGAACCGTTAATAAAGTCATTACCTTAATTTTATATAAAAATTTAAATTTAAGCCGTTTAATCTTGATAAAAAATATTTGTGACCCAATGGAAAATACGAGAAATGTATTGATTTGTGCCAGAGGGACAATTTTAAAACATGTGATAATTATCCCATGTAAGCGTTGTAAGTTACGCAAACTTTGCAACCATGCCACTGAGAATCGCCATATTAATAAAGCAATATAATTGAAATTTACTTAACCAAAGTTTTTCCGGTATAAAACGCTGCTACAAAACATTTCAAAAGACGGGCCGAAAAATTATTAACTAATATATTTCGCGTTTCAAACCGTTGAATGTGGTTTGGTGGAAAGTGCTTCTATTAAATGATTTAACGACACATTAGTTTAGTTACACTGGACACCAGATAACGACTATCATCACAAATTTTATGGCGGTCCTTGAAGTCGAACGAAGCAGCGTCGTAGATTCCAGGTCCAGACTAGAGAGAATTATTATCTATAATTGAGGAGACCTGGGCCCAGCAGTGGGAAACAATGGATTGAATACTCACGTGGTTTGCATCCCGGCAGATCATAGCAAGATGGAGTATCATATATGAAATCGGTAGTTCCATACTTTCCCCTCACTTTGAGTGTACATTGGTCGTCTAGTGGAACAAGGGCTATAACACTTCTGTTTTGAAAAGGCTGAAATTTATTTTAATATTAATACCTTCTGCCACCGTTTAAAAGATTCCTAACATTTTTTTACGATATCGGAAGAAGAGAATTTACTTGATAGTAAGTGAATAACCCGGATAACATCTACACGAAATGTGTTGTCGACCTATTTTGGCTATGTATATTATAATTATCAATCTTAGACTTAAATGACATGAGGTCTCAAAAATAACTGTCATTGTTGTTTACCTTTTTTAACACGTTCTATTTAATTCTAGTTTGTTGATATAAGTAGGAAAAAAATGTGTCACAAATATTAAAATCGATTTCAAAATTTTTGTGACCTGGTGGGAATCGAATCCACGGTCCGTTGATTATGAGAAAAAATGAAAACGTACCCGTATTTTCCAAGTAGATATATCCCCTTGTGCTAAATTATTGCATCGGTTGTAGACGTCGAAACAGGAATCGCTTGCTGTAAAAAATAATCTTTCAGCTGAAAAGGCTACTACGTAAAATTTAATTTAAATAACTATGATATTTCAGATCTATTCTAATGTTATATACTACCTTATCAATTATTGGTATCAATGGCCTAGATTTGCGTTAAGTTCGAGAGGGCCTGAGTTCGAAACCCGAGGAAAGGTAATTTTTTCAACTCAGGCCCTCAAGAGGACAAACAAGCATGGAGTGAAATACCCTCACCATCTTCGCAAAATGTGCTGTCGACTTATTTTGGCTTTGTATTAAAGGATTAAACTTTACGGTTTTTAGAACTGTGGCCGGTGGTTCGTGACCCAAATGGAATCTCGATATTCGTACCTATTTAATATCCAGATTTCCAGATGAAGTCCAAGATGTTCCAGAAAATAATGGATTGACTAGAAAAATGTTGGACCCGGACCTTCCACAGATGAGAAGGCCGTCTAGTTTAATCGCGTTTCAGTCTGTGGATTTCCGAATATCCAAAGCCAAAGAACATCGACACGATTCTTGTATTATATAGCTAGGGTATTTTACGTACGACCAAGTGGACCCCGTGCTTGTCCGTCCGTCTCTATTATAAAATAAATAATATATTAAATTTACCATCACTATTATTCCATGAGAGGACAACCTCAATAAATTCGGTCGCGTTATATTTTTCATATAAAAACTTATGTTTCACTGTATAATTTTTCTCTTCCCTATTAGCCAATGTGGTGCTCCAAGGAGGTAGACTGGGCCCCCTTCTCCATCTACTGTGACTTCCATCTTCGTTCACGAGAGAAGTCCATAATGTGAAGCTCGAAGATGGAGTATAAGCAGCACCAATTTCTTCCGCTGGTTCCATCAATCTGAAGGACAGCTGTAATATGTTTTTGAGGGTTAAATATATTGTAATAACTTAAGCGATATAAAAGGAGTTCTGTATAATTTTGTTTCGTAAGCGTTATAAAATTCAGAAATAGTTTTATTTAATATAAATCAGCAATAACTTAAGTAAATTTTATTTTTTAATCTGTTAAAACGAGTGGTATTTGACGAACAATTTCAGACCCTTTCAAACTCCTTTATAATGTCCTAAATGAAAATAAAAGGTTAAATTATCGTTTGTATAGAAATGTGATAATATAGATGTCTATGTGAATGTAAATCGTAATTTACATTCACATAGACATTTTCCGGTTTTTTCCATTGCCAAGTATAATAAAAAAGGATGTTTGGCAAAAAAGGAACTTATATATTTAATGCCTGCCTTGACCATTCATATAGTCTCTCTTCTCTTCATAGTTAAACATGCTACCAAGCATTTAATTAAGCACAAGAAGTCCTCGATTCGAAAATCGATGAATCATACGAAAAAGGAATGTTTCTTTTAATAGATGAAATTACACAAACTTGTGTCCATGCCTTTCATGATTTGTTATTTTCACACGTCGTGTTATTCTATAGATTTTAATCACTTAGAATTAGGGTGGAATTAGTATTTTCATTTTTGAAAAGGTTCTGATGGCTTACCCACCCAAAATCTGACTTTACTAATCTATGTTTAACCATGTGTGGTATTCGTTACAATAGTAAACAAGCAAGCTCGTGTTCAGCGATTGAGTCAAATGTGTTTTGACAGTACGACATTTACATACTACTACGTAGTAAGAATTGAGGCGAGACTAGATTGGTTCTTGGCAGGGAGGGCCATTTGTTTTCATTTTACATTCCTCTAAATACCGCCAAGACTATTAAATTAATCTGACTTAAATACTGTCTATAGTTTACGCGAGTAGTACACATTTAAATAAAACACTTTACGGTTACACACGGTTTAAAACGCGACATATTAGTTAAACTTATTTCAAAATGATTTTAACTTCGGCCCGACGTTTCTGGTGCGGACGGGGAGACTCCCCGTGACCACGGTTGCTGCAAAGCATCCGAAGCGTAGAGGCGAAGTTAAAAATAATTTCCAAATAAGTGTAACTAATATACATCGAGTTTTAAACCGTTAAAATGTTTTATTTAAATTATTGTTTATTTAAATAAAACACTTTAACGGTTTTAACTTTAACTACTAATATAATACAACACAATTATTAATAAAAAAAAAATACGACTCGGGCAGGACTTAAACCGTCATTCTCTCCGTTGCACGCTGTTGCTTTAACCAATTGAGCTACCGAGTCCTACATTTGGTTAACGTGGTTCAAGTCCTGCCCGAGACGTAATTTTTTGTGAAAAATATTAAAGTTTTCAAACTCTAATACTACTAATAATTAAGTAGTCTCCCCGTGCTGCTGCAAAGCATTCGAAACGTCGGGCTGAAGTTAAAAATCGTTTTCAAATAAGTGTAACTAATATATCGCGTTTTGAACCGTTAAATTGTACTCGCGTAAACTATATACAGTATTTAATTAAGTAGTGACTCACAATACAAACAATAACTTACGCACTACTCGCCTTCAGAACGTGTGTGTGTTTTACGCATCTGGAGTGATTGTACTTACGTAGTCCATAAAATCGTCTTCATCAGGTATCACCACGACCAGTTGTCCATCTTTCGAAAGAGGAACGGAGAAGGTCACTTTGTTCTCTGACTGACACAAGACTTGGACCGCCGGTGGTGCGACATCCGCCTCGTAACGACGACCTTTAAAAAGGCCAAGAATAAATCGAGCACTTTCAAATAGCAAACGAAGGTCGGGCTTCCTTTAATATTTAATTAGGTACGGTTTGATTTAGATTGATTTATATTAGACGCTATCATTAGGTAAAGCTCTCTTTATTTATAACGCTGAAGTGTTTGTTTGTTTGGCCGCGCTAACCACAGGAACTACTAATTCAAATTGAAAAATTGTTTCTATGTTGGATAGACCATTAATTGTGGCTTTAGATTGTATAACATCACGTTGCAACAAATAGAAGCGAGGACGCAGTGGAAAAAATGATAAAACAGGGCAAATTTGAGGGCAAAAAATCTAAAAATATTAACAGATTAACTTAAAACATTAATTCTTCCTTAAATCTCAAAACATTTTTAAGACAGTATAAAATATATCTATCTTTTAAGATTAACTTGCAAGAACGACGGTGCGCCGGCGACCTGGTGGATAACAGCTAATAGTAAAATAAGTAGAATATTTTCTTTACATATTATAAAGTAACTAGCTGAGTCGGCGACTTCGTCCGCGTAGAATACATAGTTAAATTTAGCAGCAAGTTTGTTTTTGCAAACCTCCTGTTGAACTCTATAGATTTAAGTTCTTACTCACGACTTTATCCGCGCTCCGTCGATCTTGCAAGTTAATCTTAAAATATACTTTTATGTGCATTTTAGTTAGATCATGTAAAGAGAAATCATTCTATTATAAATATTTTGTGTCTGTGGTGTCTTTAACCGTTTTCGCAGCGTACGCAATGGAAACCCACAAGCATAATTTTTTATCATTTTTTTTCTACATTTCACGCTGTTTCTTCGCTCCTATTAGTCACAGCGCGTGTTTTATAGCCTCGATGAATGTTCTAACTAACACGAACATAAATTTTCAATTCAAACCAGTAGTTCCTGAGATTTGCGCGTTCAATCAAACAAACTCTTCACCTTATATATTAGTATAGATACCAAGCAAATATTACAAATATGTTTAGTATAAATATATATTGACCGTCTCTCTAGCTAAATAGTGAAGCCTTGTCCAGCAAGAGGTCCTGGCTTCGAATCCGGGGAAAACAAATTGTTTAAGTCATGCAGGGCATGTGTTCGTCCCATGTCCCGAAAGAGGAAACTTGATATCTCAAAATATCTTCCTATTTGGAAACCTTTATTTGACATTCTCAATCTCATGCTTTCGTATATACTTTTTGCGTTTATAAAATATTTTCTTATCGATCTAGTTTTAAACATCACATCTGTATTTTTAAAATTTTCAGTGTTCTTTGTATAACAAATAGTTTTTTAAATACTACTCAATTATATAATTCAAGACAATGCATTATAAAATTAAATATGTATCTAAATAAATATTGGAAATTTACTAAATCATCAACATGCAGAAGAAAAAGTAATGATAACATCTCATTCAGTCTAGACTAGGCGATCGTTGACTCCTCAGCTTTATAAAGCGACAAATAATTTTTAAAATACGCAAAATAGCGAGGCTACTTGAAAACAAATTTAAATTAAACGGTAAAAGTCCAGCGAACGGTAGGAGGTGTCGTAAAAACTGGACTTACAGACTTACTTTGAAACGTCTCTGTGCATTTTTTCGCAGCGGTTCTCTGAAAAAAAAAACGAAACATTATTATTAGGCTTGCATCGAATGTTCTGGACCTATTCGGTTTACATTGTTCGGCCGAATACCGAATTAATTAATAAAAATAAATTGTTTAGCATTTTATTTGTTTCACGGGTTGCTGATTCTCACGCAGCGCTTGATTAACAAAAATCTTCGAGCAATCGAGGAGCTAACATCTCCTGATGATGCCGTCCGCTCGTGATGGCGAGATGTCGAGAACCTCTTCTCGCTCACGTCGGCCGGACAGCCCGAAAGACAATGATATGATTAACGGTGGCCGTGGTGGCCTTACACAATTGACTATATCTATACTAATATTCTAATCTATATTAATATTATAAATTGAATTTTAATGCCTCCCGTTATTGAGCACGGTCTTGTTCTGTCATTCTTAAACGTTGATTTTATCTGTGAAACTATTTAAGGAAATACCTATACGTTTTTTTCTTGAAGAAAAGAAGAGACCTTGTTTGTTTTTTTTTTCAAATGCCCTTATCTATTTATCTATATATAGGATCGAATTAAAAATTTGAATGAATTAAAAAATTATTTGTTTGAATTAAAAAAATCTTTTGTGCTGGCTGGAACATTCATCGAGGACGGCTTTATAACCTAAAGCCTTGATCAATAAACAATCTAACGAACACAAAGGCATTTTTTAATTCGAACTAGTAGTTTCTGACATTAGCGCGTACAAACAAACACACTCTTCTGCTTTATATTAATATAGATATTCATTACATGATTACTCTGTACCAAAATAAATAACGTATTGGACATTAACTGATTATAAATGGCTGGTAAATATTGTGTGGCGTGCTCCCGGTGTGATTGAGTCACCAGCACGTTACCTGTTTATCAACAAACCGAATCACTGAAATAACTCAATTTAAGCCAGAACTCACCGCGTCGATAATGAAAAAATTTAAACGTCTAATTTATTGCGGAAAGGTCGTGTTTATTTTGCATTTAACTGACTCGTTGGTCTGAAGGCTACACTGCAGTTCACAAAGTTTAAAGTTCTAGTAGTAGAGATGCTATTTTTATTCTATAAGGTTTTAAGTAAATAGTGTGTGTAGTTTATGCGAGTAGTACCTACACATTTAAATAAAACATTTAAAGCGTTTAAAACGCGATATTTATTTGTTAAACTTATATGACTCCCCGTGACCACGGTTGCTGTAAAGCATCCGCAGCGCCGGGCCGTAGTTAAAAAAAAACAAGTAAATTTAATTAATATATACGGCTTTTTAAACCATTGAAGTGTTTTATTTAAAGGTTTTAGGTAATTAATGATATCGAAGTAGGAGGTATCAGTATCTCTTCTATACGTCAGGTAGTACGATAACCCGTCGGGCCTGGTTTTGATAAAAAATTTATTAGCAGTCGCTATTGTCCTACATAAGTCCCTTATGTGATAGAGCCTATGCTCAGCTGTGGGACGTCGTATATCCTGTAATTTCAATTAAACAGCCACAGAACTGCGACCCAATCCGTGTGAGAAACGGGATTCACCATTTTCATATACCAAAGGTCATTGCCCTCTACGTTAATGCTTCGTAAATCAGCGCGAAGGAGAAACAAAAAGACTTTTAAAAGGATCTTGAAACTACGTAGAATTGTAATGGCTTGGGATCTATACTTTAATTACGATCGGCGAGGTGGCAAAAAAATTAAGAACTGCGATAAACAGAGGTCTTTGTTGGGTCCCCGCGGGTTGAATAACCCAAGCGTCGGACGTTTAAACAAAAAATTCGTGTCAAGTATTCCGTCGGTCACGCTACATCGCATTAATGATATTATACAATGTTAAAATCAATGTTTTTCGTCAAATCACTTTTTTTTGCCGACGTCTGGATTATGGGTTGACACGCTTTTAACACATTGTTATTTGCGAATTGATTATTCATTGATTTATAGTTTATCTGCGTTAGCACTGAATCTCGATATAAATAATTAATTTACAGAAGGAGGAATCATTATATCACACATATTTTTTGGGTATCTTGAACCGTTTTCGCGGCGTACGAAATGCAAACCTAAAAGGCTGAATAATTTTCCCGTTTTATCGACATTTCCCGTTGTCTCTCCGCTCCTTAGCCACAGCGATATTTTATAGCCTTTCTTAATAAATTCTCTAACCAATACAAAATTAATTTTTCAATTCAAACCAGTAGTTCCCGAGATGAGCGTGTTCAAACAAACAAACTCTTCAGCTTTATATATTAGTATAGATAGATAAAAAAATAGACGGGATTTGAACCCAGCGTTTCTGCTGCTCTATCGATTGAGCTACTGAGTCATGGAATTTCTCAATACTTGTACACATCTCACTTTTTTCAATTATGAAACATCTTATTTTACGAGGGCAACAAAAGAAAACGTAAATATTTTTAGATGTTATTGCGCTATATAAACTAAAAATTGATTTAAGGTTGAACAATCTTTTTAGAGAAACAGCACGAAACGCCGTTGTTGCTGCTTCAAATCCTGCTCGTGTCGTAATTATTTATAAACCTAAAATAGATTTGTCATTTGTAACATAATATAAACTTTTATCTTGTCAAACGTGATGTTTATGTATTATAGTCTCTATATTTTCTGATCGATCGATCTATTATTTTTATTTAGTTGGGCTGTGACTCGCCTAAAAATAACAATATGATGCACAAAACTACTTCCTTGTTGGATATTTCGAAATTTAAGACGTAGAAAGACCAGTAATAAAAATAAAATGTAGTTTAAGGTAGTAATTGTAGGTTAAGTGGTATATGCATTTCCGATCGTGCATTTAGGAGTTCGATACTCGGTCATCGAAAAATATATTTACAAACAATATTTTCGTAACCTATGTTAACCTATTTTATCAACCTTATTTACTTGTTACATTTTTGAAATTTAAATAAAACACTTTATCAGTTTAAAACTCGAGATATATTAGGCGCTAGTGTCGCAGTTTTTTTTTGACGTCAGAGACATCCTCCACCTTAAGACGTCTCCCCGTGACCACGGCTCCTGCAAAGCATACGAAACGTCGGGCCGTAGTTGAAATCATTTTCAATAAAGTTTAACTAATATATATGTCGCGTTTTAAACCGTTGAAGTGTTCTACTTAAATGTACTACTCGCGTAAACTAAAGACACTATTTGATACATTTTGTCTTCATTCTAGTGATATATTCTATCTACAACCTGTGTATTCTTTATAAATAAATTATATGTATGTAAATAATGTCTATACTTTACACGAGTAGTACACATTTAAATAAAACACTTTAACGGTTTAAAACGCGATATATTAGTTAAACTTATTGGAAAAGGTTTTTAACTTCGGCCCGACGCTTCGGATGATTTGCAGCAGCCGTGGTCACGTATATGTATGTATGTCTACAAAAAGACTGTATGGTGTCACCACCAAACCGCAGAAAACTATACGTATTTTGTAACTCGCCTGCAGTCAGCAAAACCACAGGCACATATGGAACTAGAATATTACTAAAAACTATACTACGAGACTGCCATTAAGTCCAAATACAAATTTCTTTATTGTCCAAAAAATATTTACATTTGGCGTTCAGATATCAACTAGAATTCCCTGTACCGTGGGCGGTTAGTCTCTTTCAGTGTGTGTATAATAAAATTAATAACAATATAGAGACTTAATAGTTGATAAAGTGAAAATAAAACACTAACGGTTTAGAACGCGAAATATATTAGTTAACTTATTTACAGATAAGCGCAGTGACAACGGCTGCTGCAAGGTGCAAAGCATCCGAAACGTCGAGCTGTAGTTAAAATAAATTGTATATAAGTTAGCTGGTTCGTTTCCCGTTTTATAGCGTCAAAAGCGTCTTACTTTATTACCTACTAGCTGTGTCAGCGAATTCATCCGCGAGAATCGTTATTTTGGGCATCCATATTCGTTTTTGCAAATTACTTTATAAACTTAAGCTGTTAGCCACGACGTCGGTCGCGTCCCTTCCCCTCATTCTTGCAACGTAACCTTAAAAGATAGAAAAGCGCCGCGGACTTTTTTAGATAATTTAAAGACGAATCATTCTTTCATACACATTTTTTAGTAATCTTAAACCGTTTTCGCAGCGTATGCATCTGAAACCCACAGAGATGAAAGTTTTTCCCCGTTTTGTTCACATTTCCAGTTGTATCTTCCCTTTAATTAGTCACAGCGCGACGTTTTATAGCCTACAGCCTTCCTCGATAAATGATCTAACCAACACAATAAGAATTTTGCGAACCCGTAGTTCCTGAGATTAGCGTGTTCAAACAAACTCTTTAGCTTTATATATTATACATTATCTTGTTCCGTTTTCGCAGCGCATGGATTGGATATATTTTTTAACTCGAACCAGTAGTCCTTATATTCGCGCTAAAATAAAACACTTTAACTGTTGAAAACACGAAATATATCAGTTAAACTTGTTTACAAATTATTTTAACTCAGGCAATGCCTATGAGATTAATACGTTTCGCGTTTTAAACCGTTAAAGCGTTTTATTTATTACTACTCGTGTAGACTACAGACAGTATTTATTTTTACGTTGTTACCAAGCCACACACAATAATGGTGAGATAGATAGGGCCCAATCAATGGCGATACAATGTCAATGTTAAACATTGTGGATTACATTATCTGGGAGATAGCCAGTGCCTACTGCAGGTAAAATAATCATCACGAATGAATGTGTAAACAATAGTGATGTCAATGAGATCGTGATATTTATAATTTATCAAAAAGGGGTAAATGACTTGAGTACGTGAGGTCATGGTTCGATCTTGGGTTTTGCATCAAAATATAGCATTACATATTGAAGGGAATTTTGCGAGGACATACTTCTTGAGTCTAATATTATAAAGCCGAAGAGTTTGTTTGAACGCGCTAATCTGAGGAACTAATGGTTCGAATCATAGAACATTTATCGAACCAGGCGTGCTCGTGCGTCTAATAGGAGCGAAGAAACAGTGGAAAGAGAAAATAAACGGGGGGAAATGTTCATCCTTCTTGGTTCTCCTTTCAACGCAGACGAAGTCCCAGCGACTTCGTCCGCGTTGAATACATCTAGTAACATATAATATTAAAAAAATCAACCCACCCCATAATCGCATCTCTAGCTAAATTGTTTAAAAACGGTTTCCCGTTATCGCGAAAGGTCGTTGGTTCGAATCCCGAAGAAACAATAAACCTTGAAATGAAACCGATCAGTACGGATATAGAATGCCCCGCGGAGGGAAACGTTATTTTACTTAAACGTCAACCGTAAATTGGGATTATGCAGTTTCCAACAATAGGAACTTATTATTTTTAAAATGAATATACTTAGATGTAGAAGCTAAATAAAATGCAGGAAAATGTAAATTTATGGTTCTTCGTATAAATGTGGATTACCGAAGACCAAAGACAGAATAGATGTACTGTGTGTCATCAAGCCATGCATCTACCCTCTTTTATTACAATAAAAAATGTTCATTTCAATAGTATCATAAAAGAAAGGATGTTCTTCATAATATATAATACCTAATGACAGGAATTATATGTAATGAATTACAGCACACAAATCAAAGTTAAACGTTATTTGACACGTTGTTTTATTGTTAATTAATAACACTGAATATACATTTAATTACGATTCATATGGCAATGTTAAAATATATAAGTATACAGTAGCCGAATGGCTCGGTTGATATGGTAGAAGAACGACTGTCTATCCCGGGTACCAATCCCACCTGCGTAATGCAGCGAAAAATATTCCTTCAACGGTTTAAAACATATCAGTTAAACTTATTTGAAAATTACTTTAACTACATTGGGTCAATGTTTCGGATGCTTTGCAGTAGCCGTGGACACTTTTGGGGAGACTGCGGGGGGACTAGTTAAAATAATTTTAACAAATACATATCGCGTTTTAAACCGTTAAAGTGTTTTATTTAAATGTGTACTACTCGTGTAATCTACAGACATTGTTTAAAAAAAATATTTCTAAAAAAAAGCAATTTATTGGTTTAAAATACGAAATATGTTAGTTAAAATTATTTACAAATTTATTTTAACTCAAACCCGACGTTTCGAATGCTTATGAGACTAATATATTTCGCGTTTTAAACCGTTATAGTGTTTTAATAAATGTGTACTACTCGCATACACTACAGAGAGTATATTCTTGCCTTTTTGTGTATTCGAGATTATATTCATAGCAGAACTAGAATTCCCATGGCAAGATATACTTGTACTTGATGAATGGACAGATTAATTTTTGGCGAACGATGCAAGTGCATTAAATAAATCATAGATTCTATCATCAAATCGCTAAAGTAAATATTATCACTAGCCAAACTGAAACGTGCTTGAAGGCAGCAATTATTAACAGACAGAAATTACATCTCCGTTTTTTGAAATTTTATCCTTTTTTAGGCTTTTCAAAGGTAAAATATATAAAAGTTAAGTAAGTTCTGTCTTTTCGTTGTAGATTATGAAGGGAGAGAGAATTAATAGTTTACTATACCGTTTCAAATTTTGAGTCTATCAATTTCTAGATATTATTCAAGGCAATGGTTCGAAGCATAGATTTTTCGTAGTGGTTAAAACTATTAAGCAGAAAGTACTTAGGTCTCTGAAAAGAAAGCCACTTAGATCTCACCAAAGTTTTCGTACGTCGTAAAGTCCGATGAAATGCGAGTAGTTAACAAAAGTGTAGTAATAAAAAAATACTTACCGATTCCGTAAACATATCTAAACAGACAGAGCTCGCCAAATCTTTCATCTGCTCAGGGGTAGCCGGCAATTCTTCCAAGACATTAGCTCCCACAAACGCGCATGACATCAATAAATAATTGAACAAAATTAAAAACGCTTCACTTGTAATCTCGCAATGCATTTTATCAATGGCGGACTTTGGCGGAAATATTTTACAACAATAGTATTTCTTATCGATAACTTAACTTACACATTATCTACGTACGTTGCGTTAAATTAATAACAATCGGAGTAACAACAACATTTTTCGTTGCGCGTAAAAATATTGTTGGTTGTTTAATTAAATTTAAATATTACGCAATTTTCGAGGGAATAATGTCATGCGTCGTTCGAAACACATCTGTCACTTTTGAATTTGGAATCGGAATTTGAAAAAGGATTTAAATTTGGAACGTTTCAGTTTTCAATGGCGGCACGTGCCTGACTTATTCGCGGTGTCCGCGCACGGTCCGATTGGCCATCTGATTGGAACTGGGGCGCAGCTTATGAGCTTACAGGAGAAATATTCTACCTTCTAGCACGGTTTTATCGAAATGATAAGCTATAATTCGCATTTGAAAAAATATGTATTTATATATAACATAATGCATCATTAAATAATATGGCCCAGGCGCACATTCCATTTTTAAATATTTCAGTTGACATTGCTTTGCGATAACTTGAAACTTGTAATTGAAAATAAAAACTGAGTACGCATGTATTTGGTTACTTATTAGATACGTAGCCTACAACTTTAAAATGGCGCCCATTTAATGCTTGGTTATATATTTTTAAGATAATTTTTCATATCTGTACGACAATGACAAACAAAAATGTTTCTAATGATACGCTTTATGAGAGTGTTATGAATCTTCAAGAATAAAATAATTTTAAATTAAATATCTGTTTTTGCTATGCGATAATATATACTTCGAAAAACAATAAGATGGTACGAGTTATTTAGTTAATAAGATTAGCGCCACGAAGACATTTAATGGGATAAATAAATTAAATAATCACAAGCGTACAATAGAACATCCTGTATAAAGATTAATTAGTCACGAGGTGACAGCATGTGTTAAAAAATCTACTATCACTTTCGTCTTACATTTGGTTTCACAAGTCAATCGTAATTAAAAATTAAATGACACGAGCTATGCACATAATTATGTGATCTGATTGATAAGGTTTTTGAAAGGTATAAGTGAAAAGTTGTGTTATATAAAACACTTTACCGGTTTAAAACGATAAATCTATGCTTTGGCTATGACACGATGTTATAAACCGTTTAGAGTGTAGATTAAAAATCGATTATACATTTTAAAAAACTTACGACACAGCCGGGACTTGAATCGGTATCCGCAGCGTTTCGACCTGTTGCTCTAAACAATTGAGATACCGTGTCCTACACGTTATCGTCAAATTTGTTAAATTTAATAACAAAAATATTAAAGTTCTCAAACATGTAATTATTTTACTAGTGTTAACTCAATACAAAAGAAATAAAATCAAATGTTTTTAACTACGGCCTAACGTCTCGCGTATATTTCGCGTTGTACAAAAGTGTTTTATTCAAAATAACATAATATGTAAACTATAGAGTATTGTAAGGATCGCTCGACTCGTTTTTGTTTTTAGGAATAGTTAAAACTCTTATATTTGCAACGGTTGAAAATGTTGGAAAGCTCTTGAAGCAAAACGCTGCGATTGAGTCATGGCAGTGGTATATATATCTACGTTTTTAGATAATGATATAATATTGAGTAATTTAAACGTACTTACAAACTGTGGGTATTGATGAGATTTACTATTTGTAAGTATTGTCGGTAGTTTACAAGTAGTACAAATTTAAATTAAACAATTGTAACGCTTTCAAACGCGTAATAAACGCGAAGCCGGAGGTCTTCCCGTGACCACGAATGCTGCAAAGCATCCGAAATGTCGGGCCGTAGTTAAAATACATAGTGATTAAGTTAACTTATATATTTCGCTTATTAAAGTTTTTTTTTAAAATAAGTAATTGTATCTAAATTTTAAAATGTTTAACACGTATATTGTGGTCATTATATATGTATTGTCGTTTTGTTCGTTATTTTTCAAATATGAATTTAGTTTTTATAGTAACCGTTTTTTTTTATTTTCTAAGCTATTATTAAAGTTATTGTTTATAGAATATTAGTTTTTGTAAAAAAAATATCAGTTTATATAATTATGTAATAAATGTCGGTAAACTTTATAAGATAAAGGAAACAGTTCAAAATAATTAACCACATATTGTGTAAACCGTAAAACGTATCTGTTCTTCACGTGTCACACTCGCATTAACTATAGACAATACATAAAACTATAGATGATAATTTAGAAGAGAAGCACCTAAGGAGTTAAAATTTCGAAATCTAAAACATGAAAATGAGCACCTTTATATACAGAAAAACAAAGAGAGTCAAAGCTGTTTAAAAAACAAGGTTTTATCAGAGCCCAAGGTAAATAAAAACGGGAAATAATTTAAATGTATAATCTTCAGGTGTGGAGCGTGTCCCTGTTTTAGTTTTGGCGTTATTATAATAAATACTTATGTATTTGGACGGTAGTTTACTCTATTTTAGGTTTTATATCTGTCGGGCATAATTTTATATACGTTCGTAGTTAAAAAGCAAAATACCTTGTGGTTAGAACACGTACAAGCAGTCAACGATGTGACAGCTTATTTTCTATCTATTAGCAGACAACAAGTTTACGTTCTTCTGAGCTTTAAAACAATCCCTTTTTATCATATTTGTTAACAACTTGTCATAGATAATTCTACTTTCTTTTCTACTTGTCACAGAGAAACAAAGAAAGTTATATTGCTTTATCGATATATATTATAGTATAGTCTAATTTCAAGATGCTGGTTCGAAATTCAGTATACTATATTATACTACAAAATACATCTCTTACTATAGCATTTTTAGTAAGCAATAACTAAGCAGCGTTAGCAGTTTTAACAATAGGTACATTCCCATGCAGTACATGGACTGGACGCAATTTGGGTGTATATTTGACCGATTGAATTAAATTATAGGCAAGTATCAACATCAGTCTATCCAATTAACCAAAAAAATTTTTTGCTTCCCCGGGACTTGAATCCGGGACCTCCCTGGCTTTAAAAATTCAACGTAATCATTGTGATACGGAGGCGGTATTTTATAAATATTGTAGATGGGCCAAAATACTTTTAAGTGCCTAATCCGAGAACACAATTCAGATTTTTTTTTCAAAATTGAAATACTTAATTTCCTTTTTTTAAATGCTGAAATAGATATGTTATAGTTCTATTTATAACACACCTACCTCAGCAGCGATGGTTTAAATGATTTAATCATATTTATAGCATATAATACATCAAGTTGTCGAGAAATTAAACAACTGCGTAACTATTTTACAGATGAGGTTATTATTTAATAAATCGGACATTGAGACTTAATAATACGTCAGTTTTAAACTGTAGTGATTATATAAATCACCTATAAAGCAAAATCACAGAAATAATCAGTTTCATCGAATATTCATGTTTAATTAGATACACTGCGTTACCTATGTTAAATATTAAAACTTAAACTTTTCCATAAATTACAAAAATACTCTTAAAATTAATTCCAATTGACAACATAGTATTCTTCTTGTCATAAATAGCACGTACGTATAAATTTAAGACATTTTTGACAATAAGAGTCCTTTGTATAATTAAAGATACAATAAAAACAAGAGGGACACAAAAGTAACGCAGTATTAATCTTCGTAACACAGTAGTATTTTTTATATACTATACTTTGTAGTTTTAATAGAGATCTTTATAACAAAACAATTTTAACTGTTCATGACTCGACATAAAATTAAGTACCTCAAGTAACATAAAACGTTTGCCTACGTCAATATTTGTTATGGATTAATATACCTTAATGAGAAAATCAACTGTATAAACTAATGAGGCACTATATCTTCAGTCTCTCTTCAGAAATTTTTTGGCTTGTCATAATTGAAGTATAATCTTTTACCTTTCACGACAACTTTGGGGTTAGGGACAATTTCTACAATGTTTTCGTATGGTTCGTGAGATATATCGGTATCTACTGCTTTGAATCTTTTGCCAGTGTCGTCAATTGTCTTGTAAAACATAATTTTAACGTCCCCTTCTTCATCAACTTTACTTTTAACAACACCAAGGTAAGTATATTATTTTTCCTTAACATAAGTAACTTTTACTAAAACATGGACACCTTCATATATCTTCGTAGGATGAACATTTTCCTTTTCAATTTGCTGTATTTCACGTGCGTGTTCGTGTACGTTAGATGTTGACACTTAGCACAAGCTTCATAAGGGCTTCTCGTCAGAGCTAGAAGACGAATAATAAATCTTGTAATACGTACCTTAAAGGTACGGCAACAATATTAGTAATGTCATCAAGGACTATATCATTATCCGATTCATCAAATGGAACGTCTTCTTTACGTGTGTCAATGATGGGATATGTTTGTATGCAGGCTTATATGTTTTTAGATTCATGCACTAACAAAAGCCCCTCTTGCAAAAACAACTAAGGTCTCTTTAGCGAAGTTCACCCAACGTGTGAGTAAAAACCTGATGTATTGCATCGTACCCTGAAGTGGCACTAGACTTTCAGGTAGTGTTTTTTCAATGTTATGAATATCACTGTCAGTCAGTGTCACCAAGTAAAAACGGACCTTGCTCAAGTCTTTTAGGGTGTCAAAAAATTCATCTGCATTAGAAATATTTGAACTAACAGCAACTTTTTTATCTGCAGTGCGTTTGAGATAGCCGCCAACACCATCAGCAGCCCCTTTGCCGTGCCCAGCTTCAAAGAAATTCCATGTAACGCGTATGATGTTTGTTGTATGCTGCTGCGCGTATGATGTATAATGATGTTTTACTCAGTGAATATTCGGTGACTAATGAAATAAAAATGTTGCTTCTTTCGATACTGAGTAGCTGGTCCATCGGAGAAAAAATGAATTGTAGTTATGTTAGGATTGTTATGTTGTATGTCACTAATTATTGGGTGTAAGCGTGCCCAGATAGAGGCTGGATTATTAGAATTATTTGCAGATATGGTACGAAATTCTCATAATCCAGCTTCAGCATTTTTTACCGGGCCTTGTTTCAATTTTTATCTATAGCGACGTTGTTTTTCTGCGTTTGTCAGCGCCATTTAGGACAGAAACTTTTTTCTGAGAAAAAAAGATACAATTTTCCTATAGCTATATCGGATTTAATAACGTATACTGTTTATAAGTAACAAAAATACAACTACGTTACCTATCTAACTACTGCGTTACTTTTTTTTGTAACGCAGTGTAGCAGCAACGCAGTTGTAAATATTTGACTAAATTGTAAATAATTTCCAAATCAAATAATAAAATCCAGATATTTTTACACTCACGGTTGCAATACATACCTAAATGCGTAATAAAACAATAATAACGTGAAATATCGTCAGGACGTAACATTAACAGCGGTAACTCAGCAGACAGACAATAGATACACGCACCTCCTTCACGGAGCGGGACGCGACCAGCACGGCGAGAGTACTGCCCCCGCGCTGTTACTGTCGTTTGTTAAACGAGTTACTACAAATCGAACCAAATAATGTGCAAGTAACCTTAATCCAATCATTTTAAAGTCTTTTTTCATACAGTAACGCAAGGTAGCTACGATATTGTTACTCGTTGGGGACACAGATACATTATTTTTTTATTTTATTAAATGTTCAATTTAAAACGTTTCTAATGCCATTCTAATAACGTCCAAACCTTGCATTTTTATTATACCATCTATAATTAACCGCCACCTAGGAAATATTTTGAGAAATTGTTCCGTATAGTTTGGCACACATGCTCAGGGACATAGATATTTAGTATGAAAAACGGCTGCGTTACTAAAAATGGCAACTTTGTTACTGTAAATTTTCAATTAATAACAATTATTTCAGTTCAAATCATGTGTTTTGTATTAGATAATAATGTTAAATTTTAAAATGATTATACTATTGTCACAATTTTGTATCGGATTCGCATTAAATGTAATGTTAATTCCAGGGACAGGTTTTTAGGCATCAAAAAGTATTTTGGCCCAGATGCTAAGTTACATTTGTTTTAACTTGACATCAACAGGCGCATAAAAAATCCTTTTATATTCTGTGGAAATATGTATTAGGTATACAGATAACGGAAATTTTGCGTCCCACATAAGCCCGACCTATTTGCCAGTCAGAATCGACCGAATGTATAATTAATCGATTCATTTCATATTGATAAAACCACCGAATGATCGATTCGACCGTCACATTTTATACGTATTCGATACCGCATAAATATCTGCGGTTTTATTATATTTAAATATTTTTATTTTCGGTAACGTTTACGCAACTGTTAATAAAAATTCAGCAAGGTCAAAAAAATATGATAGAGTAGGTAGTGTTTTGTTTCGCCCATCTAGTTTTCCCGTAAACTTTCACTTCTTTCATCTTGAGTTGCCGAGAAGAGATCGCACTACTTATATTTTTAATAGTGTCGTTTGTATCTTTTTCCTTTTTTTTTGCGCAATAAAGTGTAATTAATAAATAAATAAAGTCAAAGTAGTTTTACGACTTTTTATATCAGTATTTTATGACTATTCTATCCCAAACATTAATATTTAAATTATTATATTACTTTAGTCTGTACTATTTTGCCGGACCAAAAACCATCACCTATACATATTTTCATCCACACCAATCTAAATTTCTCCTTCGAAATATGTTCAATAAGCAATTCATACGGGCCGGTGGCTCATGCCCCGAACGGAATTTTGATATTCCCGCCACCCATTTCACATCCAGATTTCCAGACGAAGTCCAACATGTTTCAGAAAAATAAATTTTGATTAAAACATGATGGATTAGAAACATGGACCCGGTGGGGATCGAACCCACGAATTGTTAGCCATACGTTGCTGCCATTACTCTAGCTTAGACTTATACTCGTAATTTTAAACCCAACCTTGACTTAGACCTAGATATTTTTAGACAGCGTCTAACATTTTCGAAAATTCAAAGTTGGAAATAGAATCCACTAATTATTCGCAATTCTACTAAACACTGTCTGTAGTTTACGCGAGTAATGTGTACTACTAAATAAAACACTTTAACGCGGTTTAAAATATTAGTTAAACTTATTTGAAAATGATTTTTAACTTCGGCCCGTCGTTTCGGATGCTTTGCAGCAGCCGTGGTCACGGGGAGACTGTCTCCCCGTTTAACTAATATATCGCGTTCTAAACCGTTAAAGTGTTTTATTTAAAAGCAAATCTACTTGTAAACCTTCCAATTTTAAATGTCCCTTTTCAAGGTATTTTTTTCAATTGACTCATTGTCAAAATATAAAAATTGTTCCAAATCCAAGTATTTTATGTCAATTCTTTAAAGGTACGAAATCGCGCATCAACTCTAAAAATACCTTTTAAAAATATAACACGTCCAACTTAATTACTTTAAAAATAATACTAGCGGTTTTATCGCTCTTACGCAGGTACTACCCACACAGATTTTTTACCTCGAGTTTTTAGCTTGGCAGGGCGATACACATTTTCGTCAATTACCTGAACATAATGTAACCTTCAATTGTATTTCATCAGGAAAGGCCGGTCATCGAACTTATACTTCAATGTTAAGTACTAGACGAAATCAACTCGTGACGCCAAAGGTCCTTTACTGGACTTTGTATTCACAACACACTTTTTTGCCCCTGTACTGCGTATCTATTAGAGGGCGTATAGTAAACAAGTCAAGAACATGCGTAGTAACATTCGCTAATTGCCAACACCTTTAAAAACTTCGGCATAGACTAAATAATCTACCTACTTCTTTTTTTTCTCTTTAAATTTTACAGAATATTATATCTTACATTTCGTGTTTACATAGTCTCTCTTGAATGCATAATAAAAGGTATAAATTTTAATGTACATCTTATAAGCAAAGTGCAAGTTATCTCATTGAATTAACAGAAAAATACATACTGTATATAATTATCTCCTTATAAATGACTTAAGTATTAAGTAGCCGTATACAGTTTATGCTTAAAAAGCAAAGAAAAATAACAACCCTTTTTTAAAACGATTTTTTTAACCAACCAAAAATTTTCTTCTACACAGATAAGATCTTGTTCTATACAGATAATACAATTTTATAAGCAAACCTTTTTTGAGAAGAAACTTTTTTAAAGGAACAAGTCAAGAGTTTACGTCTTTGACATGTCAAAGATTTTGAACAATAACTTAAATTACAAACGACATATCCCATTTTGATCAATCGCAAACGATTTGGCGCCAAAATTCCGCATAAAAAACGCGACCGACCGTGACTTTAAAACTAAGGCGCGGGCAAAAAACTACCGAGTTATTGAACGAACAAAGACATCGAGATAATTCACTACTGGTACTTTGTTATAAACTTACAAAAAGTTAAAGTTACGTGTACCTTTTTCATGGATTAAGTTGGATTTTGAACTTAAGACTAGCATACACTGAACTCACGAAATAATCGTTTATATCAGTTCGCAAAGGACACTGATTTAATGTATAGCTAATAATCAACGGGTAACGGGTTCGATTCCCACCGACACCAACACGTTTCTATGCAATTTATGTTTTTATTTAGACACGCTAGTCTCCGTCGGGAAATCTGGATATTAATTGGGTCGTAGGAATATCGAAATTCAGTGCGGGTCACGAACAAACAAAGATGAAAAACTCGGTAAAGTTTTATTGCGAGCGACTGTAACAATGTTAGCCGACGTTTTGGCTGGCTCAGACAACCTCAGAATTACGTTGTAATCCTAGACATGGACGAAAGGAGACCTTAAGCGAGTCTTGATCTGAGAGCCAAGACCCACTTTGGATCCCCACGCCAGCGAAGTAATAATCAAAGAAAACCAAATTAAGAAAATTCTTCTCCATTTTTTAGCAGATCCAGAAAGGCACAAACGGAGCCTCCACTCGATCCGTTTTCATCTCTTTTGTAATATAAGTTGCTATTTCAACTTCATTCAAAGATGTCATGTATTGGAAATGTAGTATTAAGGTAATACAAATAAACTAGAAGAGGTACGTATTTTTTTGTACTGCGAGCGCCTCTACCGGTCATTTGAGGAACGAAAAAGGTTTACAGATACGTGCATTTAATAGCGAGATTAGGTGCGTAATATGAGGCTGCTAGAGACAGAGTGGCCTAATAACAAGAAACATAATGTTCAATTAAGGAAAATAAAAACTCGCAATTAACTTAGTCGAGAACGAATTTGTACTATCATTTGTGTAAATAATGCGAACAATTATCTGTGTATGTTAAAAATTTTTGCTCACTGTGCTCTTATAGATTGTAGACAAGTCATAAAATTGCAGTTAGGCTACTCTGCCTCTAATGGCCTCATATAAAATCGGACAAAATATCTGTTTCAGTTACAGGTAATTGTTTATACAATTGGTCAATAGCTATCAATCCTTGGCGTCACGTACTGCTTGTCGCCCTTCAATTGTCCACAAGCAATTTGTCGATTGCGCTCTTTACGCATTGCCTAGAAAACAGGATTATATTAACATTTATTGTATTGTGTCTTTGTTTAAAGATGTAGTTATACCGTTTCCTCTGTGGGGCATGGGGCGAACACATCTCTGTGTCCGTTTCACTGATCGGTCTTGCCCGATCCAAACTATTGTTATCCCGGGATTTGAGCCTAGGACCTCTCTTAACGCTAGGCAACACGCCGCCTCTGTAGCCAAATACTTATAACCATTTTGGTACAAGGGGAACAACAATTGCCTTAAGTTTCTCCACTGTAACTGTATCATCCATAACTTGCTACACTTATATTACAAAAAAACTGAAGCCATTATGAATGGCTGCTGTAGATAATCCGAAACTTCCATTTTTATTTCGCATTTTAAACAGTTACAAGTGTTTTAAACTATAACTAATTTAAAAATAAACTTGTATCTGATAAAAAAAGACCAACCGCAAATCTTGCATATTGCTTTTTAAGAGTGTGACACTCGTACATTTCATCGATCAGGTCTTTGCATTTCCTAACACCACGACCGTAACCGTATGCTTCCATACAATCCATCATGTTAGCCTCTTGCTTGGCACAGCGACCAAACATCTGGTAACTGTACATTGGTCCAGTGACATCTGTGAAAATGGATCGCAAGAAGGGTGATATATCAGACATTTTTTATTAAATTCAAAATCAAACGGAAAATAAGATAGGGCTACAGTGAATGATAATATGTAACTCAAACTCTTTTGACTTTTATGTCTTGTCTTTTAATTGATAAATGTTTAAAACATAAATAAGACTAAAAAGGTCGCCACTGTAATTTTTAAAAGTAGACAGATATACAATATTGTGTCTCATAAATTTAAAAACAGGATAACATCTTTAAGGGCTTTTATAAATAATATTATATAAATATTGTACTATTATTTGTGTAAAAATTATGTTAACAATTTTCGGTCACTGTGCTCCTGTAGATTAACACCATTAGACTATGAAAATATAAATTACTCAAGTCATAAAATTGCAGTTAGGCTACTCTGCTTCTAGCGACCTCGATTTCAAATGTTTCTTCAGATATGTAAATGTTATTAAATTTATGGGAAGCTTATTTTCAAATATCATAATTTGCATATTGCATTAAGATAACAGCGGCTATCATCAATGCACTGGGTGATGGTAGAAGACAAATTTTTGTTTCCATTTCACTAAAACTATTGTCTTGTCTAACCTGCTTAACCGTCAAGCCAAAGAGTTAAATGACCTTCATAATAAAATAAGGCTTTTTTTGGTGTCATTTTGAAATTTACAAGCATTTGTGAATGCTGCTAATCCAATAAAAGAAAATGTCTTCTTATGGGAAAAATCTATATTATACAATGATTGCTATATATATATAACATTAAATTACTTTTGCATATATTTTAGTAACTATCAATTCTAGGGGTGACATATTTCTTGTCGCCGGTCAATTTTCCTTCAGCGATTTGTCTTTCGCGCTCCTTACGCATAGCCTGAAAAATAATTATCACTTTAATATGTAATTAGTTAAAAATCTCCTTCAATGTCACCTTTCTTGAGTAGATTTTAAATATTTCAATTTTATTAGCATATTTTGTACGGATCCATAATAAATTGCATTTCTTGAAAAGCGATATAAAGTCCTATTTGAATCATGAAATATCAAAAGGCTAAGTACATTAATTAATTTATGTATATATATGAAGCAATCAATAAAGCACAAAGTAGAGTTCTTGTTTTAACAAAGCAGAGTCTTTACAACACAATAACTTTGATATAATTTTACAAACCGCAAAGCGTTTGTACTGCAGTGTTTTGGTTTGGCATTCGTGAAAATCATGGAAGAGATGTTCGCATTTAACTCGGCCGCGGTCCAAGCCATAGGCTTCAAGACAGTCCATGTAGCGGATCTCCTGCTTCTGGCAAGCGCCAAGTAACTGGTGGGATACCATACCCCCGGTAAAGTCCGTAAAGGGCGAACGAAGGAATGGTGATATCGACATTTTTGGCCTATAACAGAAATCGTAAAAAGGGTTAGAATTACGTAAACAACTCTTAAAAGAATATTCTCATGAGAAAAGATACATATAAGTAAATAAACAAATACCTACCTTTATAATATTATTTCATACGCTTTGGAAACTTGGCTAGATTCTTAATTTAAGTTGCTATTTTAATTATCGAAACAATAGAAAACAGCTGAATATCTGAAATATAAATGTCACTGTCATTTAGAACATTTGACAATGTACTTCTAAACAGTATTGTCAAAAACAGTACAACATTGCTGCATTGACATCTCAAGTTATCCCAGCTGGAAAAGAAAATATTGTCAATAATCTTTTAAATATTTCTTATTTATTTAATCTAATAAGAACATTTTTATCTCATTAAACAAAATGGAGCAGTGGTTTCAAGAAAGTTTATCTGCAATCCTAGACTTCGAAGTTCCTGACGAATTAATAAAGTTGGTTTAATATTTATGTTATATATTGCAGTATTACTAAAATAATAATCGCTCCTGTTTTATTACAGACACGTTTTGTCAATTGAAAATGAAGCAAGTATGAACGATTACATGAAAACTTTAATAGACTTCGATAATCCACGACATGTATCCTTCTTTAATGAACTATGCAAAAGAAAGTTTCCTACTAAGGGTAATTATTTACATAACTAAAAAAGATATTTTTGAACCTAAGTTTTTTGATATATTAACATCTGTTGGTTAAATAATCTGTGCTGAATTTCAGGTTCATCTCTGCCCAGACAACCCAAAAAAAAAATTTCTAAAAACAAACAAAAGCCTGATTTAATTGAGGAGAAAGTAACCCCAGTACCAAATGTGGAAGATTCAAAAAGTAAAAAGAAAACAAAGTATGTCAATCTATATTCGCAGGAAGGGAAGAATGCCCAGGTTATTTTAATAAAAGGTGATACTCTAATAAATCAAGATTTAGGCTTTAAGTAATTTCTAAGGCCTTATAAATTTGTCCATATTAGTATTTTACTGTAAGTTCAAATGTCACATATTGTTTTTACAATATTCAGTAAAGACCTTGTGGCCGATAATTACTTATTTCACATCGTAGGAAGGCACTTTTGTGAATGTCAGGCATCAAAGCATGAACTTGTAAATAACTGTGTGCATTGCGGCCGTATAGTCTGTAAGCAGGAAGGTTCAGGTCCATGCCTGTTTTGTGGACATCTGGTAAGTTATGGCTTTTACATTTTCGTTAATGACTTGAATTGCATGTTGAAAAATATATGAGGGTACCATTCCATCATTGTTTTTGGGATTACTAAGAAAATACAAGATCATTATATCTGTGTATTAATCTATCTGTTATAAATGACATGATATTTGTTTTTTTTTTCTATTTGCTACACATAATGTACAGGGTAACCAAAAAACATTTTGGTGCCAAATATATGGATTGATGTACCTAACATTTGTTTTCAGGTATGTACACCCCAAGAGCAAAGAGAAATAAATGCTAAAACCAAAGCCAGTACTAAGCTAATGGAATCACTTATGGAAAGGAGTCGTCCAAAGGGGTGGGAAGCGGCTGTTTCCCATAGAAATAGGCTTCTAGAGTATGATAGGACGAGGTAACCTATTTATTAATTTTGGATAATCTATTATTTCTAACTTTTAAACATAGTATTTCAATATATTGTAATGACATGATACCTCCTTGTTCAGTTTGATACTTTTAAGGCTTTTTTCTAGATTTTTATTGGAATGCTATGAATGCGATGCATAAATAATGTGAAAATATAAAAACAATTCTGAAATGTGTTTTCAGTGAACGTCGAACACGCGTGACAGACGATGACAGTGATTATTTCAACGCAAACAGCGTATGGCTAAGTGCATCGGAAAAAGAGAAATTGCAGAAGTACCAGCAGTCCTTGCATGATAAAAAACATGCTTCTAGGCTAAATAAGAAAATGACTTTTGATTTTGCTGGTGAGTATTCGTTAATAATAATAAAAAAGTTTATTAAAACAGTCCTTAGAATATTTGAATCTGAAAAACTTAGAGCAAAGGAAATGTTATAAAGAAGGAGACATTCAAAATACAATAATAATATAACATTACATCCATAGTCGTGTGCTGAACCTTAGCGTTCTACTGTAGTACCGATCTATAAACCTAGATGGCGCTGCCGTCAATTCATATTTTTTTTAGTTTGATTAATCAAAGTTAGATGTCGCTTTACATTTCTACATCCCGCTATAGAAGTTAATCGCCCATCCTATGTAGGTTTCCGATGGGTAAGTGAACGACAAGACCTTACTTCATAGGATCATTTCTATAGTAAGCTCTTCACGAAAAACCCTACTATATGTGGGATACTACCAGCCATGATGAGGAGACGTGGCGCGGTACCCTGAGCGTGAGGTGGGCAATGACGTTAGTTGTTAGCTCTCGATGATCGTTCACTCTTCTGCTTGCAGAGGAGCGTGGGGTACTGTCGCTGTCTGAGTGGCTTTTTTAAAACTCTTATTATATACATGAAACATATTTAAAATAAAGTATTTTATAAAATGTCATTTAAGATGACGTATATAAAATTATTTAGTACAAGGGTGTAATAATACATAGCAATGTTTTTGTCGACTGTGGTATTATAATGGATGTATTCAACAATGAAAAAAAAACAACATTCACTATTTGTAATACTGGCTACTACGCCCCGACGTTTCGGATGCTTTGCAGCAGTGTCTCCGCGTGACCAGCTGTTGCAAAGCATCCGAAACATCGGACCGTAATTAAAATAATTTTAACTAATATATATCGCGATTTAAACCGTTAGTGTTTTATTTAAATGTTTAGTACTTGTGCAAAAAATAAAAGGAAACGAGTACAATATAAATCTGCGTGACAAATATACATGACTTATCCTTTTATCATATATTTAAACAATCTGTGTGTTCGTTTAAGGTCGTCAGGTAGTAGAAGATAATACAATCGACTATGAAGTGGACGAGGAACAAGTTCGCAGTATAACCAGCAATCCAGCTGCCGATAGGCAGTTTTTGCGAAGCGATTTGTTGGCCGACTTGTCGACGGATCGAGACGTTGCGCCGGGAGTCAACGCCGACCTATTACAGGTGTTATATTTAATACGAAATTATCGTACGCATACGTTTTTTTCTTTTTTTTAATTATGCCAATAAAGAAAAAGCCAACGTCCACAGATAAAAAACCATCATATTAGTTCACGTTTCATCGTTAGTACACATTGAAATAAAACACTTTAACGTTTAAAACGCGATATATTAGATAAATTTATTAGAAAATGTTTTTGAACTACGGCCCGACGTTTCGGATCGCGTTTTAAACCGTTAAAGTGTTTTATTTAAATTTGAAGAAGCTTCCTTTGATAGGACAAAGCTTTCTCCTCACGAAAGTATATTAGAGATAAATATACAATATTATGTTTCGTATAATCTACTGGTTCATCAATATATCTAAATAAAAAATATTTTTAATGCGCAGTTCGACGAGTCTATCGGTGGCAACTACGCCAACGCGACCAAGGGTTGGTCTCGAGAATCCCGCGTCCAAGACGCCCAACTTCAGGAGATGTCGGACACAGGCCGGTGTCTCTCGATGCATCAGCCGTGGGCTTCGCTGCTGGTCGAGGGCATTAAGCTGTTAGTAGACACTATCTTTTTTCCTACTCAGCTCTTAATGGTTCTTCAGTTTTAATTACGGGAAAATTGTATGATGTTAAGAGATCGACAACATTTTCTAACTTTATTTAATTAATCTTCAAAGTTAAAAATCTATTATTAATTGAAAGAATTTTCGAGGCCTTGATCCGGTATCCACTGCGTTCCGTGTTGTTGCTCATGTCACTGCTTCGTATTTTACTTTAATTTCTAATCGAATAATAATTTAGAATGTGCTTTAATATTTTAAAGATTTACAATATAATATCGACATTAACAATATTTTTTTCTTTTAAACATAGTAAAATAAAGTATGTTTTATTATTTTTCGATAAATAATTACCGTATATTCTTTTGGTCTAAATTCTTTCTCTATTGTTGCGGTCCGATTAAGCACAGGAATCAACCATGTCCATTATACGGTGTGTATTTTGCATTTTATTGATATACAACATAAATTACATGTGTAATTTATTTTAAGTACTCTTCGTTTTTATGTTTCACTTCGTTAGTGCAACAGTCCTAGGTTCGAATCTAGGGGAGACATAAAATATTATTTTCTGGATTGATAATTTATAAATGGAATTTGATAACTTTAATATTCTTCACTTCAACAAGAGCACAGTACGCTGTAGATGCCGGTTTCTGTCTTGCCCGTGTCGTTTTTTTTTTCAATTTTTGAATTTAATTTATGAAATGGAGTTTCTCTGCGTGCAAGATATAAAATTAGTTATGTCCTAAACGATAGTATGTTATTGATACAGTGCGGAAGGTCGTACTTGGTACACCAACCACCGCGGTCGGCTGTGGATAGCTTCAACAGTCAAAGCGCCCGACCAGAGCCTGATTAGAGAGATCGAGAACAGATACAGGGTGCTCTATCCAGGTACGTTTTTATAAAATAAGCATTTCGACCTATGATGAAAGTCATTACACATATTTTAGATTAAATTTTACGACACAGGCGGGACTATCCGACACGGTAACTCAATTGGTTGGAGTTGTACGCAACTGACGTTGCCGGTTCAAGTCCTGCCCCTGTCGTTAATTTTTTCAATCTAGAATCGATTCTTAATTTTTTATAATGCCATCCAGTTTTCAAACGCCAGAGAACTTTTAAACAACTTTTCTCCATATTAATTGTTATTTGATATTTTCAGATAAACAATTAAAGTTCCCTTCTTTCTATCCGACCGGTTGTCTTCTCGGCTGCGTCAATGTGGACGACTGCTTAACCCAAGAAGAATATGATAAACTGTATGTATTTTTATAACCTAAATAAAGTATACGAAAAATATGAATTAAAAACTGGATGCTTTAATATATAATTGTTTCGGAAATATTTATTGAAGAACTGAAGGCATATGGTGGGGTGGGGGGTATCCGCAACCACCACAACAATCAAATATTAATGGGGTGATATTATCTTGACAATGTTTTACTTTCATTGAAAAATACTTTTCAGACCATGGGCTTAATGAGTATGTAATTGATCATTTAAATAGATCACTTTTAACGGTTGCAAATACGTAATTTATTAGTCATTTACAATTTATTTTACTACAAACTTTTCTGGATGGATGTTTCAGATTCTTCGCAGAAGCCGTGATCACGGCTCTAGTAATCTATTTCGTATTTTAAACTATTAATAGCGTTTTGTTTTAACGAGTATCAAATTTCCATAATGCGCTATGAGGCGCGTATGTGAATGTGCTAAAAGATAATTGCTTTCGAGATATGACAAATGTGCGACCACCTTTTTAGTTATGTAACTGATTTCTATTGATTTTTTGCTATTATCTATGACTTGTTCAGGTATCCGGATGGCGAAGGCGAATGTCCCTATATGTGGATGTGCTCTAATCCCATCAGCTTGCGCCTGCGTTTCCCCGTCCAAGGCCAGCATAAAATATGTGAGTAATTGTATTATGTTTCTTTGTAAAACTTTCTATTAGAAATATGTTAAAAAATAAAAATCTTAGATCGAGTATTTGAGTATGAATATTTCAACGACACGGGGAAGTTTTCAGCCGGCATCCACAGGCAAAATTTTCGCCCCGTGGAATTTTTTTAAAGATCAATGCTAAGTGTGCGTCCGAAATGCCTACTATTAAAAATAACTAAAAAGTATTAATTGTGTATCAATTCAATTGTTTCAGATAATTTAGATAAGTCCATACATCAGGCCGCACTCAAATGTCTCCAGAAAATGTCCAAAATAGAAGCGGAACAAGCGCATGCGGCTTAATTAGCTTACTGTATGCCAATAAAGCACTTATTTAATAAGAACGTTTTATTTACAATAACTTAATCCTATATAAATATTCGAAACACACAAACAGTATACACTCGCACAGTATGTTAGATTAACACTTCTCACACATAATACTTCGTATCACTAAGATCTTAATTAAATGAGCACCAGAGATGAAAGGAATATGCAGGGTGGGCTAACCACTACAGCGTCCTTTGGAGAACTTGTGGCAAAATGCAAATTTAGATTATAAATCGATGTTGTTTAGAACTAACTATTATTGCTTGCAAAGCGATAAATCAAGTCTTGCAATAAATATCTTATACTAGGGAATAGAAATGACGCTTTGGCAGACAGATTTGGTTTAACTAAGGCTAGTTAGGAACTAAGATTCCTTCTTTTGGTTGAGCTGGGGGAAGAACGCTTCTATGGGTAGGATCGGGTCGTCGGTAGCTATCGTGAAGTAGTTCGGTATTCGTCTGCTGTTCGATGAGATCGTTTTGAACATGCCCGGTGTGTTGTAGTCCTTACTCGCGGCCAGGGTCAAGTCCGACACCCGTTTGGAGTGTTCGAAAAGCCGCTCTATGTGGTCTTGATGCTTCTTATCCGCTATCTTCATTATAGCACTCTCAGACCTCGTCCTCTCCGATGTTATGTCGTTTTTCTCAGAGTTCAATGTCGTTTCATTGATAGAGACGTCTTGAACGGACTCACCGGTTTCGGAGTCTTTGAGTTTCTTTCTCAGAGGCCGCTTTCCGGCGATCGTGCTAGAAGTTTCGATCGTCTCTTCCGTCGGCTTCGGACGCCTCTGCCCGTTCCTTATTCGTGCTGATATTTTTTGTGTCGTGCTTTCTGTAGTGTCTGCGGTCTGTCTCTGTCTGTTGTTGAGTCGTGAATGGATCTCTTGCTCGTTGTTCTCGGTTCTGTTCAGTTTATGCCTTGGTTCCTTGGGCGTGAACTTCTTTCTTTCCGTTGTTGTTTCAACTTCGGTGTTCAATTCGGAGTAAAGGTTCTTTCGTTGCGGAAATCTGGCTTTAGGCGTACTTTCTGTTGGCTTTTCAGTGGTGCTTGTAGTTGAACTGAGCCTATTTCTATAGTCCTTAATGCTGAACTTTGGTCGATCTTGTTTAAGCTTCAACTTTGGTCTTTGTATTTTGCCAATATTTTTCGTAGTTTCCGGTCGCTGTGTAGTGGTCGTTTCTACTATGTTTTCGTGAACAGTGGTTGTTGATATTTCCACCGGTCGTACATCTCTGTGGAACGAGAACTCTTTGAGTATGTCGGGTGAGGTTTTATACGTATCTGTCAAGCTTACAGAGATATCGCTAGTCGGGGTATCTTTCTCGTCTTGTTTATGAGTGTAATCGGGCACTTCAGTGCTTTTGTGCTCAACTTTATTAGCGTGGGTTCTCGTCGCTATTTTCATTATGGGTGATTCTTTGTTTTGTTCATTTTCTCTGGAAGCGTGCGTTGTAGTCTCTGTCTTTCCTATTGTCGTAAGTAATCTTTGATGGGTTAGCTTTTTCTTCATCGCAGTCGGCGTTGTTGGCGAAATAGTTGGTAACGCACTGGTAGTCGAATCTGTGGTAGCGCTTACTGTAGTAACAGGACTTTCTGTTCTCGATTTTAGCGGTCTTATTCTGGGTCTAATTGTATGAATTTCATCTGTGGTTGGTGGGTTATCGGTCGTCGTAGTTGTTCTAGCTGTTGTAGATTCTTCTTTGACGCGACTGCCTATTGGTCTACGTCTGCGTATCTTGTTGCGTTTCCGAACCTTATTGTCCCCGCCTTCTGGTACGCTGGGCCGTTTGAAATGTAAATTCGGTGGTAAGGTTGGAAGAGCTTCAGCTGTTTCTTCATTTGCTGTAGCCTGTGTAGTGACGTCTTGTGAAATTTTTGATGGTTTCCTTGTACGTCGTGACGATGGTGTTGATACTTTGTAGTAATAATCCTTAAGTTTCTGTTGTCCTATTGGTTCGAAGTCATCACCCAATGGCCGCCTACTTTGACTTTCATACGAATTATCGTAATTATAGGCGTTTTTCTCTGATTCCGTAATTATTGCGAACTCTTCTTGTGGTTCAGGAATAACAGTGGTGGGGTTTACAAACAAGCCACCAGAGTGTTCAGGTTTTGAAATAGTCTCTTCAGTTACTTTTTGATTTGTTTCGTAAGTGTCTTGTAACCAGCCGCCTGTCGAAGGACGAGTGACATCATCAGCTTCTTTGTCGGTTACTTCATATGATGGATGGTATTGTGCGGAGTTTAAATCAAATAAGTTAGATCCACCAGGTGCATTTGTGAACTGCTGGGAAACTTGTTGATTGAGACCAACACTGTCATAATACTGTTGATTGTCGTAATTATTATTTCCGGTTTGTTGGTTATAATTTAATGGTTGCGTATTCGGTATATTGAAGTTGTAATTAAAGTATTGATTGGGGGACCCAGTGACGTGTGTTGCTGGAGTAACTTGGGGATTATAGGTTGTGACTTTGTTGAAGTCTGTCTGTTGGTGTTTTGTAAATGGATCTTGAGGGCTCGGTTTAAATCCAGTATTCTTCCCAGCATTGGGATCTATTTTAGTTGGTGAAAGTGGCTTTGTCCGCTGCGTAGGGAGGTTGGCTAAGTCGTTAAATGTAGAACTGAAAAATAATTGGTTTTGGGCAGCTTGGAGTTTTGGGGTTGTCGTCGAATATATGAAAGGTGTCGTCTTGATGGTATGTGGGAAATTGTTGTAGTTGAAGAGCGTTTGCTTTGTCGGTTGGGTTTGTAGAGCATGGAAGGTGGTCTTAGTTGTTGGATATGCTGGATCTCTCCCTTTGACTGACTGAACACCGAAGGATCCAAAAGTTCCTGAAAATAGAATATTATTTTACAAATCTTACCATCTTCTGTTTGGATAAGCTATAAAAAAATAGTATAAAAGTCCCTTTCCACAAAGCATAAAGCTCATCGTTAAAATCGTTAAAAACAAACCTAAAACACTAGCAGGCAACTGTTGCAACCCCGCTAAGTCTTGAAGAGTATATTGGAAGTACGGGTTAGAAGGTATGTTCAATGAGCCAAGAGCTTGCTGCTGAGCTGTCTTCACTTGCTGGCTTGACTGTGAAGCTGCATCGTTAGAGCCTTCAGTGCCGCCGGATTGTGGCCGTTTAGCATCAGGTCTCGCGTATGCTTGCACCGAGTTCCCAAGGATGTCCAGCGGTGTTGGCGTGGAATATTGGCCGAAGTGAATCGGCTGAAGGCTTGTCAATGTTTGCAGGATATTATTATGATATTGTTGGGGCTGCTTCTGTTTAGTGGGAAGTTTCTGTTGGTACAAGGGGCGTAGGAAGGGGTTATGGGGATTTCTGAAGTCAACGGGATAGTTTTGGATGAACTTGTACTGCCCCAGACCGTTATTCGGCAAAGCGAAAGGATTGAGGTAGGAATTGATGGGTTGGTTCTGAGCTGGGTTGGATGAAACGGGAATGGTTCGCAGCGTTGTCGGACGATACGATTGGGCGATTGAAGTCAGTTTGGTGACGTCTCTTGTAGCGAGAGGACGTCCAGTCGACTGGTAGTAGTCTTGTATTGGTAGTTTGTAAGGTGCGTGGAGAGGTGCAGTGCCAAATGAACTGTACAGAAGTCCACTTGAGCCAACGACTGGTCTCCATCCGCTTTTAGATACTGGCAAATGCTGGAAAGTGAACATAGGGTTACGATCCACCGTCCACAGAAGAAAAATTACTGAAGTTTAATCGCGTTTCGGTTTCAGTCTGTAGATTTTCTGATATCCAAAGCCAAAATAGATCGACAGCGCATCGTAGGTATTATATGTTATTTGGCTTTGGTATTTTACCTTCCATCAAGTAAAACCCATGCTCTGCTCTATCGTAAAAAAAAAATTGTCAAAACGCTTCATTGTCGTGAAACGACTTACTTTTGTGTCAAATAGCTTTAGAGATATACGCACGCAAAGGTGGTAGGTAAGAGTAAATAAAAGCAAAAAATGGAGACAAATATTTCTAAATACTATTACAATGAAAAATGGTAACATACTGAATTTGCGCCCATTGACCGGCGATGGTGTTTTGTGCTGACTGCTGACAAAAATGAAATTTGCAGAAGCATCAGCGTCACCAACAGCCGTATATCTGAAAAACAAGAAACATTTCGGTTATTCACATTTGCAAATATAAGAAACAATCGATATATGAGTTGGTTAACCCTAACCCGCCATGGAACAGATGGCGCTGCAAAGCGTCCGAAACGTCGGGCAGAAGTTAAAATAATTTGTAAATAACTTTAACTTATATATTTTGCGTTATCAACTATTGAAGTGTTTCATTTAAATGTGTGCTACTAGCGTAAACTATAGACAGTATATAACATTGGACGGCTATCGATCTCGTGACACATATACAATATGTCGCTATGATAATAGTTCTTATTCGATTTATTTAATGGTTAATTAATTTTCATTTATTTTATATTTTCTAAGTTTGGTTTGTAAGAGATATATCTAAGAAAAGAAGTTATTTTTTATAAGAGAGGAAGACAGACAAGCTTCACTTATATTAACAACTTTAAAATGCAAATTTCTTAAAATGCATCAACTTATTTTTCTTTAGACATTATTAATAACTTTAGTAATGCCATAAAATAGATTAGTTTACAATGCAACGAGTAAACGTAACGAATCATTTCAAACCGAATTTTATTATATTTGTTAATTATTAAGTCGAGAAAGTGCAGGAAGTCAATGCATTTCTAATTTTATAGACACCGGTATCTTTTTTAAGCTAAATTACTTTCAGCTCACTACTAATATATAAAGCTGAAGTGACAAACTAATTGTTTGTTGGTAATTACCCGTTCCTGAGATTATGTTGGTTAAAGCATTTACAGAGGAAGGCTATAGGATATAATACATCGCACCGTGACTAATACAAGAAGATACAGCGAGAAATGTGAAAGAAATTGGGAAAATTATTCATTATTATGGGTTTCCAAGGCGTACGCTGCAAAAACGGTTCCAAAGATACCAAAACAATATATATCAAAGAATGATTCCTCTTTGATCTAAAAAAAACCGCGACGCTATATGTCTATCTTTTAAGATTAGCTTGCAAGAACGACGGAAATGGAAGAGATCGACGTCGTGGATAGCAGCTTAAATTTATTAAGCTGAAGAGGAGATTTCCCATCACAAATTTGATGCCCAAATTAACTCTTCTGCGCAGACGAAGTCGCTGACACAACTACTTTGAAGTATAAAATAACTTCTGTAAACATACGTGCATATTTCCCATTAACGTAAAATATTTTCCGTATTTCAAAAGAGCTTGCGAGACAGCCATCGATTACAATCACACGGAAGACATAATGTATCGAAAGACACTAAAATACATTTTGTAGAGCGGAACCGAAACGCGGCCGTGACCGTCGTTCCCACGGATTTGAGACACACTTTTCGTTTTTTGTGAAACTTGTTTAATGAATGACTAACAAAACGTTGTATTTGTTGATCTAGTTACCGTCTGTTGTTTAAGCGACTAAAAATGGAAAAAACAGTCCTAGCTAAAAATATGTTATACCTTGCGTATTAAAAGTTTTTATTCGTATTTTTATTTATTAATAATAATAATGGTTAAATAGAGTAAATTTAATATATGTTCTTATAATTAAATTTTGGAGGTTTTACGTATTTAATAATCTAAACTAATATAAGCTGAAGAATTCGTATATTTGTTTGTTTATTTGAACGCGCTAATTTCAGGTTCGATTTGAAATTATTTTTGTGTTGGATAGGCCTTTTATCGAGAAAAGCTTTAGGCTATATAACAAAGGGAAATGAATAAAAACGAGACAAAATATTAAGATCTTCTTTAGAGCAGCAGCTAGCAGCACAAAACGCTGTGAATGAGGGAAGTGTCGCCCGTGTCGTATTTTTTTTATCTAAATAGATTTTTTGACATACATGTGTGTTGAATATTCCAAACACCAAGCTAACATTTCGCCCAATCTGATACTAAGCTATTCTTCCCAGGATTCGATGGTAGGACCTCTCGTTGCACAAACGCAGCTTTCTTAATAGGGAAAACGTTATTATGTAATGGAAATCCGGAAAAGTTTCACGATAAATGGCTTTCTACGATGCGTCATTATAGTACGTGTATAATAACGCAAAGGCTTACACCATAATATGGGACCTGTTTTGAATGGACAATGACACCGAAAGTTCCTGCCCATGGTATTTTCATGGGAACGTTTTATAAATACATAATATGAAGCTGCTAGAGCTTCAATAACAAAACATGATTTTCAATAAGGAATTTGTACTATTATTTGTGTAAGAATTATGTTAACATTTTTAGACTATTAAAATTGTAAATAACTCAAGTCTAATAATTGCAGTTAGGCTACTCTGCCTCTAGCGGCCTCGTATTGAACCGTTATTACTGAAGAGAAGGAGCTTGGAGCTCATATTATCAGCAAGATGCGTTGTCGACCTTTGGACATTCAAAAAGATATTGTCTAAAACGGTAATGCTAATATACACGTTACGCCTTTTTCATCTGTGAACAGTGTTTCGTGATCCGCTCGGAATTTTGACATTCCTAAGATAAATTCCTAAATTGTGTCAGCCATATATTGCCCTTCAAAATCTGGCAAATATACTATTTTTACAGTTCAGCAAATGTATTTGCACAAAAGTTAGCGAGGTATAAACAATAAGGCAACTTTCAGTCGGAACAGTAGGAGAGTGATGAAGGCTGTGTCACGGCGCTTGCGCATCGCGAACGCACATTATTTCGATTGCTGATATGCGTATACTTTGCGTACACTAAATTCTTACTTCAATGATCTTATAACGAATATCCAAAGCCAGAATAAGTCGACAGCACATTTTGTTTAGATATTATATGGCTAGGATATTACACGTCCCATCAAGCTTGCTTGTAGCCAAATGGTTAAACGTATTGCTTAGCATTACGTTAAGCGCGAGTGTTCCTGGGTTCGAATCTCAGGGAAACATAAAAAATTGTTTCGGTCAGGCAAGGCACAGAAGTCTGATCAACTACTTGACCCTTAAAAGAACGGATCAGTAAAACGGATACAGAAATGTGTTCGCCCCTTGCCCCACGAGGGGGAAACGGGCCTTCACTTATATATGTTTATTTATTGATCTGTAAAACAAATCTCCATAGGTTAGTTGCATAAAACGCATTGCGTTATTAGGTATGTGTTTGTGAATCACATGATTGAATGTCATGAAAATAATGGCAGGAGGTTAGTTGTTGTGATGACAAACTTAGTGATACGAGAAATTTTATACAATAGATGTTTTTCACATGAAAATAGTCGCCAACTTATTATAATATCTATACTAATATATAAAGCAGAAGAATTTGCTTGTTCGAACGCGATAACCTCAGGAACCACGGGCTCGAATTTAAAAATTATTTTTGTGTTGCAAAGCATCGCAGCGCTGTGACTAATATAAGCGCTGATGCCGCGGAAAATGTGAACAAAACGCGGCAATTTTTTCATCTCTGTGGCTTTCAGATGCGTACGCTGCGAAAACACAAAAAATATGTATGAAAGAATGATTTCTCTTATAATGATCCACAACACTATATGTCTATCTTTTAAGATTAACTTGCAACAACGACGAGGCCCGAAAGATGGGTCGCGAGTGACGAGGCGCGCCCGGTGTCCTGTGCTGCTTAAAGTTATAAAGATGTAAAAGTTTGCAAAAACAAATTTGGACACCCAAAATAAGTATTCTACACGGATGAAGTTGTTGACACAGCTAGTTCCTTCCGTTTTCCGCTCGGGAGCATGAGACATTATTGTGACCGTTTTACTAATCACTTTAATTTACAATAAAATTGTTTTTGTGTAAGACCAAAATAATTTATCGTTTCCCGAAGATTTAGACCCCTCGTGCTAAACGCAATGGGCAACGCGTTTGTATCAACTGAGAAGGTGGTCTGTCAGTCGTTGTGTAGCTAGATAATAGGATAATCTGTAGAATGTCATTAAATCTCGTCTGTATACTTAATGAACATTAACGCGAACATTACCCGACGCAAACACGTAATATTGGAAAATAGAAAATATAATAACATGATTTTACTTAGACATTGCGCTAGGCCGGTTTAGTCACTATTTCGTGCAAAGAATATCTTTGCTTTTTTTACTAAAAATAAAATAAATTAATTTAATCGTGTTAACATTATATTTTTATTTTAAGTTAGTTTACTATCTTTAGTTTACGCGAGTTGTACACGTTTAAATAAAACACTTTTAATAGTTTGAGCCACCGTGACCACGGCTGCTAAATTGTAAACAAGTTAACTAATATATTTCTTATTAAGTTTTACATCTATAAAAGTGTATATAAAGATAAATCTTGAAGAACTTTTTCAAATAATATTTAAAGTAAAGTAACGAAATAAAAAATTTCTTTACGGTAGCCATACCGAGTTTTTACAAATTACTGCGACTTCGTTCGCGTGGAATAGTGACTTGGGGTACATTTTTCCCAAAAAGCCGAAGAAGAAAGTTTTATAGTTCTAGCTTCAAAAACCAAGAATTTCCATACAAACTTTCACCCCCCTTTTTAACCCCTTACAACCCCTTTTTAGGCTTATGCCTTATAATATCTTTTAGCTTTATGTCTTTTCTCAGGGTCTAGACGACATGTGTACCAAACATCATTCAAATTTGTTTATTAGTTTTTTGCGTGAAAGAGTAACAGACAGAAAGACAGAGTTACTTTCGCATTTATAATATTAGTAAGGATGTATACTGTATATAAAAGTGTTGCATAATATAAAGCTCAATAAATCAAGCTATACGTTATTTATAAGGATACTATAATAGTCAATGCAATGTTTATCCTATTTTCACGTCACAACCTCGCGGCCGATGCACTCTATTTTAAACATAGAAAACTCGGGAACATGAAAACCAATGTAAGTATTATAATAACAAATGTCATATGTTTTTTTTCATGTTGAAATTACTACGATATCGAACGCTGGTTGTATACAGCCAGTATCATAAATATGTTGTCTGTATTTATATTTTTTTTAATTCACCGCTACTGTGCTATATGACATCCACTCGCTCGCGTTGCTCTCCAGAGCGTAGCACGTTTCACTCGAGCTATTCGCTACGAGAAAATACATTTTTATGCCTTTATCACACGAGAGAGCGAGCGCAAATAAAAGTCTACTCTAATCATATGAAATCAAAAGTTAATTTCCAAGTTACGCTGCGCAGACGCACCTGCGCAGTGTTTCAGCTAATCACAGCCGTCATTATCTCGTGATTTGTGAGATTACAAGTTGTAGTTTGTTAATATAGAAAATTTATATTACTTCTGTATAAGTGACAATAACGAGGCCAGTGATGCTGATGTACCAGTATCAGCTACATCTTGAAAAAATAAAAGAGGACAAACAATTTAAATAAAACACTTTAACGGTTTAAAATCGGATGCTTGTCCACGGCTGCTGCAAAGCATCCGAAACGTCGGGCCGAAGTTAAAAATCTTTTTTAAATAAGTGTAACTAATATATCGCGTTTTTAACCGTTAAAGTGTTTTATTTAAATGTGTACTACTCGCGTAATAATATTACGCGAAATAAATTAGCATTTCCTTGCGATCTATTCAATAAAAGACGCTAAGATGTTTTTTTTTGAAAATACGACTAACGCGTTGAACTTTAATACATGGTAATTTTGTTCTTCGAGTATAAGTCTCGCTATAAAGCGCGGAATTGATTTTTCATCGTAACGTAATACATAGTAACACCTACTCGCGAGATATCTATATCATGAATAATTGTCGGGTCACCTACTGACTCAGATACAGAATAAATACCTCAGTTAATAAATATTTATGGCAGTATGTAAATTGTTAATGAGGAAAACAATTATGATGGTTTACATATTTGCATTTCTTTTTCATCTTCATGAGTATTTACCATCTACTTGCCAATTGAGTTACCGTGTTTTACGCGTCAGTCAATAAAATTTAAAAAATATTTAAGCTTACAAATATTAACATCGTATTGAGGGGTTCCAGTCTTTTTTCTTTCTTAAAAGCCTAGATCAAGCATGTTGAGCTGACCTTCGACGAGGAACGACTCCTTAAGGTGCTTTTATGCGCCGACGCAGCACAATAAAGTACCACACTACAAGCTAGCAGTGGAATTTTTATAATAAAAACCGAAATAACATTTGGTCTGTCCCCCAATCAGACCTCGTGACATGTAGATAGGCTATTTCTTTATTATTTCTTATACGGTATACCTACTCACTTAATAAGCCTTTTTTATACTTTTTATCTCCTAAGTTGCCTGGAAGGGATCGCTGCTTAGTGATAAGGACGCCTTTTATTGGTATGTATTGTGAATAATAAAATAAAATAAATAACAAATATACTAACTACACGAACGATGCAGTAAATACATGGTGGTAGCGGAAAATTTTCCACCATTCCATTATGATATGCAAATCGACAATCCCACACATATTTCCTTGATAAAAAAGCCTTATGTCATTCAAGGTTCACACATAACCGATAGTCATTGTCACTATCGCTTTCGAATTGTGGGAAGACGCTGTTTTGTTGTTTGTAAAAGTTCCAGTGTATTAAGTAATAATTAATTGCCGGGTGCCTTATAAGGCATTGGATGTTTGGAGTTAAAAATGTATCATTTGTGAAAAAAAACAATTTCACGGAAACAATATACTGATCGAATAAACAAAGCACTTACTAAATACTTGTTTGAAATTTGATGAATGATTTTAACTACGGCCCGACGTTTCGGATGCTTTGCAGCAGCCGTAGTCCGGGCAGACAATTTTCAAACAAGTCCAACTAACATGTATCGCGTTTTAAACCGTTAAAGTATTTTATTTAAAAGTCTTTAATTGTTTAACTGTTTCAAAATAAATAAGTTTTTTTACATTCTACAAATCTATTTTAAATATCAAAATTCGATGACATACCTGAGACTAGAACTCGCAACCATAATAAGCCGTGCTGTTGCAACTAATTACTTTACCATATCGCTAGTGTCATCGGCTGTCAAATTGTTTTTGCACTGTGTACTGTTCCAACCATATAATTTAAAAACAAGATTCGCTGTCGGTCTATTTTAACGTTAGATATTTTGAAATCCACGCACCACCTCTTGGATGGCGTCGCTATTAAAAAAAATATATATAACAAATTGGTTTTTTAAAAACATATGGGACCTAATGGGAACTGAATTTTAAGGCGCATTAAAAGTATAGAAAGATAAAAATTAGATACTGTCTATAGTTTACGCGAGTAGTACACATTTAAATAAAACACTTTAACGGTTTAAAACGCGGTCTCCCCGTGACCACGGCTACTGCAAAGCATCCGAAACGTCGGGCCGAAGTTAAAAATCATTTTCAAATAAGTTAAATCTTTTATATCGCGTTTTAAACCGTTAAAGTGTTTTATTTAAAAGATAACAATTTTTAAATATCATGAAACACATTATCATAAGACAATAACAAAGCAATTACTGCTATTTTATAAATATGAAAAACGCCTTCAGCTAAAATATGTAGATTTATTATTACGATATATATGTTTTATTGAACCGACGAGACGTGAAAAATTGGACTATAGTTTAAACATATTATACGTCATAACATATTCTGGTCCGTTGATTACCGGTAAGGCTCATTACGATTCACCGCCCGTGACCTTCGTTGACCACTTTCCATGGCGCGGCGCGTGAGTCGTGACCTGACTCAATTCCGATTCACTTTCTTTCGGATTTCAGTATTGTATTCAGTACGGGTCGATGACTTGACGCAGAGAAGATTAGTGTTTGAAGTTTGAAAAAGACAATTAGTGAGACTGTACTTCTTTGAACCCTGACCTGTTTGGGCTACTATAAATAGAAAAAAAGAAGTATTTTGTTTTATTAAAACTGGCAGTGATGACAGAAATGAAACCTTTCAGCATTGTGCATTTTGAACTAGTTAGGGAATCATTTTGTACGGTTTGTTTTAATCGTTTGTATAAAAGTATTTATTTGGTATAATAAATATTCTTTTATTGCACTTTCGTTTACAAACGTGTAAATTTTATTGTCTACTTTTCCTTTATCTATCTTCCTTTATCTATCTACTTCTGGTTCGAATTGTAAAATTATTTTGATGTCAGTCAAGAAAGGCTTTAGGTTATATGACATCGTTGCACTGACCAAAAACAGTGTAGAAAAGACAGGGAATATATCTTTCAGGTCCCTGTTGCGTGCACTGCGAAAACGGGCAAGAGCCTAAAATATTTATAAATATGTGTTAAAGAATTTTTTAAAAATCTTAACATGTTAAACATCAGTTTATCTTTTAAGATTAATTTTTACGGTAATCGAATTTTGGTCGAAATACTTCATAATTCATATGGCATAAGAACTGACAGCTAGTCTTACGTATTCTCGGTCGGATATTGTGTCCTAACGCTTTAAGTCATTACAAAATGAGCCCACAAAGCCCGTTATAAGGTTTCACCTTACAAACAAATAAATTGTGGCTTTATAATGATAAAATTATAAGAGAAATTTAATAAATTGAGTAAGGCTTTCACGGCCATCGATCAGCATATTATTGTCTTTCGGGCTGTTCGGCCGATGTGAGCGAGAAGAGGTTCTCGACGTTTCGCCATCACGTGTGGACGGCATCTTCAGGAGATGTTGACTCCTCGATTGCTCGAAGAATTGTGGCACACAATTCTTCGAGCAATCGAGGAGTCAACATCTCCTGAAGATGCCGTCCACACGTGATGGCGAAACGTCGAGAACCTCTTCTCGCTCACATCGGCCGAACAGCCCGAAAGACAATAATATGATAAGAGAAATTTGTTTGACAATTTAAACTACAATTCAGCCTAGATAAAGATAAAACCAACCTACTAACTCAATCATTTACAGTTTAACCAATGTGAATTTTATTACGTGTTTGTTAAGTCCATGTCCGACTTTCTCAGATTGACCAACAATAAGCAATAATTAATAACCACGTTTGACATTTGAAATAAGCTGAAGGAGAAATTTCGTATTTTACTATAGGTTTTGCTGACTCACTGCTAACCTATAACCTAGCGTGACTTTGCAGGTTTTGTATGAAAATTACTTCTTTAGAAATATGTACAGTAGTACACATAACATACATGTTTGTGTACTCCCACTGCTGGGACCAAGGTGTCGTATAATGCGTTAATCTACCATAGCCATAAATGTTGCCAATGTTGCCGATATGCAACAGTCATAAATTTTTACTTCCCAGACAACGAAATTCTTCTTCACCTTTGTCGTAATGAATATACACATTCTACTAGTAGGTAGTTAACGCGAGTAATCACGGGTCACGGAGACACTGGAGTCCCCGTAACCACGGCTGCTGCATCGGAAACGTCGGGCCATAGTTAAAATAATTTTCAATTAAGTTAAACTAATATATATCGCATTTTAAACCGTTAGTGTTTTATTCAAATTATTTCAACTGTTTAAAACGCGAAATATAACGTAACGCCATGTTGTTGTTATAATAGATCAACAAATTTCAACAGATATATATCAAAATAAATATAATTCGTGTTGAAAGTGTTTTATTTAAAAGTATTTGTTTTTACGACAGAGAAGAACAGACAATTATGGGGCTAAGATAAAACATAAAAAAAATATTAGGACTAGGTATTTAAAATAATTGTCTTAATGTGGTAATCTTAGTTTTTATTACAACACAGCAATTTTAATAATTAAAAAAAAAAAATCTGTAAGGCTTTCACGGCACTCGTTCAGCATATCATTGTTTTTCGGCCATTGCCATCACGAGCTGGTGGTAATGATGCCGTCCGCACGTGATGGCGAAATGTCGAGTACCTCTTCTCGCTCACGTCGACCGAACAGCCCGAAAACAATGATATGCTGAATTTTAAAATAGTAATTTCCACTACGAAATAGTCGTATATAAAGAGGTATAATAAATGCGCAAGCGTTTGTTTCCCACTGAAACTTCTAAAGCTTTACGTAAAGCAAAAAGTTCATTAAACTTGTTGAGACTAGATAATCAATGTCATTTTATGAATACTTAACTATAGGAAGTCGTAGATCATGGAAACTTACGAGAAAGGAAA